ACCTCAAACTCTACTACAAAGCGGTAATAATTAAAACAGCATGGTACTAGAACAAAGCCAGGGCCGCAGACCAATGGGACAGGGTGGAATATTCGTACACACAACCCCAAATGTATGAACATCTAATTTTTGATAAGGAAGCAAGAAATGTGAAGTGGAGCAAGGAAAGTCTCTTCAACAAATGGTTCTGGCATAACTGGACAACCACATGCAAAAAACTGGTCTTAGACCTCGACTTAACACCATGCACAAAAGTCAGATCAAAATGGATTAAAGATCTCAACATCAGGCCAAAATCCATAAGGTACACTGAAGACAAGGTCGGCAAAACCCTCCACAATATTGAGTCTAACGGTATTTTCAAAGATGACTCTCCACTGACCAACCAAGTGGAAACAGATAAACAAATGGGACTATCTTAAATTAAGAAGCTTCTGCACCTCAAAAGATACAGTGACCAAAATACAAAGACAATCTACAGAATGGAAAAGGATATTCACCCAATACCCATCCAATAAGGGGTTGATATCAAGGATATACAAAGCACTGTTTGAACTCCACAAGAAGAAAACATCAAACCCCATCAAAAAATGGGGTGATGAAATGAACAGAAACTTTCTCAAAGAAGAAATTTGAATGGCTAAAAGGCACATGAGAAAATGTTCTACATCATTAATCATCAGGGATATGCAGATCAAAACAACAATGAGATATCATCTCACACCACAAAGACTGGCCCACATCCAAAAGAACAAAAGCAACCAGTGTTGGCATGGATGTGGCAAGAAAGGGACTCTCCTTCACTGCTGGTGGGAATGCCGACTGTTTCAGCCCTTTTGGAAAACAGTATGGATGATTCTCAAGAAATTAGAAATTGAGCTCCCATTTGACCCAGCAATACCACTCCTGGGAATATATCCCGGAGTGGCAAAAAAAGTACAGTCGAATCGACATTTGCACTTCTATGTTCATTGCTGCACTATTCTAATAGCCAAAATCTGGAAAAAAAACCCCGAGTGCCCAAGAATAGATGACTGGTTAAAGAAACTTTGGTATATACACACAATGGAATACTATGCAGCTGTTAGAAAAGATGAAATCATGAAATTTACATACAAGTGAGTGGTACTACATGGAAAGTAGCATGCTAAGTAAAATGAGTTAGAAAGAGAGGGACAGACATAGAAAGATGGCATTCATCTGGGGAATATAAAGGAACAAAATAAGAGACTAACACCTAAGAATAGTCAAGATAAGTACCAGGAGATTCACTCCATGGCTTGGAGGCCAGCTGCACATGCTAGGGGAAAAGGCAGCTCAGATAGAGAAGGGAGCACCAAGTAAAGGGTGTTGGGAGGATCCGCCCAGGATGGGAGATGCATGCTGAAAGTAGACTATAGATCAAACATGATTGCCACTCAGTGCCTCTTTTGCAAATCACAGCACCCAAAAGTAGAGAGAGAACAAAAGGGAATGCCCTGCCACAGGGGTGGGGTGGGATGGGGGGTGGGGGATGGGAGGGATACAGGAGCACTGGAGGTGGAGAATGGGCACTGGTGGAGGGATGAGTACTCAATCACTGTATAACTGAAACCCAAGCACAAAAAACTGTAAGTCTACAACTGTACCTCATGGTGTTTCACTAATAAAAATTTAAAAAATAAATAAAATAAAATCACATATATTTAGACCACTCTTCAATATAAAGAATCAGAGCTCTCTAGAGCAGTGTCTGAATATAAGATTAAGTCAGAAAGAATATAAGATATATCTGGACTATCAGTCCTATCCTATGGTGCCAAAACGTAAAAAAGTATTTGAAAAAGGATGAGGACATCCTTTAAAAGAATAACACCCCCCCCAAAAAAAAACAAAAGAAAACAAAAAAAAAACCCCAAACACCTCAACAACCTGGGTAAACTCCCAATGGCCAAATCCATTTAAGCAATGAAATAAATAATCATAGCATTAAATTACAGTTCATAAAATAAAATACCCACAAAATTCATTTTGGGTAGGGTTATTATTATATGAATAAAACAAATATCCATGCTTTGGTGAATGAACACTTGCAGAAATAGAAAAAAGATGTTATTTCCTACTAAACAATGGTAGCAGCCACCGCCTTTACTATTATAAATGGCCCAGTTTCATAGCTTCACGACTAATCTTGAAAGAGATGTCAAGTCAATGAAACTCACAGGGACACTGAAAACTCTGGGGTCTTCTCAAAAAGGAGTGGGTACCTCGCCACCCACCACCAAACTGCTGAAAGCCTCAGCCATGCCCACATCCCACAGCCTCTGTTTCATGGTTTCATGGCTGGTCTTGGAAGAGAGAACAAGCTGATGAAATTCCCTGGTACACTGATCTCCAGGCTGAAAACTCTGGGGTTGACTTTGGAGAAAGTGGCCCAAGAATTGTCCCAGATCTGCAGATCCTGGGGGTTGGATGAGGCTACAGACAAGGTCACATCACCTCCAAAGTTCACAACACTGAGCACTCAGTAGAAGCACACCAAATTAGATGGCAGAGCAGCATAGAAGCCATCTAAATTCAGCAAGTAAGGCTCAACACAGAAGGCTCAACTAGCAACAAACAGCTCAATAAATCTGTAGACAGTGACTGTAATAACACTATTGTGAAATATAACAATTATCACAACTTTTTCTTTTAATCAACCATTTTTTCATAATTCAATTTATCATTTTTTGGTAACTAACAAGCAATGTAAAGTAAATAATTTTGGACCTGGTAAGGGGGCAGGCTTAGGAGATGGGTGTCAAGCTGGGAATAATGGTGAAGGGAAGGTCACACTGGTGGTGAGATTGGTGTTGGAACACTGAATGAAACAACGTATTATAAACAACTTTGTAAACCATGGTGTTTAAATAAAGTTAGAAAAAAAAATAAAGTGGTCATAGAAGCCCTAGCCAATCAGGGCGTACTAACTCAATACATCAGGATCCTTCGTGAGCTCTATTACGGATTCACTACCAGGATCTCACCATTCTACAAAGAAGTAATCATTGATGTCAAGAGAGGGGTTTGGCTGGGTGATACCATTTCACCAAAACTCTTCAGTGCCACCCTCAAGAACATCACGCGACGACTGGAATGGGAAAAAATGGGAGTGAAGATAGATGGTCGGCAACTACACTACCTCCGCTTTGCTTATGACATCGTTCTAATAACACCAAACATCAGTCAAGCGGCACAAATGCTGATCGACTTTGACCGTGGATCGACTTTGACTGTCGACTTTGAGTGTGGAAAGGTCGGACTATAGCTGAAACAAAGACAATGGTTATGAGAAACAGCCTCGTTCCTGACGCTCCATTCGCTCTCAACGGAACCACCATCTCCGAATGCAACAGTTTTGTGTACCTAGGTTGAGAGATCAACATGATGAATGACCTGGCACCTGAGTTGCGCAGGAGGAAGAGAGCAGCTTGGAATGCCTTCAAGAGCGTTGAAGAAATAACTAAGAGGACAAAGAACCTCCAGCTACAAGCACATCTCTTCGATTCCACTGTTCTTCCTGCATTAACATATGCCTCAGAGACCTGGGCCCTACGAAAACAGGATGAGAACGCTATTCGGGTCTCTCAAAGAGGAATCGAAAGAGCTATGCTTGGAGTATCACGATTCACTCAAATAAGAGATAGAATCCGGAGTTCTAATCTCCGTCAACGCTCAAGAATCAGGGACGCTGTCTCATTTGCCAAGGCATCAAAAATCAGATGGGCTGGACACGTAATGAGGTTTACAGACAACCACTAGACTAGAGCCATTACTGACTGGATTCCACAGGACGTCAAAAGATCGCATGGACGCCCACCTACAAGATGGTCAGACTTCTTCATCAAGACCCTGAATGATCGGTTTGAGGCTCTGCATGTTCTTAGAACGAACAGATGCCATTGGGCTACGCTAGCACGCAACAGGGATGAATGGAGACGTTACTGGCACTCGCTCGAGTAAATCAATGAATAACGGGGGATCAAGTGATCAAGTGATTCAAGGGGGGGCTGGAGCGATAGCACAGCGGGTAGGGCGTTTGCCTTGCACGCAGCCAACATGGCTGACCCAGAGTTCGATTCCTCCACCCCTCTCGGAGAGCCTGGCAAGCTACCCAGAGTATCTCACCCGCACAGCAGAGCCTGGCAAGCTACTCGTGATGTATTCGATATGCCAAACACAGTAACAACAAAGTCTCCAATGGAGACGTTACTGGGCCTGCTCGAGCAAATCGATGAACAACGGGAGGACAGTGACAGTGACAGTGACAGTTATTCAAGTGGTAAAGAAAAGTACCAAAATAATTGTAGCCAGTACATTGTAGCTAGAAATTATACCATGGTTATGCAAGATGCTAGCATTAAAGAAAGCTGGTGAAGGGTAAGCATGACAATATTCTTTTTTAAAAAAATACATATGTGTATATATATTTATTATATATGTGTATATATATATTTATTTTCCAGAACCCATCTTTTCACTAGTGTACCTTTACCACCACCAGTACCAATGTTCCCAGTTTTCATCCTGTTCTCATCCCCTGTGGCAGGTAGGTGTACTTTCTCTCTCTCTCTCTCTCTCTCTCTCTCTCTCTCTCTCTCTCTCTCTCTCTCTCCTCCCCCACTTCACTTCCTCCCTCATTCTGTTCAGATATTCCAATTTTGATCAGCCTTTGGAGATTATAGAAATCCAGGAATTTATACATTTCTTCTTCAAAGTTCTCTTGTTTTGTGGCATAAAGATTCTCAAAGTGATCTCTAATGATCTTTGAATGTCTGTGCTTTCTATTGTGATTTCTCCTTGGTTTCATTGATCATTTGGATTGTTTTATGGAATTCCAGCTCATTAATTTTTGCTTTAAGTTTTATTATCTCCTTCTTCCTGCCTGGTTTAGGCTCATTTTCCTGGTCATTTTCTTGTATCCTACAGCCAGAACATATCCCAGCCCCCATTGCTTAAGAATGGCAGGGAGAACTTACCAAACAGACACGAGTACAGCCTCATCATCGAGAAGGCGAGATGGATGGGGGATGTTTGGACCACTAATTTACAGTGAAGGCGAATGAATTCCAGGGAGGGCTGGACAAGCCACATAAACATGTCATTGACCTGAGAGTAGAAGGTGAGATTTCAAACGTGTTCAAAAGTTGAGCTCAGAACCAAGAGCCTGGGCTTCCTTAGGGACTGGGGCGAGGATAGGGCATAAAGGGGCAAGGACACTCGTAGAAATGCTGATGACTTTTGAGTATAGGGATCCTGGGAAAGTCCCTCTCCCCCACTCCCACTGGGCTGTGCAGCCCCCAACCCCTCCTCCTCCACCACTTCCAGCGGGATACCCAGAATTACTGGGGATCGGGAGGCATTAAATAATTTTAGGATCCAGCCACCACCTCTCATTGTTTCTAGGAAAAGAATTAGAATTTCAGGAATTCTAAACAACCAATTTGCAAGGCAGGACTAGTATAAACTGGCCATAGGAAATCCACAGCTAAGTGCATGAGTCACTCTCTAGTTTCCCCACATGTATGTGTATGTCTATAAACATAAATGGACATATGCTTATGTATATGGATAGTGATTCTTCGCTCCTCATTCTATTCACTATTTTTGGTTTGTTTTTGGTCCACTCCAGGCGACACGCAGAGCTTACTCCTTGCTCTGTTCTCAAGAATCACTCCAGTGTTCATAGGACCATACTGGGTGCTGCGGCTTGAACTGGGGTAGCCCTGTGCAAGGCAAGCACCCCATATGCTATACTATTGCTCCAGCCCAGTTCCCCTTTTTTTTCAAATGATAGGAAAGTCATTACTAAAAATATTAATGTGTGGATAAGAATGTGCATATATGGATATATGAATGTACATGAGAATAAATGTAGCACATTCATTTATTCCTTCAAGAAATATTTATTGAGCATCTACTAACTGCAGGTGCTGTTGAAGAGAACAGGTGACAACGTGGGCCTGATCACACCTTCTCTGAGGACCTTATGAGTGAGACTGTGTGAAGGATAGTCCCTGAATGCCTCTACTGTGTGAGGATCTAGAAGCTTTCTGTTTTTGTTGACTGAGTCTGAGAGCACATGTGTCTCTGTGTGTACATGTTAATACTATCTGTGTGTGTAGACATGTCCTATCAATGGAGTTGCCCTGCACTACTGTTCCACACAGGGGATGTGCACAGAGGGGAAAAGAGTATAACTCTTCTTGGCACTTTCCATGCAAAAATTTCCAAAGAACATTACTAATATCTAGGGAAGGGTATCCCTACCGAGGGTATCCCACCCGCAAAGCCTAGTAAGCTCCCCGTGGAGTATTCAAGATGCCAAAAACAGTAACAATAATGGGTCTCATTCCCCTGCCCTGAAAGAGCCTCCAATACAGCAGTGTACGGAAAGACGAGTAAGGAGAGGCTGCTAAAATCTCAGGGCTGGGACGAATGGAGACATTACTGGTGCCCGCTCGAGTAAAACAATGAACAATGGGGCAACAGTGATACAGTGACACAGTGATACAGGGAAGCGCAAGAGGTACCATAAGGGAATAAGGTCTGGTTCAGACCAAATGTGACTATTTATAACCCTATAAGGAAGGGAATAGAGAAAGGTCAATTTAGAGGCTCAAATGAGGGCATTTCCAACTGGGTTTCAATTGGTTCTAACGTTTAGAGTGGGAGGCACAGACTCTAGGTTATAGAACATGGGTGGGGGGCATGTTCAGGGGGGCATGTGTTAGTTCAGAGAGGAACACAGCTCCTCAATTGACATTTCTGTTAGCAGGGCAGTGGTGAAAGGGGCTCCATTCAGTTATCATATAGCACTTCCCTCAAGCACCAGCATGCTCCCCTGGGGACCCAAGGAGTGAGGAAGGGGAATGAGGACAAAGACATTGACTAAGCTACCCACATGAAGAAGAGAGTTGCAATTAAAGCAGGAAACAAAATAGAAAAAGCAGGCAATTTCTTGCCTCTTTGTGCTTCTTGGAATTAGGAGAGGGGGTTATACACCTATCGAGAGTAGGGACACAGGAAAAGACGGAAAGGAAAAGCTGTCGAGGGTCTCACCAGCTCCCGGTGCTCGTCAGTGAGGTTGGACGGCAGCGTGTCCATGTATGAGTCCTTCAGGGGTTTCCAACCCAGCTGATGGGGCTCCATGTAGATCATCCCACACCTGGCAAGCATGAACAGGGGATCAGCCGGGTCCACCGCTGGACTCTCAAGCACAGAGTGGTGAGGGGAGAGTGAGGTCAGGGCTAGGACAGGGCGCAGATGCCTGCCAGCTCCTGGTAAAGGTGAAGATGCACAGATTATGCCAGGAGGGGGCTGGGGCCTGCAGGAACAGGTGAGTCCTGGGAGTCAGAGTGTCTTGGTTTTAAATCTTAGCCCCAGATCCTATGAGCTTAATGACCCTGGATAAGGTGTCTTTGGGGATTATTTTTGGCCACACCCAGCAGTTCTTAGGGTTCAGTCTTGGTAGAGCATCTGTGATGCTGAGGAAATAACCTGGGGCAGCCACAGGCAAGGCAAGCACCCTGCCTGAGGTACTATTACTCTGCTCAGTAAGGTGTCTTTTTTTTTTTCCTTAAATTTTTATTAGTGAGACACCATCAGGTACAGTTGTAGACTTACAAATTTTTGTGCTCAGGCTTCAGTTATACAATGATCAAAAACCTATCCCTCCACCAGTGCCTATTCTCCACCACCACTGATCGCAGTATCCTTCCCACCTCCCATCCCCCTCACCCCACCCTACCTCTGTGGCAGGGCATTCCCTTTTGTTATCACTCTCCTTTTGAGTGCTGTGGTTTGCAAAAGAGACATTGTGTGGCAATCATGTTCGGTCTATAGTCTACTCTCATCACGCATCTCCCATCCTGAGAGAAACCTCCCAACACCCTTTATTTGGTGCTCCCTTCTCTATTTGAGCTGCCTTTACCCCTAGCGAGTGCGGCTGACCTCAAAGCCATGGAGTAATAGTAAGGAGTCTTTGATGACCTCTATGCTCTTGTCTGTAATTTGAAGAATACTTTTAAAAATGTTGTAATGGGTACAAAGAATTACAAATCATTTACATAAATTTTTACATAAATAAGTTCTTCACTGTAATTCTCAACACATCTAAAACTAAATAGGAATTATATTACTATGACCCCAAATACCCACGTACTATCATGCAATATTTTATGTGTCATATGTATTTTGTTGTTGTTGTTGTTCTAAGTATTCTTCTGTTTGTTCCTAATATTAGCAACCATTTACTGAGTACCTGGGCTGGAGCCATAGTACAGCGGGTAGGGCATTTGCCTTGCACGCAGCCGACCCGGGTTTGATTCCTCTGTCCCTCTCAGAGAGCCCGGCAAGCTACTGAGAGCATCCCGCCCACACAGCAGAGCCTGGAAAGCTCCCCTGGCATATTTGATATGCCAAAAACAATAACAAGTCTCACAATGGAGATGCTACTGGTGCCCACTCAAGCAAATCAATGAACAATGGGAGGACAGTGCTACAGTGCTTACTGAGTACCTACAGCATCTAGGGAACTATGCTAGGCCACAATGACTCTCAATTCTAAATTTTTCTCTTTATGGTCAATTTTAGGCATAAAACAGAGTGACTTAGAAGAAATCCACATAGCTAGCAAATTAATGATCCCCGAGTGGGAATGCAAATTGGACTAACTTGCCAAGATTATTTCAACTCCCATCACACAGTCTTTGGAAATCGGAAATCAGAAATTATATTATTTTGTGTGAAATTTTTTTTTGTGAAATTCGGGTGGAAGACTAGATTAAGTATAAATCATAAGCACACTTATTACTAACATGTGCATAGCCTTTCTTAGTTCATTGATTTCCTCATTACATTACTGTAATAAGTAAACCTATCTAGAATCTTTTGAAAATCTTTATTTACTGGTGTTGGGTGGGTGGGGGGCTTGGGTCATACCTGGCAGTGTTCTGTGTACAGGAGTGACCCCCTAGTAGAGCTCAGGGTATGGGGGGGGGCTAAGTATGGTGCAAGGGTTTGAAATGGAATTGACTGCATGCAAGGCAAGCACCTTACCTCCTGCACTGTCTTTCTGGCCCCAGAATCTAGAATCTTGATAACAAATGTCATCTAACTATCTGGTTCCACTGTCCACTGTAACTAACAAAAATCAAATTCTACTGCCACCTGGGGTCTAATCAAATGAGACTGAGAAAGACTTACTGACAAAAGGGCAGGGTGCGAGATGGCAGCCTCACAGCCTCAACGCAACCATTTTGTTCTGCAGTCTCAAGAACAGGTTTTATACGGGAGGAATGGGGAGGAAAGGGTGGGATGAAGACTGGTGAGTGCCAGAAGGAATCGTAAAATCCTCCCAATTCTATTATCCTCTTTGGTCTCCTTAAACACACCCTATCAATATGCAAATGTAAATTAGGTAAGAATTAGATTTTTCTAGCAGGACAAAATTGGAAGAATGTCTGTGTCTTTAAGGCTCTTGGGTGATGAAGGATAAACTGAGGGACAACTTGTTATTTAGGTTACAGGACAAGGACAGTTTTGTCTCATATGAACCTTTGACGGGGGTACACTATCCTCTTGGCTTCCCTTATATGAATCTTGATTCTGGATTCATCTGCCTCTTAAATTATTTTCTTCTGAAATGTGTTTATAACATGTCTGTATGTTCCTAAATTTTATGCATACTTATTTTATTTGCTTTTAACAATTCAACAGGGGAGGAAAGTATTCTAAGTATTCTAAGCTTCTTTTAATATACAATATTGTAAAGTAAAGTAAAGTAAAGGTCCTCCCGTTGTTCATCGATTTGCTCGAGCAGGCCCAGTAACGTCTCCATTGGAGACTTTGTTGTTACTGTGTTTGGCATATCGAATACATCACGGGGAGCTTGTCAGGCTCTGCCATGCGGGCGAGATACCCTCAGTAGCTTGCCGGGATCTCCGAGAGGGGCGGAGGAATCGAACTCGGGTTGGCCATGTTGGCTGCGTGCAAGGCAAACGCCTTACCGCTGTGCTATCGCTCCAGCTTTTATCTTTAATTTTGTAAGATGTATTCATGCAGTTGCATGTTATTACATTTCATTGTTTTTAGTGCAATATATATATGTGTGTGTATTATAATTTGTGACTTCTTTGTACTTATCTCGTCATAGACATTTAAATTGCTTCTTATGAACCAGGCCCATTTGAATGAATATCTAGCACATGCCTCCAATTGCACATGAGACTAAGTTTGATTTGTGAAGATATTTAAGAGCAAAATTGCTGGGTTGTAACTAATTGGAGTATTAAGTTTTAGGGGAAAACATTAAACTATTCCTTTTTTATTGGGGCTACAGATAATACCCAGAGCTTTGTACAGGCTGACCATATATCCTACCACTTGAGCTCTCTTTCCAGCTCAAAAACATCAAACTCTTTTTCAAAGTACGTGCCTGATTTGGGGCTCCAATCAGCAGTGTGTTCGTTTTCTGACCAATCGAAGCTACAACAAACAATGTAAGCAATTTTCTAGGGCTTAGTCACATCTGTGGATTTTCAACGATGATTTTTCTGTTTGGGGTTCATGGTGGAAAGCCACAATTTTCCTGGAGGAGACTGAGAATCACTGACCTGCTCACGGTAGCTGGGGAAGCCTGCTCCAGGTCCGCTGGCTCAAAGATCAGACTCATCTTGGGACTCATCTGGATAATCTCTCCACTCATTAAACACAGCTGAAAGTGCAAAGCAGAGGCCAGAGAAAGAATTAAATTCCATCTGCAAGTGAGGACAGCCTCAGGAGAGACGAGGGGGTTTGAATTCATTCAACAAATATCTTGAGCACATACTATGTGCCAGATACTGCTCTAGGTCCATACATTAAAACAGAAAAAAAAATCCCTATTTTCTTGGAGCTTACATTTTGTCAAGCGGGACAGATGATAAAATATGTAAAATAATCAAAATACTTTCAAAAAAATAAAGGAGAAGAATGGATTGTAGAAGTCAAGGTCAGGTGAATTTTATATTTTTGGGGAGTGGGGTGGGGGAAAGGCAGACTATAAGTTTAAACGGGAATATCAGAAACTCATCACTGATTTGCAGCCTTTGATGTAGGATGGGGAAGTCACCAATCACTCCAGAATTCATGGTGCTGAACATAGAACTTAATTGCACACTTTTATCCTGTTTAATTTGCTTAAGTTTCCCATGATATATCTTTCAGAATCTGTCATGGATTCATCCAGGATTATATTGATAAGAATAGCCTATAAATTCTCTCTGGAATGGAAGAAAAGGCCATCAGAAGTCCTAGTGTCTAACAGGCATGTCCGTAAAAAAGGAGCGCAAACCGACTCAGTCAGTGATGTTGCTTCCCATCTGCCAACAGGGGCTCAAGTCAGATGTTTAGGTTGTAGGATGTCCTGAGGCTTTGGTCTGTCAGTGGAAAAGAGGAAGCTCCATGACTCCCCGTGGCTCATCCTGTTATGTTCGAATGTTTCCTGCCTGTTACCGGTCAACATCAAACACATCTGGAAGCAGGTCACTGCTCTTTCCCAGGAAGGCCTCAGCAGTGATGGGACGAACACCACCAGCTTGGTACTTTTCGTATCAAGAAAGAGTGAAACACAGGGCAGAAGATATAGTACAGGGGATAGGACACTTATCTTCCACGCAGCTGACCCATGTTTGATCCCTGGTATCCCGTATGGTGCCCCAAACCTGCCAGGAATGATTCCTGAGTGCAGAGGTAGGTGTAAGCCCTGAGCAGTGTTGGATGTGCTACCCCGACACCATACCTCACCGAAAAGAAAAGTAAAACAGTCCCAAACCTGTGACAGTAGCTTCAACTTTCACCCAGAGCTGAGATGAGACAAAAGGAAAGTACCGGTTATGATTCTTTGCACTTCTAACCTCAAGGCCAGTCGATATAATTTTTTGTAAATTAAACCATACATCACCGTCCATATCATACAAAAAAAGTTTCTATTTGAGGGAGGGGAACATTTCTATTTTTACATGTTATATAATCAAAAATTGTAGACATTATATAATTAGTGTATGTGTATAATTTGGATAAATAGGCCTCCCATTGTTGAGTATGACTCACTCGGTCTTGTGAAATTTAAACACAGTAGGAAAATATATTTGGTTTGATAATGATGCATGTTCAGCATAGGAACGCTTCCTTGAAATGGAAGCATTTTAAATTTAAATTTTATTTTAAATTTTAAATTAAATTTTTAACAGTTAAATAGTACTTGCTATGTGCCAGCTACTATTACAACAGGTTTGAAAATACTCGTTTACTTATAATCACTTACTAATATTCACTTACTAATCTTCCTAACAACATTGTGAGGTAGGGTCAGGATCTGCACCTAGGCTGCCTGAGCCTAGTTCACACTGTCAGTCATTGTACTTCCTGTGACAGCATGCCCCTTTCCCAAACTGTTGTAGTAATATCATCCCTTAAGCGCTTTTGCCATTACATGAATTACTTGAATATATTCAACAACAGGTGGAGTCTAGGTCAGAGGGACAGTCCAGAGGCTAATAAGACATTTACCTCCACGTTTGACTCTCTGGTACAACATAGGGTCCCCTAAACACTGAGCTAGTGAGTGGCCCCTGAGCACTATCATATGAGACCCAATTAAAAAAAAAACAAATGAACAGAAAATTGTGGAGTCTATTTCTCCATCTCCTGTCATCTGAGCTGGACCTATGACTACTTGAACAGAAGATTTGTGTCAGTTTCAAGTTAAGCTTTTAATTTCCTGGAAACTCGCTGTCTCTTGGAAATAGCCATCATTTAAGAGACATCAATAACCTGAGGCCAAAACTGAGTGCGTAGAAATTATGTTACTTGCCCAATATGAAAGGTCAATGGGAAAGCTAATGGTCCATTCTGATGTCAGCACAGACTTGAAAATTAAAAAAAAAATTGGGGGTGACACCTGGCTGTGCTCAGTTGTCTCTGCTTAGGAATCATTCCTGGCAGTGCCCAAGGGACCATAAGCACTGCTAGGGATCAAATGGCAAGCACCTCACTCCCTGGACTAGAACTCCCTGCACTAGTCTCGTCCTAGCACAGACACTTTGATTCGCCACGGCATTGTCTCCAAAATACATACACAGCTTTTTACCCATTACAAGTACAAGCAGAAGTATAAATCAGGAACTGGTCATAGCTACATTCATTGTTGGACATTAGTTCTCCTACTTGTTTCATTTGGGGTCCACACCCAGCAGTGTTCAGGGGTGACTCCTGGATCTGTGCTCAGGCATCACTTCTGGCAGAGTTGGGGGAACCATGCTGAGCTGGGGATCTAACTTGAGTGTTCCACCTAAAAAGCAGGCACTCTATTCCTGTGAGCAATTTCTCCGGCCCGAGACATTTATTCATAACGTAATAAATGAATGTAGCTTGTAGTTTGGATTAATCGCATGGAAAGCTAATAGGTTCTGTAGGTACTTTTTGTTGTTGTTGTTGTTGTTGCTGAGACCCAGCAGTGCTCAGGCTCCTGGCTCTGTGCTCAGAGATCACTCCAAGTGGGACTTGGGGAACCCTAGGTGGTGCCAGGGATCAAACCAAGGTTAGCTGCATACAAAGGCAAATGTCCTGCCTGCTGTACTATCGCTCCCAAGCTGCCTTGGTAGGTACCTTTTTGTTGTCATCCAGAACAGTGTTCATGTTTTCAATCCAAACAGCATCCACTGGTCCATCAAATATGATCCACTTGCGGTCATCAGACACGGACGATGCTTGCTCCCGGAAAGAATTGGCTAGGACACCATCTGTCCACTCATGGCTCACTTGGTCAAAACACCCATAGAGCTGCCCCATGGTGATAGCCTTGGGGTTGATGATCTGAAACTCAACGGCGAACTCGTTCATCTGCTTGGCTGGAGAAGAAGTATTTCTTGTGAAAATAGAGTGTGATCCAAAAAACAAAATAAAAAAAAAATTTTTTTAAAGTACTGAGGCGAGGCTAGAGTGATAGCACAGCGGGTAGGGTGTTTGCCTTGCACGCGGCGGACTCGGGTTCAATTCCCAGTGTCCCATATGGTTCCCTGAGCTCCGCCAGGAGTGATTCCTGAGTGAAAAGCCAGGAGTAACCCCTGAGCATTGCCAGGTGTGACCCAAAAAGCAAAAAAAAAAAAAATGTACCAAGGGGATGGTGTAAAAGGTAGTTTTTTTTTAAATCATAGGTTTGCGATTCAGCCGAAGAGAAGAACAACATGGAGGGCGGGATCCACAGATCCCGAAGGAAAAAAAAAAAAAACAGGTTCCAAAAAGAGCCGAGATCATCGGGAAGCCCCAGATGGGGTAGGTACCGCATCCCGCCTCCCCCAGATGGAACCCCGGTGACCAGAAGCCTCTACAACCACAGCTCGTATGCGGGAACTTGGACTATTCCTCAAATCTGCCGGGACTGCAACTCCCAGGTAACCTCAGATTCCGGAAGTCACGCCCACAGCCCGCCCCCCAGCGCCATATTGACAGCATTCAGCCGAAGAGAAGAACAACATGGAGGGCGGGATCCACAGATCCCGAAGGAAAAAAAAAAAAAAACAGGTTCCAAAAAGAGCTGAGATCATCGGGAAGCCCCAGATGGGGTAGGTACCGCATCCCGCCTCCCCCAGATGGAACCCCGGTGACCAGAAGCCTCTACAACCACAGCTCGAGTATGCGGGAACTTGGACTTTTCCTCAAAACCTCTATACACATCTCTCTATACACAAAGTGATCCATGGGAAGTAAATGACCCAACGTTTCTCTCTGAAAATCATAGTTAAGTTTGGAGCACGGCCACGGCCCCAGAAGCACAAGGACTTAATGCAGAACCAGCAGCTTGGAGCAGAAAAGTGAAAGGACTATGCGTTAATCCAGGCCATCATGTCTGCCCGGAGGGGAAAGGGTGTTGGTCCCGTCCGCCCTCCTCCCTCTGGAAAGAAAGATGGCGGCCACATGGGAGCCTTGTGGACAGCAGGTATGAGCCGGGGGTGTGGGGGCAACTAAAACCTCATGGGAAGGGGGGCGTTCCGGTCCGTCCTTCACGCCCTACCGAGGTCACCAGTTGCCCCCCCACTAGCGGCTCTCCAGCACGGCCACGGCCCCAGAAGCACAAGGACTTAATGCAGAACCCGGAAGCTTGGAGCAGAAAAGTGAACGGACCATGCGTTAATCCAGGCCATCAAGTCTGCCGGAGGAGAAAGGATGTTGCCCCATTCGCCCTCTCCTCTCTGGAAAGAAAGATGGCGGCCGCATGGGAGCCTTGTGGACAGCAGGTATGAGCTGGGGGACTGGGGGGCGACTAAAACCTCATGGGAAGGGGGGCGTTTTGGTTCGCCCTTCACGCCCTACCGAGGCCACCAGTTGCCCCCCACTAGTGGCTCTTCAGCACGGCCACGACTCCAGAGCACAGAAACTAATTTCTTAACTATCTGACTTTCAGTAGAAATACTTCCAGGGTCAATAAGTAAAATAGCAGAAATCCAAAACCAACATATAATTCTTGAACCCAGCTGTAGAAAGCAAATCACTTCACAATGCTTTGTCAGCATGTCTGATTCGGGGGGGGGGGGGGGGCGGTAAACTCTAAATAATAGTGGTGAATCTTTTATTGAAACAATGAATCTAATCAAAGCAGATAGAGTGTTAACTAGAATTCATCTGCCCCACAGGGACTGGGAGGGGTGGGGGGTGGGGTTTTATTGGGGTTCTTCATGGTAAAAAATAAGTTTTGGTAAAGGGAAATGTGCTTGATATTTGCATGACTGAGACCTAAACCTGAAAGCTTTGTAACCTTTCCCATGGTGATTCAATAAATAAATAAAAAAAATTAAAAAAAAATCATAGGTTTGCATATTATATTTAAAAAAATGTTTCTCTGGCAATAAATATAGCTTCTATATTTCTACATGCTAAGAAAGAAGCAATGTAGGTTATATACCTGTATAATGTCAATTTTTTCCTCAAAATAAATCCATATAGTAGTTGAGAAGACAGAGGCTAAGAGAGGGTTAGACATTTGCCCAAGACCTGGGTCTAATACCATAGTCTGAGTCTTATCGTTTAAATTAAAAAAGAGAGGGGGAGGGGAAGAAAAGGAAGGGGAAAAAGACAAATTTAAAATAAAAAAGGTAAAGAAAAGAAAGCATGCAGTGATTTAATTTTAGGGAAAAAAATTTTAAGTCCAGAAATTTAAGCAGGAAATTCTCATTGGAAAATCTTTGGAGTCACTATCCAGCATTTGAGAAAATTACTCCAGCTTAAATGGCAATGCACATAAAACCCCTTGTTAAAAGGTCCCCTTCCCCTTTATTTTCTGCCTGCAGACATCTGTGTGCTGTGCTCTATTTCTGGCTCTGACGTCACAATCCAGGGATAGCAAAAACTAACAGCCTGGTATTATCTCCATGGAGCCAGCCAATGAGTCGGGAGTCCTGTCTTCCCTCGTAAGCTAGGGCGTGTGAGCTTTACCTGCATGTAAATCGCCGAGAGCTGCAGCCAACACTTTATAAGCACAGGTCTTGCCGCCCATGGGGTCTCCGACAATCATGTAGCCATGCCTCACCAGCATCATCTCATAGATCTGGGAAGAGACATTGTAGGAGGCATTGATGAGGGCCTGGAGAGACACCTAATGTGCTGAGTATCAGCTTTGCATGCAGGAGATCTGGGTTTGAGCCTCCCTGCACAGTTTTTTGAGTTGTATTCCCTGAGTACTATAGGAAGTAGCCCCAAAACAAATAAAAAAGAAGTTAATGCAAACCTTCCAGAACTGTAAGTTAAGTCAGAAATCAATGGAGAATGAGGGTTCAAAAGGGAATTCCCACAGTCGCTTATACCTCGGTTAATCGATCCTTTTGATGTTTGATTCTTTAAGGATCTTTTAAATTAAAAGTGTGTGTCTGGGGGCTGGAACCATAGTACAGCTGGTAGGGCATTTGCCTTGCACGAGGCCAACCACAGTTCGATTCCCAGCATCCCATATTGTTCCCTGAGCACTGCCAGGAGTAATTCCTGAGTGCAGAGCCAGGGCAAAATCCTGTGCATCGCGAGGTGTGACCCAGAAAGAAAAAAAAAGTGTGTTTCTCATGATTTAAAGGAATGGAAACAGTTTTTGCCCCTATTTTTGTGCTAAGCACAAAATGAACTCATGTAACCCATTCAAGGAACATTTTAGAGTGGTGTCCACAGCTGGCAGTGCTCAGGGCTTCTCTTGGTTCTACACTCAGGGGTCACTCCTGGCAATGCTCTGAGGATTATATGCCGTGCTGGGAATAGAACCTGGATACACTGCATACAAGGCAAGTGTCTAAGCTGCTGTTCTATCTCTCCAGTCCATTAACTACCTTTGAATGGTGGGAACACTGGTAAGTAACTCCCTCAAGCCCAACAGTGGTGGAGGCAGGATTTGACTTATTTCAATACCCTAATCTTTTTATTGCACCATTTCCATCTGCTTTAAAAGATGAACAGGAAATAGTGGTTATTTTGTTGCAGGCAGGTAGGAAAGGGAGAGTTGAGGTGGGGGGGAGGGAGGCGGGAGTGGGGGAGGTAGAAGAGAGGCGACAATGAGTTTTTCAGGAAGTAATAAAACGCGAGATGTTATTTAAAGCAGTTGCCTAGTCCCCAGCCCCAAAGCAGCCCCAGGCACTAAAGGCACCCTTTGGAGGTGTGGAAATGGGTCTGATAAGACTTAATAGTACCACTGAGAGAAGGAAACTGTTACCCTTCAGAAAAGGAGAAGTTTCAAGGGAAACAAAAGTTTATGATGAAATTGTGAAAAGGGGGGCTGGAGGTAAGGCATTTGTTCTGCCCCTCAGAAGATATTTTATACCGAATAAAGATGCACAATGTTGACTGTGTATAAGAAATAAGAGGGGGGGCAGGGCTGGATCAATACACAGCCGGTAGAGCGTCTGCCTTGCACATGGCTGACCGGGATTTGATTCCCAGCATCCCATATGGTCCCCTGAGCACCGCCAGGAGTAATTCCTGAGTGCAAAAGCCAGGAGTAAACCCTGAGGATCACTGGGTGTGACCCACAAAGGCAAAAAAAAAAAAAAAAAAAAAAAAAGAAAGAAAGAAAGAAAAAGGAAATAAGCAGGGTAAAAAGACAGCTCAATGTCTTCACAGCTCAGTGAGTTCACATTTAGCATATGGGAGGTCTGAGTTTGACTGGTACCACCTGGTGTCATGTTGCAAACATCTTCCGGGAGGTACTTCTGAGCACAGAGCCAAGAGCAGTCTCTAAAGACCCCCTCCCCCCCCCCCCCCCCCGGCCCCCATACACACACTGAAAAAAAAACCAAGAAATAAGAATAAAGTATTAATGATTCAGTACTTCTCATCATATCCCCCGTACTTTTAAATGAATTATATCAAGGTATTAATATACAAAATGGAAGGTAGTTCTAGATATCTTGTTTTTTTGAGCCACACCCAGAAGTGCACAGGGTTTACTCCTGGCTTAGCATGCAGGAATTACTCCTGGAGAGCTTGGGGAACCATATGGGATGCTGGATATCAAGCCTGGGCTGGCTTGAGCAAGGCAAACACCCTACTTGCTGTACCATCGTTTCAGCCCAATCTCTTGGGTTTTGAAAATTTGTTCTAAACCATATAAAAATGTCATATAGAAGTCGGCAAGGTACTTTCAATTAAATAAGAAAGCCAGATGACTAGATGGTTACCTTATAAAGCAAGTTTTATTAAGTATTAATGTATAATCTAGGTGGTAGATACATGGGTGTTTTCTGTCATTCCTTATGATTTTATGCATCTTTAGAGGGCTTGCCTTGTTCACAGCCAATTCGGCTACAATCCCCAGCATCCCATATAGTCCCCTGAGCACCACCAAGAGTGATCCCTGAGTGCAGAGCCAAAAATAAACCCTGAGCATCACTGGGATGACCCAGAATGCAAAAAATAAAATAAAATATGTATGTAGTTAAAATGGTTCATAAATGAAAGTAAAATCAATATTGAGTTAAATGAATTATATCAAAAATAAATTATGTAGTGATAAAAAAAATCATCAATTTTGCCATACGTGTTCTGATTTTTGAATGTGGAGACATGAGTCTTACCTTAATCTTTCCTATAAATAACTTTTTGGGAAATAATGATGCTTTTGGGAAATGATGATACTACTAAATCATCAAGTAGTATGATTATAGGGTTATTATGTGACGATTATAGGGTCGAGAAAGAATAGAAATAGACACTAGGAGCTATAGCACAGCGGGTAGGGCGTTTGCCTTACAAGCGGCCAACATGGCCGACCCGAGTTCGATTCCTCCGCCCCTCTCGGAGAGCCCAGCAAGCTGCCGAGAGTATTCGATATGCCAGACACAGTAACAACAAAGTCTCCAATGGAGACGTTACTGGGCCCGCTCGAGCAAATCGACGATCAACGGGAGGGCCTTTACCTTTACCTTAATTTTATTATTATTATTTTTTTTTGGATTTAGGGCCACCCCCAGGAGTGCTCAGGGTTTATTCCTAACTCTGCACTCAGAGATCACTCCTGGAAGAGTTTAGGGAACCATATGTGGTGTTGGGGATTAAACCAGGGTTAGCTGTGTGCAAGGCAAATATCCTACCTGTTGTGCAATTGCTCTGGCTTCTAAGATTTAAGATGCATTATTTTAAATTAGGTTGGTTTTTATTTTTGGACGACACTCAGATGTTCTCAGGAATAACTCCTGGCTCTGCACTCAGGGATCACTCACCGTGGCTTGGGAGATTATATGGGGTCTCATTAAACCTAGATGAGATGTGGGCAAGGTAAGTGCCTTACACGCTGTGCTATCTCTCCAGCCTCCACAAGAAAGCAATTATAAGGAAGCAAGTTTGACATTAATATAAAGCCTCACTAAGACTCTCATTAAAGTCAAGACTATACAGAGGCTTACCAAACATCTGTTCTTTTATCAATAAATGCACCCTAGTTTCCCCATTGGTCACTGCTCAATGGTTCAGTTCCCAAGGTTGGAGGTTGGATGTCTTGGATCCATCCTCATACTTGGTGAAGATAGAGTGACTATAATCCACTTTTAAAAAATCTCTGTATTTGCTTCATGATGGTATGTAACTTTCACAGCATGGCATAGTTCCCTGAGTATAGCTGGGGTTACCCCATGAGCAGTTCCAGAGCATTAATAGGTATAACTCCAGAACAAAACAAAAAAAAAAAAGAAAGGAAGGAAGGAAACAAGGAATAAAAAAAAGAAGGAAGGAAAAGAGAAAAGAAATCACAGGGAAAATGATCACAGGAAAAAGTGGGTTTTTAACTTCTAGAAATGAAAACTAGGGGCTAAAAAACCAATAGATTGGTTTTTTGTTTTTGTTTTTTTTTTAAGCCACACTTTCTAGTACTTGGGAGTTACTCCTGGCTCTTTTCTCCTGGAAGTGCTTGCGATTGCTACAGTCACATGGAGTCAGCCTCATGGATGGCAAGTCCCTAAACCATCTCTCTGGCCTGCAAAGGATAGTTAAACATTTTTTAATAGCTTTTTATACTCATCTAACTCTGATGGCTGTCTGTTCAGTTTCAGTCTATCGTAATTCCTTATCATCCTTGATTTTAGCAGATGGTATGACAAAGAGAATTCTATATAAGTATGAGAACTAACCTGGATAATTTTCCCAATAAACCAAGGTACTGGTTGGAGTTTCATCTTTTTGATGTTTACAGTCAGCACATCCACAAAAATTTCATAGTCTGGCTTTGGAAGAACAACTCCAGGAAACAAATCTGATATAATTCCCTGTTAATAAGAATTCAAAAGAAATTATAAAGTCTGAAATAGTAAATTTTTGACCTCTACATTTTCTTAGAATGAGAATTATCAATAGAAAAAAATCTTAAAAATTCCAAGCCTCATTTTCCCTGCACTGAAACTCATGCACAACTACACATTTCAACATTGTCTCATAATGTTTTTATCTTTTCCTTCCAAATAATTTTAAAGGGTGGAAAATATCTAATCAACCTCTACCATTGATTGATACAGACTGTCACCAGTCTGTGAGAATGTCAGACACTATTCTCAGATTGGATAAGAGTAATTCTTAGCTTGAAGTTCATAGCCTGATAAAGAAAAATACATTAAAATGATGACAACGGGAAATACATTCCATCTGATATGAACAACTACCCCAAGCCAACAGAAAATATATTTTAAGTAAAACCCATTTTCACTAAAATTAGGAACTCCACTGAACTACAGTTCTAGCCATTATTCAACATTTGGGGGAGGATATTTAGTCCCAGGGATGCTGGCTGGAGATGGAGGTGGAGAGGGCTCCAAAGAGAGATAGGATCTTCAGAAGTTCAGACTCAGTGCTTGGTCAAGATCCCAAACCACTCACTACCCACCTGAAACAGAGGGACGTCTTGAGCCAAGAACTTGGCCAGATTGACATCAAGCAAGGCTCGGAGCAGCAGGACGCTCTCATTCTCCTCCGGGTACTTGAGCTTCAGGTTTCCGGCAGCAGTGAGCACGGACTTGACGGCACGCATGCCGTAGTCATAGTGGTGCTGGGAGGAGAGCTGCTCCGAGCACAGGCGGTAGGTTGCCACAATCTTCTGGGCGAGACTGGGAGGGCAAAGGCAACTCTACAGATATCCAAAGGGCCTTCTACTCAGTGCATATTCCCAACATCCTAGTGCCCTGCCCCTTCAGAAATCAAGTTTGCTCATGGACTCAGTGAAGAAGTCCTGTCATTTGAAGACCGTTTTAACACTGAATTACTTAAACATGTTAAGGGAGTATTATAAAACATGGTGATTCGGATCCGGAGAGCAAACACACATATGTATAATATGTATAGAAAATTAGGTGCATATCTACTTTCATTTGCATATATGAGTCCATGTACACATGTATTTGGGAAGAAAACACCAAGTTGGGCTGAAGCGATAGCACAGCGGGTAGGGCATTTGCCTTGCATAAGGCCGACCTGGGTTCCCCCCTCTCAGAGAGCCCAGCAAGCTACCGAGAGTATCTCGCCCGCATGGCAAAGCCTGGCAAGCTAACCGTGACATATTCGATATTCCAAAAACAGTAACAACAAGTCTTACAATGGAGACGTTACCAAAAACAGTAACAACAAGTCTTACAATGGGGATGTTACTGGGCTCACTCGAGCAAATCGATGAACAATGGGAGGACAGTGCTACAGTTCTACGCCAATTTATTAATAATGCTAACCCCTGAAGAGCAAGACTAAGTGTCATAAACACGAAGCTCAATTTTGGGGACACTTGTAACATTGCAATGTTCTTATTTCAATGGTTTATGTTTTTAATTTAAGGCAACCAATTCAAAATATAATACATTCAGCACATAATTCATGTGTGTATTAGGTGTAAAGTCACTTCATATTCTTTCTAGGCACATAGTTGTACTACATATTTTAGCCCATCATGCAGCTAGGTGGCCTGTGAATGATGGGAAGTAGCTTCTTCCAGGGCTGGTTCATTAAAAACCTTCTTCATGAGCCCCACCATGCTCATGTGCTATAGCCACGAGAGAGCTAACCTGGGATTTTCCCTGGAGAAGAATTCCCCTGGGGAAATTTTTATAAATTTAATAATAAATACCCATTCTGGATGATCAGGGAGAGAAAAATGAACTTTCACTCTGACTATGGAATCATGTTAAGCCTATTCCCTATATGGAGATCCTGTTTAAACCCTGATTTAAATAATTTATTTATTTTGGTTTGGGGACTACACCTAGCAATAATCCTGGCTCTGGCTCACTCCAGTGGTAGTTGAAAATCATGTGGAGTTAGGGATTAAACCAAGACCTTTGTACAATGCATGCACCAGTCCTGATGTTAAAAGAAAAGATTTGTTGCTTCTCACCAGCACCTAGATAAGATGGGTGATTCAATAAAGGGTTGACCATTGAAAAAAATCAGTGAAATGAATGGGCAAGTCATTATAATCTAATTATATTGTAGGAAAAAAAATAAGCCTCATATAACAAGCCAGTCTCCTGGCCTAGGAAGGCTGACACCTTCTATTAAGAGTAACTGCTAATTCTTGAATTAAGAACAAGGACATAAAGATACTAATGGCCTTTTGGAGACATATGAAACTAAAAAAATTAATCAATCATGATGAAAAATATAAAAGTCCAATGTAAAACTTAGGCTTGCTCCTTCAAGCCCATGTTCTCCCTTGAACTTGTTCTTCACTTGCTTGTATCTAAGTATCTTTGCATGCTCTTTCGCCTCTGAAGAAGCCCATATTCTCTCTTGAACATTTATGTACTCTCTTCCTCTCCCCTCACATCTTTCTAAGTTTCATTCAATAAAAGCTATCTTGCTTCATTAAAAAAAGCACTAAGAATTGATCAACAAAGCCATTTTAGGGGCTGGAGCGATAGCATAACGGGTAGGGCTTTTGCCTTGCACATGGCCAACCAAGTTCAAATCCCAGCATCCCATATGGTCCCCCAAGCACCGCCAGGAGTAATTCCTGAGTGCATGAGTCAGGAATAACCCCTGAGCATCACTGGGTGTGACCCCCCAAAGAGCAAAAAAAAGTCGTTTTATGATAATTTCTGGTAATAGCACAGCGGGTAGGGCGTTCGCCTTACAAGCGGCCAACATGGCCGACCCGAGTTCGATTCCTCCGCCCCTCTCGGAGAGCCCGGCAAGCTACCGAGAGTATTCGATATGCCAGACACAGTAACAACAAAGTCTCCAATGGAGGCGTTACTGGGCCCGCTCGAGCAAATCGACGATCAACAGGAGGGCCTTTACCTTTTACCTTAATGACCTATATATATGTGAGTCATGAAAAAAAAAACAGTATAATATTTGTGTTAGATAGAACCCAATTGGTTGGAATAAATACATATACTGCTGATAGCAATATGATTCATTATATTAAATTTTCCTCTATAGTCAGAATAATTTTATGATTTTTAGTCTTACCATAAGTCATATGTGTGTGTATGTATATTTGTGTATGTGTGTGTACATGCTAGGGAGAAGATGAGGTGATGAGTGGCTATTTTCCCTTACAAGTTGACGTGAAAAGTTCTTGATCCTACTTGGGAATGGGGGCTACTCCCATGGTTTGATAAGGACCAACGCCAGATCTATCTTATTTTTTTTATTGGTTTTTTGGATACACCTAGTAATGCTCTGGTTTTTCACTCAGGAATCACTCCTGGTGTTGTTTCGGGAACCATATGGGATGCCAGGGATCAAACCTAGGCTGGCCTTGTGCAAGGCAAATGCCCTACCTCCTGTACTATCTCTCTGACCTCAAGGCCATATCTATTTTAGATTAACCTTCTCATGTTTCTCTTTTCTTCCAATAGACAACTCACCTTGAACTCATTGTATAAAAAAATTATTCTTTAAAAGCCAGAGGAAAGTCAATGTGTCGTACCTTCTAGAGTCCAGAAATCCCATTGAGTAGAGGGAGATTTCACCAATGAGGGCATAATCTGGCACCATCATGGCCACTGTCCGAAATAAAGCCTGGGAAAGAAATAGCCATTCAGAACTTGCACATATACAGTTAACAATTGGGTATAAGTAGTATGATCATTAATGCCCCATCATGACAATCAAGGGAAGGAGGACTAAAGGACAATCAATGCAGAAAGATCTCCAGAGATGCTTCTTTCCCCTGGTTTACTGTCCTCCATGTTTGCCCCATACAGATACATGCTGTCATGTTGGGCCCTTCAGTGGTTGTGTGATGCTTTCAAGTATTGGTGTTACTAAAATATCTCATTCTCCTATGTGCAGTGAGGACATCTGAAAGCATCATTCAACTATGGGAGCCTTCCGATGTCGAAGATGCTAAAGTAACGTAGGCATGCGGAACCAAGATGGGTCAGAAAATCCTCAAGTCAGATCTTTAAGTCTTTGTTCTGCCCTCTACTCGCTGGTGACAAGTCATATAACTCTGCTAACCCTCAGTACTTTCAACCTCAGAAATGTGCAAACTGCTATAGCCTCTTCATTCTCATAATCATGAGAACAAATAATTACACGGAAGTGAAGTGGCTAGAAAAATGTGGCACAAATAAATATATATTCAATAAATATAAACACTGTTATTATCACCTTAGATCTTAGAGAAGAGCTTTGCCCAGTACAGTTAGAGGTAGAGCCAGGACTAGAACATAAGCTTCCTGAGAACTACCCCCGGTACATTTTATATTACCACACTGTCTCATAAAAGTTATTTGTGCAGATCAAGCATGGATACTAGATGGGGAGAATACAGTAGAGAGGAAAGATCATTAGATGGTGTAAATAAAAAGAGGGGGAAAGTACCAGAGAGACAGCACAGGTATTAAGACTGCCTTGCTTACTGTCAACCTTGGTTTGATCCCTGGCACCACCAGGAATGATCCCCAAGTACAGTTGGGAGTAGCCTCTGTTATGTGTGACCATAAAGAGGGAGGGATGGAGGGAGGGAGGGAAGGAGGGAGAGAGAGGAAGAGAGAGAGAATCTAAATTTTACTCTTCAGCTACTTCATGGATCTATTGTTGAACTACCGTGGGGGGATCATTCTTCTTTTTCTTTCTTTTTTTTCCATCTTGAGCCACATCTAGTGGTGCTCCAAGAATGCTTCTGGCTCTGTGCTTAGGGGACCATATGCAGATATAGAGTGCAAGGGATCAAACCAGGGTCAGCTGTACACAAGACAAGCACCTTAACGCCTGAACTCTCTCTCCAGTTCCATAAATTCCCCCTCAGGGTGCTCCTGACTCTTCCGTTCCAAGGGAGGAGGCATGGTGTGTCTGAGTAAAGTTCCAGGGCACTGTGATCAGAATGTCCTTCTAGCAGTTGGAATGTCAGGCATTAAAGTTAGTGAATGTGGATTTGAATCCCTCTCCTGACCACCTGACTTCTCCCATTTGCGTTATCTGTAGGACACCCCCTTCCCCCCAAACAGAAACAGTGGCTTCTGAATGCATTGTTTCCTGTTGGCCATCAGCTGTGATGCATGCTTCCCTCCACCTTCCTGTGAGACCTTCTGGGGAACTTAATCCATTGGTACAAAGTACCACCCACACATCACCATTCCTTCTGTGCTGGAAAATGTTGCCCGATCCCATTATCTGGTTCTATGAAGCCCTCATATACTTGCAGAAATTTCTACACAACAAAGTACACCCAGTATTTATAGACACTAATGTTTACCTTGAGATTATCTGGAAGCTCTGCCCTGCCAGCGTATCCGGGATTCATCGTAATGAAGACAGCGCAGGTTGGATTCAGAGAGAGTTCGGTGCCTTCAAAGATGAACGTCTTTAACTTCCGGATAATGGCTTGTTGAATGCTGAGAATCTGCTGAGCTACCACAGACAGCACTTCCACCTGGGGTGGAGGATGACTGGCTGATGTGAGCCTCTGCTTCTCACAGTCACCCACCCGGCTCTGCTGGAGTTTGCTCCTTTCACTTGACAAAGGGTGAACCCAAACACCTGAGAACCCAAACTTCACACTTAAAGTTGGAGCATGAACCAGAGTTTCGTTAAAATAAAAATTTCATGCATATGTGTGTGAGAACGTGTATGTTCACGTGTGTGAATGTAAGTAGTATCCATAGTTACTAAAATTTTTGTTCTAGCACCTAGCATCATGCTTGAAGAGTTGGTATTGAATAGTGTATTTGTTCAAGTTGTATGCATACATTTACACTTCACCACCCAAAAAAGAGTTTGTTACCACCTTTTATGATACATCTTTTGTACCATAACTATGGACATCTATTATACTTTGTTTGTTTAATTTAATTTTGTTTGGGAGTCACACCTGGAAGTGTTACTCTTTACTCTGTGCTCAGGGATCACTTCTGCAGTGCTAGGAAGAACCACAGGCAATGCAGGAGATCAAACTGGGATTGGTCACATGCAAGGCAAGCACCTTAACCCCATACTGTCTCTCCAGCTCTCATTTAATTTTTATTATCTTCTAGACTACTTTTCATTCATCTTTGTATCATGAACACATACAGAGTATCTTACTTAAAGTATTGCTAAAAAAATTTCTGAATGACCAAATAATTGTATGATGAGAAGCTATGTGTGCATAAAATATGCTCGTGTCTCCTTGGGGCTGTTTTCCTTTAGTTCATTAAAGGAAAACAGCCCCAAGGAGACACGAGCATATTTTATGGACAAGACAAAAGTCCTATCATTAAGCAGCATGGAACCCAGATAAAGATCCCTGTGTCAGTTCGAAAGCCAGGTAGCAGGGTTACCTCAATCCTGTTGAACTCATCAAAGCAAGCCCATGCTCCAGCCTGCGCCAGCCCTTTGAAGAACTTCCCCATGGCTTTGTAATCCAGGCCATCGGAACAATTGAAGACAACACACTAGAGAAAGGGACAATACGGGCAACAATTAGGATGAGCTCCCCCACATCTGGATTACCCTAAACCATTCATCAGGGGTGGGGCTCCTCCCTCCCCATTCCACAGGAGGATCCGGGGCCCCACTCTGCCTATTACAACTACACCTAAACCTTCTTCCATTTCCTGACATCTTTCCTGAACCACAGAAAAGAGAAGAGGCAGAGAGAGAGGGAAGGTGTAGACAACACTTCCCTACCTGCTTGGCCAAAGCTTTGGCCAGATCTTTGGTGGTTTCTGTCTTGCCTGTCCCAGCTGGACCCTCTGGAGCGCCACCAAGGTTTAGCTTCAAAGCTCCCATCAGTGTCCTAAGCAAGGGGCAAAACGTAAGAACAGTGTGTAAATCTTAAAACACAGGAAAAAAGACTGGTTTGTGTTATTTTATTTTGATTCACACAGTAGGTGAATTTTTCTTTTTTTTTTTTAACCATAGAAATAAGTTATATTTTGAATTAGCTGGCTGGACTGTTTAGATGATCCCAATTTTATTGGGAACATCCAAGGTATCTTAGTCAGGAGCCAGGTGAGCATATGCCTTTTTCTCTCCCTCAGGTCTATTCATGATGTTGTGGCCACATTGATGTCACAGAGCTTCTTCACGGCCTGTCTACTCTGGTGCTGTTGGTCTGGACCACCAAGATGGACACAAGTGACACAAGTATGCTGTTATCTTCTTCCTTCTTCCTCTGACTCAGCTGTCAGAGGGAATTTGATGATGGCAGAATGGTCAAGCTTGTTTCTCCTGGGGCGCTCTTCTGAGGATAACTGGGTTGCCTCCTCAGCTGCAATGTTTTGGATCTTCTGAAGGTGGGTGGCATGTGGATCTTCTTTTTGTGACCATTGATGCCTTTCAGCACTGCCTGCCTGGCCCTCAAGGCTTTGGCTTTGGCTTCAACTTTGGAAGAGGCAAGGACTTCCTTCTTGCTTTCAGGGCCATCTTTGTGAAAAGGGTTTTCTAAGTTTTTATTTGATTACATGACTAATGCATCATCATTAAAAAATAAATGAATGAATAACTAACTAATTAAATAAATAAAAACCTGTTTTACTGCAACCTTAGAACTAAGCACATATAATAAAAAATTAAAAATAAATTAAAATAAATTAATTTTAAAAAAGAACTAAGCACAGTCCCTAAGGCATGCATAGCACTGTCAAGTTTTTATTTGAATGGTTAAGTGACTATGTACATATGTAAGGGGATCAAATAAAAAGTGAAAAAAAAAAGTTATCTTAAACTTCTACATTCCAAAGATCAGCAGTGCTAATGGAACAGGAGAAATAAATGTATTTTTCTCACTAGATTATGAACTAGTGAGTTCAGGACCCATATTTGGTTTAGTTTCACACCATAAGCATTGTAACACAGTACCTGGCATGTGACAGGGGAAAGATACATTTTGGAAATGAATGATGTTCTTAACTGTGGTTTAACCACCCCAGATATAAGCCTCCAGATAGAATTTGGGCTCATACATTAGCTTCTAATCATCTGAGTATGTCTCTTTTCTCTCTGAGGTGGAAGGTTCCTGGAGGTCATTCCCAGTGGCCAAAAGAAGGTCAAGAAATGATTACTGAGCCTAATAAGCCGTAAATGGCAAGAATCACTGGACAAGTGGCTGAGGACACTGATAAAACAAAATTTAAAAGTATTATTTTTATAATTAAAAAGATCTATTGTGAGGAATTTTATAATATTAAAAAAATCTAAGCATCCCAAAAATGATAAGCTCACAACATCCTAGTTCTAATATCATGAATTCCAAGGAGAGTAGCAAAGCATTTTAATGAACACAATGCCCAGTGCCCTTCAGTGAACTGAGTTTTACAAAGCCTGGTGACTTTGATGATCACCTGGGTCATTCTCTACGTCCTCCAGGCCCAGTCTTGTTTTCTGTCATTGGCAAAATCCCTACCTAAGTGCTGTGCCAGTTATAAGGATGGCCATCAATGTTCCGCCTGTTGGTTTGCCCACATCAGGGCTCTCAGACAGTCTCATGTCAACACCCCTCTGTGGAGACCATGGTGTCTGAGGGGGAAGTTCTAGAATGGGAGAAACTGAGATAGAGAGGGTAATAGCACAAACTCCAGCTGTCCCTGCCTCCTTCCCAAGAAGGTCTGCTTTCTAGACTTCTCCATTCAGTCTTTGTATCTCGGGAGTCCCAGAGTTTACCTGTAGCAGCGATCAGTGAGGGGCGTGATCACCAGCCGGGGGGAGTTTCCCAGGTATTCGTAGCCGTACAAGGCTTCTGTTGTGATCATGTGGACTTGCACGTCCATGGACTCCCAGTAGTAGCGCAGCTGCGAAATCCACTGGAAATCGCTCAGATCACAGACATTGTCCTGAGATAGCTTGGCTACTACATCACGAGCTGTTGAGACACAGACACATAAACACACACACATACACACACACACACACACACACACACATACACACATTCATTCCATTAACAGAGATTCTCAGGAAAGGTTGGAAGATGCCCATAAAGATATCATCTCACACAGTTGGGAAGAGGCATTGAAAGCACATTGCTGGGCTCATTTACCACTGGGGGACATGAAATGCACATGTCCTGACATCAGACTGGCTGGGTGCAAGTGCACCCTCTGTCCTGTGCTGCATAATCTGTGACATGTGGATAACACAGTGCTTGCTTTATAGGGTTAAATGGATGTACACACCTATTCATAGGTCGATGGAGATATAGTTGGCTCTTGAACAGTACGGGTTTGAATTTTGTGGGTCCACTTGTGTTCCCAACAATTTTTTCCCCAACAAATAGAGTGGACCCTCCGTATATGTGGTTTTCACATTCGGATTCAACCACTATTTATGAGGGTGAGGGACCTTGAGATTTGGAGGATTAACAGAAAGTGTTAAGGAATGGGACACCTGAAGACCATCTCCTATGGATAATAAGGAAAAACTGTAGTTAAGTTTGAACAGAGTTAAAACATGAATTGAATTTTTCAAATGTGTTGGTGGGCTAAACTCCATGTTGTTCAAAGATCAACTATATGTATTTGTACAGACATGTACATAGATACATGTACATATTTATGTACATATGTGTGTCTATACACAAACACACAGAGATATAGCTAGAAAAAGAAAAGGAGAAAGAGAGAACTATATTCCTGGCACATAAGAACATTAGATAAACATTGTACTGTCCACCTGTTGTTCATCGATTTGCTCAAGTGGGCACCAGTAACATCTCCATTGAGACTTGTTGTTATTGTTTTTGGCTTATCGAATATGCCACAGGGAGCTTGCCAGGCTCTGCCGTGCAGGTGGGATACTCTCGGTAGTTTGCCGGGCTCTCTGAGAGAGATGGAGGAATCAAATCCGGATCAGTCACGTGCAAGGCGTGCTATCACTTACCCACTGTGCTATCACTCCAGCCCAAGATAAACATTAGCTACTGTAATTATTCTAACTTTAGGAGGGTCTAATCTTTCGGGATTTGTTATTGCCAGTTGCTACTGTAATTAACCCAAATTCTATCATATCCTCCTTCCCCACCCCTCCCCACCACACACAATCTTTCGTCCTGTTCCAGACTTCTGGGTTATCCCAGAAAATAAAATTAGTTTGGACTAAAGCAGTTAGCAAAAGAAGGGGTCCCGAAAACCCATAGTTTGATATACAATTTTTATCTAGGGGCCTGAGAAACCAGGTCATTCAACCTAGAAGATAAATTTCCTGGGTTTTCTACTTTCATAGGCTTGTTAGTCTAACTTAATTTATTCATATTGTTGGGAATCATGAAGTGAATTTTATCAGCACTGTAGCACTGTAGCACTGTCCTCCCGCTGTTCATCAATTTGCTCGAGTGGGCACCAGTAACGTATCCATTGTGAGACCTGTTGTTACTGTTTTTGACATATCAAATACTTCATGGGGAGCTTGCCAGGTTCTTTTTTTTTTTGGTTTTTGGGTAACACCCAGAAATGCTCAGGGTTTACTCCTGGTTCTGCACTCAGGAACTACTCCTGGCGGGGCTTGGGGGACCATATGGGATGCCAGGGATTGAACTCAGGTGGGCTGCGTGCAAGGCAAAAGCCTTACCCACTGTACTATCGCTTCAGCCCCCACATGTAGGTTCTTACAAGACACCATTGGTTAGTTGGAAGCCTGACTCATGAGCTGGGGAAGAAGGCAGCTGGAGTAGAGAAGGGATCACTAAGTCAATGATGGTTGAAGGAATTGTTCGGGATGGGAGATGTGTGCTGAAAGTAGATAAAGGACCAAATGTGATGGCCTCTCAGCATCTATATTGCAAACCATAATGCCCAAAAGTAGAGAGAGAATATGGGGGAAATTGTCTGCCATAGAGGCAGAGGGAGGGTTGGGAAAGAAGTTGGTAATAATGGGGATATTGGTGGTGGAGAATGTGCACTGGTGGTGTTCGATCATTGTATGACTGAAACTCAAACATGAAAGTTTTGTAACTGTATCTCATGGTGATTTAATTAAAAAAAAACAATGTACATCATTTGAATAGGACATGAAAAAAAAAGACACCATGGGGCATGTAGCTTTTGGGCCACATCCACAGAGCTCAGGGCCAGGGCAATCCCTGGTGGTACTAAGAGGACCATATGAGGTTCCAAGGATCAAACCTGAGTTGACCATGTACACAGCAAATGCATTCTCTAACTGCTGTGTTATCTCTCTGGCCCCAGGAAAATGCACCTTAAGAGAATGGAATTAGGATGCCTTCACTATGCACTGTGTGTGCATCCTTTTGATATTCGGTGTGTGTGTGTGTGTGTGTGTGTGTGTGTGTGTGTGTGTGTGTGTGTAAACCCAAACACTCTGGGGTATTCTGGGCTGTAACCATGACTGCACTTACGATCCCTACTGGCTAAATAGGTGTCCTAGTGAAGAGCACATCTCTCCTCCTAATCTCTGGTTTTATGTCCATCCACCCAAGTGAAAGCAGATTGAAATGACCATGAACTTTGAGGAGAATAAGACACCAGGAAATGCCAGTAGGAAGCTGGATGCCTGAGCAAGAGACGCAGTTTCCCAGGCAAGCTGCTTGGTCCAGCCCTAGTTCCCTTGGGGATGAAGGTTTGTTTCACATCAAGATCTTAATTCCTTATCCTCTCCTCCTTCTAACTGCTTCTTGATTTCCTCCTCCTACTGCACTCCCTGCTCTTCTCTTCCTCCTCTGGATTCCTCCTCCACTCCCCCTCTTCTTTTTTGGAGGAAGAACTGGAAGGCATCATCTCTCCCCCAGGCCCTCCCTACATCACTGCCCATTTAGTCTCTTGGGTTTGGAATCAGACACTGGTTCCAATGACAACAGTTTCTGATACCAGCTAGGTGTCACTTCACTATGCAAGTCATTTGCCACTCAAGCCTCAGACCCTTCAAATATGAAAAATACGTAAAATTAGATATTTTGGACCAAGCTCAGAGCTTAACACCTGGTGAGGATTTGAAAGCTATTAATTATAGTTAGCCCAAGGAAATCGGGCCAAGTTGGCAAATCTCAGACAGTGCCGGGGCTATCAATGTGTTGGTCGGGTCTGGCTCTAACCTGCAACTAAGGGTGGGGCTTGCAAGGGAAAACAGAAGATGGAGAGACACAGAGGCTTCTGGATTGCCTCTCTCCTGTCCCTTCCTTCCACTGTTGGAGAATTCGCTCACCAATGGGAAAAGGCCCCAAGTCCCCAGGGTGCTGCTCCTGGAGCATCAGTACCAGCAAGTCGCCTTGATCACTCACCATGGACATCGATGACAGTCAGGGCTCCAAGGGTGAGTCGAGCCCCACTGCTCAGCTTTCCTCGCACCAGCTCGACAATCTGTGCGATCTGATCATTGCTCTTCTGCAGAAATTCCTGGCAGGAACACAGGGAGAAGGGGAACACCAACTATATTGGATTCTCTCCTCATAATCCTTTCTCTCTAAATGGCGCCATTTATCTACCCACCTAGCCTGAATGGCCTCCTCACACCTCACCCCGAATTCCAAATTTTCTGCCTCACACTTCCCATGAGAACCCTAGTTTCTGTGGCGTCCTGGGCCTGGTTATTTTTCGGTTTGACTGTTTAGCAAACATGACCACTCTAATGACAAGTCACTCCACTTCGACTGGATCTTGAATCTGCTCTATGAGCTTCCAGACAGGTAGGGGCTTTCACTTACCGGAAGGGTCTTTTCTACCAGGGCATTTGATACCTCCTTGGTCCAAAAGATGGAGGAGACACAGATGACCACCTGTCCAGGCCACTGCAAGACCCATTGATTGCGAGGGACCTGAGAAAGTATGATGGAGCATGTGGTACCGTCAGTCCATCCCCCGTGAGATAAACTAACCTCCTAAATCATCCTCTATCCCTACAACAGAAATGAAATCCTTTCCCACTCTCAGGTCACAAGGCACAAACTCTCTGGGATTACTGATTTACTTTCTCCTCCCTGAATTCTGAGAAAGAGAAAAACTATCACCAACAATTTCAATTCTTTTAAAAACTATTTCTTCAAATCATGCTTCCACCTCCAGGACTTTGACAGTGATGTAACAGGGTGTTATTCAGAGGTTACTGTCGTCACCACTCTTTTGAAGGCTATAGTTTACCAAAACAAAACAAAAGCTCATGGCAGAGATTTCCTAATCATTACACTCCAGCCCACACAGCCATAGATCTGGCCATACCTGGTTTTATAAACAAGCTACATGTGATATGGAAGCCATCATTGACCTATTATCTGTGATGGCTTTCGCATAGTTTACGTAGTTGTGATTAGTACATGGGACTACAGAGCTGGAAAATGTGCCACGATCATTCGCAAAAAATAATTTTCTGACTCTTGCTATTGATACACAGTGAGATCTAATTTCATTTTGGGATTAGCGTTTTTCTTTTTCTTCTTTCATGTTTGTTTGTTTTCTTTTGATTTAAATGTGTCATGGGTATAATAGAGAGGATTGGTTTTCAGTCTATAGTACTGATCCTGCTTACAGGGATCGTAGGTTCTGTCTCCAGCATTTTAGCCCGATGTATATTGAACATATTCCCTCATTTGATGGAAAGGTCCTGGGAGAGAGAGTGGGGGCCTAAGAGTGAGAAGGAAAGGCACCCCAAGTAGAGAAGAATAACGATCCAGCAAGCTGATGTTCACCTTGTCGGGGAGCAGACTTGCTGGCTCCAGGTTCTCTTCTTTACAGCCTTCTATAAGACCAGTTCAGAAGGTGAGGGAATACAGGAAGTGAGACACCTGCCTCATATGTGGCAACAAGGATCAGAACGCTGGTCCAAATCCCCGGTACAGCATATGGTTCCCTGACTACAGCCAGAGGTGATTCCTGAGCACAAAGCCAGGAATAGACCCTGAACACCGCTGGGTGTGGACCCCTTTCCTTCATCTCCCTTCCCCTCCCACCCCCACAAAAGACCTGTTCTGTTCAGGAATCTAAGGAGTTATACTATTATCCATACAAGGCATGTGTAACATGCACACACACACACACACACACACACACACACACACACACACACATATCTCCTGGGAGAAATTTTTAGTTGGAAGGAACTGAAAATTGACCTGAGCCTTCAATTCATTTATATATAGAAATGGCCTCTAGCAACCAGACAGTTTTGTCTTCTTTTGTGTCATCTGTTTCCAACTGCAAATGGTTCAGCAGAAAAAAACTATCCTGGGATTTACAAGGCAAAAGAGACAGGCACAGAGAGGCCATTGTTACCTGGCAGGGGTGGGTTTTGGGAGAAAAACAAAGGTGTAGGTAGAACTGACCCATTTCACCTTCTCCCCAAAGTTCTTGTTGCTGTACCAACATTCTGAGAATGTGTCCTGGTTCTCCTTTACCTTGACATATGCCTCGATGCCTTGTCGAATGACTTCCCGCAAGCTGGCCAACATCATTTGCTCCACCTGCTGCAGCCATTTCTCCACCATGCCCTGCAAGGCGAGAGAGGAGGGGCAGCGAGTGAGCAAGCCTGGAGCACGGGTGAGTCAGCAGAATCCGCCAATGACTCTGAGAAAGCAGGAGAGAAGCTTTCAAAGGCTCCATGTCCCAAGACTGACAAGATGTAGTTTGTAACCTTTTTACACTTTCTGTATTCTAGGCAGTGCTTATCTCATGAAGGGACTGTGTTGTGAACATGTTTTGTGTTCATGTCATGAACCAGACCATTCTTGGGAAGCAGACAACATGTTTTGATAATAAAATGCGTTTGTTGTGGTACTGTTTATAACAGCCACTCTATGGGAAAGGTGTTCACCTAAATGTCCACGTGAGGATGAATTAACAAAATGCGGTACAAGTGACATATACATGTATACCAACATCTATTGAATTCATATTCAGCAGTGAAGAAAAAGAATAAAAAAGGAAAATGAATCTTGCCACTTATGGTAGTGGACAGATCCTGAGGGCATAAGTGATAAGCAAAATTTGTCAGAGAAAGATAAAGAGCTGTTTGATATGTGGAACAAAAAAAACCCTGCGAGCCCCACCTTAACCCTCCTCCCCCAATCCAAGTCCAGGGAAATTGCTCAAAGGGATTAAGTGCTTGCCTTGTATGCAGGAAACCCTAAATTGATCCCCAGCCCTGCATAGTCCCCTAAGCCTGGGGTGCTCCAGTACTACTGGGTCTAAACGGCATCACATCACCAGGTCCAAGCACTGAATCTTCCAGCCTGGTTGACTCAGTGATGCTGGGAGCAGCCCCTGGACCTCCTGGGCATTGCTTGAGAGACTCCCTGTCCACTCCCATAATCTACAAACAGTAGCAACAGCAACTGCTCCCCCCACCAGTCCCAGCCCCTCTATACACAGACAACAGACTGGTAGAGGTCAGAGGCCAGGGCTCTGGGAGTCTAGGGAGGACAGACAAAAGGAATGAGCTCCAAAGGTTAAAGAGACAAAACACAACAATGGCGAGAGATAGTATAGCAGGTAAGGCACTTGCCTTGCACCAGGCCCATGCAGGCTCAATCCCTAGCACCACCTACGTTCTCTTGAGAATGCCAGGAGGGATCTCTGAGTGCAGAGCTAGGTGCAAGTCCTGAGCACTCTGAATGGGACCGTCCCAAACAAAACAAAACCAAAAAATAGAACATATGTGGAGTGGAGAAATGTGATGGAGCACAACAATGACAGTGGAGATATCTGTGCTCTCCCCAAACAAAAGCAAACCTATAAGTCATAAAATAAGTAAGTCATGGGTGGGATGTAGAGTACTGTTACCATACTTAATACTGTACTGTCAAGATGAAAATTGCTAAAAGAATTAAAAAACTATGATGACAAGAAAAACATTGTAGTTCTGCACAGTGGATAGATAGTAACAGACTTGTGACCATCTTACTGTAGCACTGTCCTACCATCCTTCATCAAGTTGCTCGAGCGGGCACCAGTAACATCCCCAGAGACTTGTTGTTACTGTGTTTGGCATATCGAATACACCACAGGGAGCTTGACAGGCTCTGCCATGCGGGCGGGACACACTCGGTAGCTTGCCGAGCTCTCTGAGAGGGATGGAGGAATCGAACCCGGGTCGGCCGCATGCAAGGCAAACGCCCTACCTGCTGGCCCTGTATAAAAACAAGTAAATGAAACAGGAATCCAGAAGACAGCTGAGCGGCCCAAAGGCTTGGAAGTGACTGAGCGGCTCACAGCAGTGCTGGGGATGAAACCTAGGATCAGCCCTGCCTGCCTGGGAACATTCTCTCCTGCCCAAAATCTACTTGTCAAGGTGCTTGCTGTATCCTGGCCGGACGGAGTCCCTCCCTCACCCTCCACACACTAACCAGGGGGCTGTCTGGACACCCTCATACCCGGGGCTCCTTCTCGGGGTCCTGGGCTGGTACTCCCACGGCACCCAGCACCCAGCACCCAGCACCCAGCGCTGCAGCCCTGGCCCTCAGTCCCCATCTTACAATGTATACAAATATTGCAGACCTGAAACTAGTGTGTTATATGTCAAATATGTCTCAATTAAAATAAATAAAATAATAATGTACTTTTTTCTTTCTAAGGAGCAGTGTGCATTAGCAGTCTTGCATTATTTTAGAGGTTGCTAAACTTTGCCATGTGCTGAAATTATCTGGAGATCTTTTTCGAACAAAGCAGGTACCTGATGCATATTCCCAGACATTCTGACTTAATTAAGCTCTACAGGCAATCAGAACGTGCAGGAAACTGTCTGATTTTATGATTTTAGGTATCTGCAGTGGTTGGTTTTATGGCTCCTGGTTGGTGCAGCTTAGAGAACAAAGTCCAGACAAGCAAGTTGGTCTATTTGCACTTGTAGATGCTATCATGTCCAGGTGAGGGGGAACTAGCTGACACTTTGCTCTTTATGAAAGGAAATACATAAAAATCTAAATGAAATGGTATTGGATTTCATACTATTCTCTTGCACAGTTCTATTGCCCCTCCCAAACACTGTCCTAAAAATCTTCAAGAACACAGCAGTCCCAGCCGGCCAACTAGTTGGGTGTCTCTTCTTATAGATCTTGGAACACTCATAATTTGGCCTATTCCTATTTGGCTTATTCCTTCACATCATTTAGGTGATATCTTTCCAAATATTTAGTGTGTCATGTGAATTGCAAATAACCCCCACCTTAGAGATGGGCAAACTGAGACTTGAAAAGATTAAGTAACTTCTCCAAGTTGCCCAGTCATTAAATCACAGAACCCAAGTTTTCCACCCACACAGTTTAGATTAGAAACTCAATACTTAACCTAGTAGTCTAGCCTCTCTGCCTTTCTCTGCTTTGCTCTGTCATGGAGAAGGAAAAACCAAAACCAAAACCAAAATATGGATAAGGGGACTTACTTTGGCTTCTGCTGGGAAAATTTTTTTATTGAATGGAACAGTTTCCTTTTCTGAGCTAATCATGCCCACGATCTCCAGATTTTCTGTAAACTCCAGCTTGGCAATTCCTTCAAAGCACTTCTTCAAGTGGGGCTGCACTCGCAGAGGGTCTTTTGTTTCTGACAAGATCTCCAGCAGCTCATCATTTGACAGGAAGAAGAATCTATTTTAAGGCAAAGGTAGATAGCAACTGAAATCTCTTCTAAGGAATTTTTTTTCCCCAACAAGGTAATAGGATTCAATAGATGACACCCTAGTATATACCAGATACAGTCTGTAGACTTCTTGAAGGCCTACTTCAACTTCACCATGTTTTCATTTGGGTAGCACTGTCGTCCCGTTGTTCATCGATTTGCTCAAGCAGGCACCAGTAACGTCTCCATTGTAAGACTTGTTACTGTTTTTGGCATATCAAATACACCACAGGGAGTTTGCCAGGCTCTGCCATGTGGGAGGGATACTCTTTGTAGCTTGCCGGGCTCTCTGAGAGGGATGGAGGGATCGAATCTGGGTTGGCTGCATGCAAGGCAAACGCCCTACCCACTGTGCTATCACTCCAGCCCGTTCGTTTGGGTAGACATTGGTATTTTTTGCAGAGCAAGAGAAGGAATAGCAGCTGATGTATCTGAGTTAATATGGTTGGGAGTAGTTCAAAGAAACCTACCAATTCAAAGAAATTTAGATAGAACAGAGATTCTCCACACTAGTGTCACTTTAGAATGATCCGTATACTTTGGAATTTTTGCCCAGAGATTCTACTTAATTTAGAGTTGGGTCGAGGGATTTGCATTTTAAACAATCCCTGATCCTATCTGAGTTCAAAGAGCTGGTGTGCATGCTTGGCAGGTGGGAGCTCCATGTTTGATCTCTGGAACTACATATTCTCTGAGCATTGTGGGAAGTGGCCCCTCTAAATGTCCATCCACTGCCAGTTAAGGTTCAAAAGCCAAAAATAAACCAAACAAACAAACAGAAAGTCCCCACAGCAACAAATAAACAAAACAAACACCCCTTCCTTTGCTCCCAGATTACCTCAATGTGCTGTCAGTGCTATGAATCACCATGCAGGAGAAAGAAAAAGAATATTATGTTGGTATTATTAACTCCATGTACCAGAGTAAATGTTACATGTATGAAACAAGAGCATTTGAGGTGTGCAAAGTACTTTACCATGTGTTAAATTAGAAATAATAGGACCAGAGAGATATACCAATGGGCTGAGTACTTTTTTTCACACAAGGCAGCCCAGAAACAATCTCTGGCACTAGATAGTCCTCTGAGCAGTGCCAAGGTTAAGCCTCTAGTATTAAGGTGGGGAAGAGCCCCCAAGCACTGCCAGATATGGGCCCAAAGCCAAAAATTATTAAGAAAACAAATTACAGCTAATCTAACAACTTCATTCCCTTGCTGAAGTCCCAAAGACAGCATCAACAAATACTCAGAAAATATTCATGGGCTATCAAGTCTGAAAATACCCAATTGTTGGAAGGATTGTGGTGAGAAATGAACCCTCATCCACCCACTGTTGGTGGGAATGTCATCTGGTTTAGGCTTTATGAAAATAAATATGGAGATCTCTCCAAAAAAAAAGAGTAGAACTGCCATACTACTCAGAGATACCACTTCTTAGCATCTATCTAAAAAACACAAAAATATTAATTTGAAAAGATTTATGTACACCTATGTTTACCATCACACTTAGTACAATAACCAAGATATGGAAACAACCCAAATGTCTAAATACAAATGAATGGATCAAGAGATTGTGGTATATAAAAACAACAAAATACTATGAGGCTCTCATAACGAACAAAAATCATGCAGTTTACAGCAACATAGATGGAAGTAGAGGATATCATGCTAAGCTAAATTAATCAGAAATTCGATATGCCAAACACAAGAACAACAAGTGTCACAATGGTGACATTACTGGGCCCACTCGAGCAAATCAATGAACAACGGGAGGAGAGTGACAGTGACAGTGACAGATACAGAATAATCTCTCTCATATGTGGGACTTAAAGTTATACAGCATGGTGGCAACAAAAGGTCAAAGGCAATACAAGAGAACTAATCTACACAAGTGAGTTGGGGGGTAGAAAGAGGGCATTGAAAGGGAGAGGGAAATAGGTACACTGTACACTGAATATGGTGTGGTGTTAGAATTATGAGAAACCATCATTAACAGTATTGAAAGCCACAGAATTTCAATCAAAAAAAAGAAAAGACTGGGGAATAATTTCTACAATGATCACTAGGCTAAAATTTCCTTGATAAAGAGAGAGGGCGAATTTTCAGTATATTTGGTGAGTTACAAAATTAGCAATCCTATTGCTTGGAGTGGAATTTATTTTCATCTCTCTTGATTCTTGGCCGGTGTGTGTCCTGCTTTAGTAAACAGACTGCAGCAAATTTGCATTTGTGCAAATTCTAAATCTAGGCCTCAATAGATTTTAGAGCTTCCATTCTTGCTATTCTTGGGACCTCTTGGGATCTCTGTGACCACCAACGTGTGACTAGTCCAAGATGGTATTCTGTTACATATATGTGGTCCCAACTATCCCAATTACTGCAGCCAACAGGCAGCCAAATACCAAAATACTAACAATTTCAGGTTGATAGTGGTCACATGAATTAGTCTATTGCGACCAAACAAACTATTTAGCTGAATTCTGTTTAATTTGCCACCCCCAAGAACATGAACTAAATAAATAGATTTCTGTTTTAAGCTACAATTGGGGGTGGTTTGGTGTGTCACAAGAAAAACTATGTTATGCAACAAGATACTCTAGCTGCAGAGCTGAGCAGACAGGAAGAATTCCATAATTACTTGTTGATCGATGAGCCCAAACAGTGAGGCTATCAATTTCTCTCAATCCAAATGAAATTCAAACGGGTGATTTCTATAGATCCACATTACCTCTCAAGTCTGATAATGAATAAAGCAGTTTAATGGCCATAAGAATAAAAATTATATCGTATAATCTTTTAATTAAACCACTCTGTATCTTCATATTAAAACTGAAAACTGACATATGTGTATGCCAGATGAAATTTCTCTCTGATATATGGAATTCAAAAAATATAATAGGAGAATAAAAAATGCCCAAAGGCAACAGAAACGAAGAATTGATCTTCAGTAGGAAGCTTACTATGGGAGGGTGGTTGGGGTTGGAATGGGAAGGAATATTAAAACAATGATGGGGAGAAGCAGACTCTGGGGGAGGGGTGGTGCTAGAATATTTTATTGAAGAATTCCCACATTAACAGTTTCATTGACCATGGCCCTTAAAATAAAATAAAATCTGTGCATGTTAATATTTTCAAATAGTATGCTCAGAAGGCTTAATGAAAATGCACTTAGATTATCTAAGATTGTGTGTGTGAAAGAGAGAGAGAGAGAGAGAGAGAGAGAGAGAGAGAGAGAGAGAGAGAGAGATGGAGACAGAGATGGACAGAGACAGAGAGACAGAGAGAGAGAATTTAGACTCAAATTTCTAGAGAAAGAGAGAGAGTCTAATTTTGGGAGAAAATGAAGATTAGACGTTAAATTAACTGAGTATTGTACAGAGAATACCTGAATTTGAATTCCATCTTGTCCTTTACAAGTCTTGGGTTTTTTATTTATTATGTTTAGTTTGGTATTTCAGTATGTTTCTGTTTCTTGTTATGAAATGGGGACATTAATCATAATGGTTCTGATCTCATGAATTATTTTGAGAGTTAAATAAATTCATGCCAAAAAGAACCTAGAGCATATGGCAAATGCTGCAGTTGGGCTGGCCATTGGTCCTACGTTTATTAGGAATAAAAATAGTGGCTATCTGATTAGAAGGCTAAATCTCAGGGAGTTCTTCTTCCCAAGTTTCATGCTCTTGAATCAAGTTTTCTACCACTATTTGTGCTGTATTTGTTCTGAAGCTACTAGCCACTGGAGGTTGTAAATTTAATAAATTATAAATTTACCTTCTCAGTCATAATAGCCATGTAGAGTGCAAAATAGTCATAAATGGCTAATAGCTACTGTGTTAGACAGCACAGATATAGAGCATTCCTATCGCTGAAGAAAGTTCCATGGAAAATGCTGCACTAAACAGATGCCAATGACATTTCTATATTTCAAAGGGTTCCCTACCCGCCACTGTTTTTTTCAGTTAAAGAAGGAAACTGTCTCCAGATAAGAAAACACTGAAATTAATTTTTCTTAAAGGTAAATCAGAATTAACCTTACATTCTAATTAGAGTAAAGTGGCATGGCAGGGTCATTGACGGTGAACTAAGCATGGATGGAGTATCAGAAGTCAGGACCCTTCTGCGTGAAACTAGTCTTCCATAACTACCTTGAATTTTATGCAGAAGAACAGTTGTTATTGTGAGGTGAAGAAAAGAGTCATTTGGAGACATACCTACCAGAAACTACAAAATTTGATGGTTACAATAAATTAGCTGACATTTTTTAAAAAATGGTCTAAGTGCTGAAGGCTTAAACACAGGATCTCATTAACCTGAACAACAAATATATGAGATTGGGGGTAAGTAATATCTCTCATTTTACAATGGGAAATTTGGATACATTTGTTAAGGCTTCAGAGATTGTAAGTGGAAGGACGGGAATTGAGTCTGTTTAAATCCAAAGTCCCAACTCTTAATCATGATTTCTCTGTCCCCATAATTGGGTATTTAATAAGTCTGGTCAGTCAAAGTGTATATTCAGTTCCCACTCCTGTTCATTCAACCTCACTCTAAAAAATGACTATATAGGGGCTGGAGAGATAGTACAGAGGGCAAGTTGCTTAGCTTACACGGAGCAGACCCGATCCCCAGCACCCCATATTGTCCTCTCCCTGAGTCCACCAGGGGTGATTCCTGAGTTCAAAGCCAGGAGAAACCTCTGAGCACCGCCAGGTATGAACCAAACACGGGGTTGGGAGAAGACTATAAAGATATCCCTTACCCCAGGATGTCTCTTGAGGAATGGAGAATCAGGAAGTAGACGCCAACTTTCAGTTTGAAAAGTGTAATGCTACCTAGAGAGGTCAACTGTTAAGCAAAGGGCAACTCCAAACAAATGGTAAATAATGGGTACCTGGGGAAAAACAGTCTCTTCTTTTCCAAGTAATCGTTTAGCCCCTTCTGGATTTCATCCAAAAGGATATTGGCTTCCTGAAGCTTCTCAGACATCCGTGGTTGGTCTGCTGCCATTAGAACCCTGGGATCTTTCACCTAGGATCCGTCAAGAAAAATGAGAATTATCAGATATTCGAAGATTGGCCGTTGTAATGAGTGTGTAAACAGTCCACCATCTAGTGACCTCTCCTTTTCTTCCTCCTAAATCCCACCAGATGAATGCTTATGTAACATCCCCCTGTACACTGGTCATGACTGACTGGGGCAGGGTTGGACACTTGAAACCAATCGAGTATATTCTATTTTGACTTCTGGAATTTTGGATTTTAGGACATGATATCCCCTTTTAATCTGGGGGTGCCCTTTGTAAAAGGGAGACTTGCTCTTCTGCAGAGATCATTTTTCATTATGTGACTACAGTCTGGGGGGGGGGACAAAGAGAGAGAGAGAGAGAGAGGGAGAGGGAGAGAGAGACAGAGAGACAGAGAGAGAGTTTGGTTTCTAGATTCATTCTTTTGGGACCTACCATCTTTGCTCTTGAGTTCCATAAAATACTCATTTGTCTGGGCTGCTCTGAGTATGTTTCTGTTATTACAAAGGACCTTAACTAATATGAAGTTGGCAGATAGATTCCCTTGGGACAAATTCTTTGTGGATGTGCCAACAGCCGTCCCGATGCAGGCCACACACAGCGGCTCTAGGGCACTGAACGCGGGCGGTGAGATAGAGCCATCCAGAGAGCCCGCGAACACACAACCTTCTGCGTGCATAGTTTTTTTACAGCGCCCCATCTTGCACACATTTGACTTCAAAAGAAAACAACCTGACCACCAGGTTATCTTGCACATCCAGCGAATTCATCCTTCAAGACTTTCTCTTTTTCAGTAACAATCCTTTTGGAGGCCTCTTGATGATCCTAGACAATTAAATCACCTTCCTCGCACTAAAAATGCATATAACTCAGATTTTTCTAAGTTTGTCTCTTCACAAAATAGTGAATTCTATAAAAGTAAGCATCGTGTTCTAGTCATTTTCAAGTATTTTCTGACCTCTTTCACAATGTCTGGGTCATCATAGGTGCTGAATATGCATCTGTTAAATTACTGAATGTGGGTAATTATTTGAGTTCTAAATGTATTCCCAATTTATAAAAGCTTTATTGCGCTGCTCTATAATAAAGTCTTCTACTCTCCACCTCATATGGTCCCCTGAAAACTACCACAGGTCACTCCTGGAAACAGAGCCAAAAATAGCCCCTGATGGGGCTAATTTAGCCCCTGATGGGCTAAATTACAAGATTTCCACTTTCTATATTATTATTTATTTTGTGGATATTTAATAACAATTCTTGGGTTTTTTATTTTTTGCTTTTTGGGTCACACTCAGTGATGCACAGGGGTTACTCCTGGTTCTGCACTCAGGAATTACTCCTGAAGGTTCTTGGGGTAACATATGGGATGCTGGGAATCAAACCCAGGTTTGGTAATATGCAAGGCAAACGCCCTACCCACTGTGCTACCACTCCAGCCCCATTAATAACAATTTTTGAAGTGAGAAAAAAAATACAACATATTGAACATGCAAGAATCTAACTTATTCAGAATTTTTAAGACTCTGGCTACAATGCACAATAAGAAACAGCTTTGTCAACTCCCACATTTCTGATGGTAAGATGTATGAGAGGGTTCAAACTTACCGCTTGAGCCATGAGTGATTTCCAGTAATTGTCAACAATGGCAAATTTCCTGCCCTCCTCCGGCATCTGGGCTATGATATCCTCTGAACTGAAGATTGGTTCCAGGTAGAGCCAGGTGACCTGACATTTCAACCATGCTTCCAGAATTTCCTGCACGCGAACTAGTTTTTCTTCCCACTTCTGTGAATTTAGCATTGTATATCTGAATCAGTGACCTGCCACTCTGCAGCACAGGCCCACTGACTGAGTGATAAAGGCTAATTCATTTATTTTCCTTGCTTGACAAACACTAAGCACTCCCTATGGTATGTGGACATAGCAAAGAATGAAATAAACAAAAGTTTTTGCCTTCATGGTGTTCATGTTACAGTGGAATAATTAATAATTTGCAGGCTATCGAATGTAGCCTGCCCACAGGGCAGAGTCTGGCAAACTCCCCGTGGCGTACCAAATATGCCAAATACCAGTAACAATGATGGGTCTCATTCTCCTAAAGAGCCTTGAATATAATCTCAGGGCTAGGATGAAAGAGACGTTACTGGGGCCTGCTCGAGGCAATCGACGAATAACAGGATGATGAAATGAAATGATGAAATTAATAATTATAATTATTGTTATAATTACATAAGTGGTGGTCTAAGTGTGTCATGAATAGATAATTAATTGGTGTTCATTCTTTTCAGTTTTTATTTTATTTAAAATCTTTTGATCACTTAAATTTTAGGTATCATGATTTGTAACACATTGATGCAGATAGTTCAAGCAACTTGTCCGAAGTCATGGATCTAACATGGTGCAATTTTAGAATCTGAATGAAAGACGGTCTGATTCCAATGTCTTAAACATTGGCTACAGCCACTTCTACCAGCAATGAGCGAAGGAGGACCAGTTTCTACTCTTGAGTAGCCAACGTTCTGTATTACTAGAGCCCAGGGGCTTTCCTAATGGAGTTTTATTTGGTGCACTGAAATCTCATCTTCCCTTCTGACAGAAGTTCAATGAGTCATATGCTTACATGGATGCACAGTGTTCTCAGTGTCACGCAACTTTTTTCCAAATAGGAAAAAGTGAGTTTGTTTATTAATGAGAATTGAATACCATTTCATCCTCTGAGATCAAGAGTTCATGGGACATCAAGAACTATAACCAGGCTGGAGCAATAGTACAGGGGGTAGGGCATTTGCCTTGCACGTGGCAACCCAGGTTTGATTCCCAGCATTCCATATGGTCCCCTGAGCACCGCCAAGGGTAATTCCTGAGCGCAGAGCCTGGAGTAACCCCCGTGCATCATCAGGTGTGACCCAAAAAAGCCCCCCCCCCCCAAAAAAAGAATTACAACCCCATTTCCTCTTACCCGACACTCTGCTTCTATGGGTTTGATGAATGGGGAGCCACACATGGTCTGCGTCTTTATCACATGATCATCAAGTAGTAGCTGAATGTCATCAACTGCACTCAAGATGCTTGTGTCCTGCAAGTAAAGATGCCCAACCCTGTTAGAGTTGTGAGACCCCTGCTTTTTTATACCCTATTTTTCCAAAGCACTCACAGCTCAGATCGTGTACTGGCAGGGGATGGGGAGCAGGGATGGTGTAGAAATCTATGTTTGCAGAGGACAGGATCTGTTTTCGCCCCTGAAAATGTTCTTAAAGATACTTAGTTCCTAATTCCTGTGCAGAAATCAAATATGGCATAAGTCTAGAGAATAATGTAGAATCTATTGATGGGAGATTATTTCTGTACTCTTCTTCATGCTCTTGCTTCTCTGTCCACTCTCCATCCTGTAGAATGAATTGCTTATGAGGCTAGGGCCACAGTACAGTAGGTAGGATGCTTGCCTTGCACACAGCTGGCCCAGGTTCAATCCCCAGCATCTCACATGGTTTCCCATGCACCACCAGGAGTGATCCTCAGCACAGAGCTAGTAACCTCTGATCGTCACCAGGTATGGTCCAAAAACCAAAAGCAGAATCAGTTGCTTATCTGACCTGTTATATGTAGATCACTGGGTTCTGAACTGTGTACCAGCAAACTCTTAGCCAACAGTTGTGTGTTTGAAGACTTTTTTTTAAAAAAAAAAAAGCTTTCCAGTGATTTTACTATGTAAGCAGGGTTAAGCAACATGCTTTGGGCTGAGGAAGTAGCTCAGTGGTAAAGTGCCTACCTCTCATGTGTGGGATAGACTTGATCCCCAGCAACACACACACACACACACACACACACACACACACACACGCACGCACACACGCACGCACGCACGTGCGCATACAGGAAGCATAGCTGTAGCTCTAAGGGCTGATCGTCTGTAGAATGTGAACTTCAAAGACAATGGGCACAGAATGGGGTCACTTATGTTCTGCTCCACTGTGCCAGTCATAATTTAATATGCGAAGGAATGTCAATTTCAGCATTTCCTAAAAACAGATAGTAACTGAGACAGCCTACTTGAAATTCCAAGTGAGCAGCACTAGAAACTCCCTCTTGGTTTCCACTGAATTTTTGGAACTTTAACTCACCCCTGATTTCTGTCTTTCCTGGAATGTTAAAAAATGTTCCTGGAAACAAGTTTATTGTGAAACCAGGGGTCAATCACAGATGAGAGGAAAAGAACAAGAGATACCTTATTTTCCTGATGTCACTGACTCTGAAGACTGACCTTGCACAATGATACCATCTTGAATTTTAGACAGAACAGGTCAGCGTGTCCCCATGATGTCAAGGAAGCACTGATGGCAGCAGGACACGTGGCTCCTCCCCCAGCAGCCCACCACTCTTTTCATGTTGGCCTATGTATGTCCTCCACCAACCCTTACACACACCAAGACCCAGTCAAAGAGTAAGGTGTTGTTTTTTTTTTTTGTGGGTGAGGGGTCACACCAATGTTAAAGGCATATTCCCATTCCCAGCTCTACTCAGGAATCACTCCTGGTGGCATTTGGGGGACCAAATGGGAAACCAGGGATCAAACCTGAGTTGGCAAATGCAAGGCAGGTGACCTACCCACTGGACTGTCTCTCCGGCCCCCAGACAATAAGATTTTGAGGAGACAGAAGTCTGTGATCTTTCTGGGTTGCTACCACCTGTGAAAATCTGTTTTCCTCTCACTAATACTTTGTTTCTCAGACTTGGACTTAGTAATAGATTCCCCTCAGTTGTGAGGTCATCTGCCTGATACATGTCACCATCCCAAAGGAATGTGACCATACCACAACTATTGGTGTTTTACTAGTGCATCGTCCATGTCCTTATGTCCTTCACCTTTAATGAAATAGTTTCTTGATTTAGAGGGACTCATGAGTGGTGCTCAAGGAGTGCAGATGTACTCCTAGTGATACCTGGCCGACCCGGCTGGAAGCTCAAGGCAAGAGCCCAAGGATGGCATGCTGCTCAGGCCCTATAATGCCGGCGACCACCAGGGCCACCTGGCCGTGCTTGGGGGTGTCCAGGGTGACACCCAGTGATGCTCATATGGTCATATGGTCCCAGAAACCAAACCCAGGTTCAAGGCTTCAAGCCAAGTGTCTTCAGACTTTTACACCCTCCCAGCCCCAATAACTTTGATTTTGCATGTCTCTTAAAGTCCCTTTCTACAAGTGGTACTACATGGAAAGTATCATGTTAAGCGAAATGAGTCAGAAAGAGCGGGATAGACACAGAAAGATTGCATTCATCTGGGGAACATAAAGCAACAAAACGGGAGACTAACACCCAGGAATGGCTGAGATTAGTACCAGGAATTTTGCTCCATGAATGGAAGGCCAGCCACAGGCTCTAGGTGAAAAGGAAGCTCAGATAGAGAAGAGAGTACCAAATGAAGGGTGTTGTGAGGGCCCTCCCAGGGTGGGAGAAGCATGCTAAAAGTAGTCGATAGACCAAACATGATTGCCACTCAAAGCCTCTCTTGCAAAACACAGTACCCAAAAGAAGAGAGAGAGAACAAGGGGGAATACCCTGCCACAGAGGCAGGATGGGATGGGGGGGGGGGATGAGGGTGGGGGGGATGCTGGGACCCATGGGGATGGATGACGGGCACTGGTGGAGGTATGGGGACTTGATCATTGTATAACTGAATCCCAAGCACAAAATTTGTAAGCCTATAACTGTACCTCATGGTTTTTCACTAAAAAAAAAAAAAAAAAAAAAGTCCCTTTCTGTGTTAGAAGGCATACTGCCCAATTGAATGAAACCACTAAGGGACTAAGGGACAGGACGATGATAGTACGGAGGGTAGAATGCTTGCCTTGCACAGAGCAGATCTGGGTTCGACTCTCAGCACCACATATGCCCTTGGAAGCCCCAGCAGGAGTGCTCCTTTGAATGCTGAGCCATGAGTAAACCCTGGTCTCTGCTGGGTGTGGCCCCCAAACCAAATCAAACAAGGGGAGGGGGATGTTATTTAAAGTTTGCCCAATTGAATTGGCTTTTTGAGGTGGGGGAAAGGAACACTCCTAATCGTACTTAGGAGTTACTCCTGACTCAGTGTTCTGTGACCCATGGATGCCAGGAATCAGATCCAGATATTCTAAGTGCAAAACCTATATGCTGGTCCTTTGGGTCATTTCCCAGGCCTGGATATTGTTTTGGAACACGTCTGTGCTTTGCAGGTCACTGAAGTCCCAACCTATCCATGGCCAACCCCCAGAGCAAGTCAAACTCTAGAAATGGTTCAAAAAGCTCTTCAGGGGTATCTCCATGTGCAAGCTCCTTTATTCATTTTCTTCATTGCATGCCAGTGAGAAACAAGGCATTTTCATGCATCCTTGCTAATCAGAAGTGGTCCACCTGTCACAGCGTTGGTATTATGTAAGAGGTTCTGGGGAACTGCTGAGCCTCTGGCCCCAATTCAGACCTGCTGACTGGAAAATGTACTTTCACCAAATCCCCACGTGCTTCCAGAACAAATTGGCATTTGAGCAGCTCTAAGCTTTGTCTACCCCAGGTAGGTATGCTTGATTCGGAAGATACTAATTCAGAAGGCCTGCTCCGGTTTCTGTGCAGGAAGAGAAAGCTTGTGATTTTGAAAGGCCTTTCTCGTTTGGAAATGCATCCCTCCAGTGGTGACTGGGAGAAAGGATGACGGGCAAGGGAAGGCAGATGGGAGGAAATGATCAAATGCACAACACAGTGATTACAGTCAACAACACTGTCTTAAAAATCTCCAAGTTGCTAAGAGACTAGATCTTAACTGTTCCCACCACAAAAAAGAAGCGATAATTACGCGATGTGATAGAAGTGTTAGCTAACTCACACTGGTAATCATTTTGCTGGGTAAATGTTACTATATAAATAATCATATGCTATATAAAATGATGCTATCTATCAAATCAACAGATGACACACCCTATCTGCTACGTTAAATGGCAATTATGCCTTAACAAAACTGAAAAGAGATTCAGGATCCTTCCTTCGTGAACTTGGTTACAATTCTGACTGAAGCCCCCTCTATTATCCTTTAGAGCATAATAATTGGGACGCTTTCAGGGACCAAGGAATTGGACTGTGACTCACAGTGTCCCTGTATTTCACAAAATTGAACGTCATGTTGACCCAATCTAACTTCATTTTCTCCAGGTTTTTCTCCAGGGAATACTCCTTGCTGGCGGCTGCACCGATGGGCTCCAGTCTAAAGGAAGAACAGAGGGACAATTAACAAGAGCAGGCACGAGGGCATGGCACAGGAGAAATTTCAGCTCAGCCTTTAGATAGATTTTTTTAAACCCTTAATTTCACTAAAACATTCACTGTTTCTCTAAGAAGTGTCAACTCTCTCCACTGTTTGGCAAGTATTCGGTCGGCCCTCATTCTGTGAGGCAGACCTAATAGTGCCACGCTGACATATAAAGTCATAGTGGCCTTGGGTAAAACTGTTCCCATTATTAACAGCGTGCAGATTACCTAGACTTGGGATCCTCTCTAGAAATAACCTCTTTTCCAACCAAATCTATCTTAAGATAGATAAGGCTTTATCAGATGAAGCCACCCCCACCTCCTTCACCTCCCGGACCTCGCTTCCATTCCTCACTGAGGCTCTAACACCTCTGCTGTCCAGTTCACTTTAGAATGTAGAGCCATGTCAATTTACCATACGCATGTAATTACATGTGGTCTTTTCTCCTTTAATCTGCCTGGTGTTGTTAAACCGGGCAGAGATCTCCCCAGAGGAATCACATAAAGACAAGTTGCAATGCGATAAGCAAAGGGTCTTTATTGGCTAGCCCGGCTAGCTTGAGCTAAGGCCCTCATCTGGCTGAATGACACAGTGGCAGCCTTCTTGGAACAAGCGGCCCTGAGTCTCAAAACTGAGGGGCTTTTATACCATAACATTATATAACAGAGACCACCCTTTTGGCTGCAGTCTGAGAGGCTTTCCAGTATTTGTACTTATCTGATTGATTATAAATTGGAGTTACATAGGGGTTGCATAAGCATTACATAAGGATTATATGGCGGTGGGGGTGGGGGGCTTCCCTATGTGCATCTGATTGGTAACTCTTAATTGACCTCACCATGGCTATCTCACTTCAGGGAAATCATGACTCAATTCTAGGTATCTGTGTTCATTTCCAGGAATTTTGGAACCGAAGCTTAGGCCCAGCTTCTTCTGGCTTCTTTATGAGCCTGCATGGCACTGCCTTTTCTTCTCTATCTCTCAGTGTTAACTGGTTTGCCCATTTGGCCCAACAACTCAGAAGAGCAAGGAAAATTTCCAGTGCACTCCAACACCAAGTGTTCAATTCTCAGCACTTGTGATTACTGGATTGAGTTATGAGCAGATTTGGGTCCTTGAATAACCAACCATGTTATCCTCTAGACTCCCTGATTATGAGGTTCTTTTCTTCGAGCTAGGACTCTGCAAAGACGTGGTGGAGGTATAGTGAGATCATTAGGAATGGGTCTGAATCTCATATGACTAGACTGAATCTCATATGACTAGTACTCATATTACTGGCAGGGAGAGCAAATAGACAAGCAGAGAGATGACCATGATGACCATGTGAGAGCACATAGAGAGGGTGGCCATCAGCAAGCCAGGAGGTCATGTCTCAGAAGAAATAAACCCTCCAACACTTGATCGTGGATCTTAGACCTTCAGAATTGTGGGAAAATTCATTTCTGTTGTTCGGGTACCACGCCTGCTGGTGCTTGGGGCTTACTCCTGGTTCTGGGTGGAAGGGATGCTGCTGGCAGTGATCAGAGGGATACATGTGGTACTAGGATTCGAACTCTGATTGTCTGTGTGCAGGGCCAGCACCTTAACCCTTCTACTATCTCTTTGACCCCAGTTTTTATACAAGTCTTTCAGTGTGTATATTTGTTATCCTGGAGAGGCATTCTCCTCCACAAGTACCAGTGAACTCCACCCTCGAGGAGCATTTCTTCCCCACTCCATAACTCACTGTAAACATACAAAGACATTTTAGCGTAGGCTCCTAGTTACCCAGAAACATCATTTGATCATTTCATCACTTGACATCCCGTTACTCATCAATTTGCTCGAGCAGGCACCAGTAACGTCTCCATTTGTCCCTGTTGCATGCTAGTGTAGCCTAATGGTATCTACTCGCTCCAGAAACACGAAGAGCCTCAAACCAATCATTCAGGGTTTTGGCGAACAAGTCTGACCATCTCGTAGGTGGGTGGCCACATGATCTTTTGATGTCCTATGGCTATAGGTAATGGCTATAGTCCACCAGTCATCTCCAAATCTCATTACGTGTCCAGCCCAAATGATTTTCGATGCCTTGGAAAATGAGATAGTGTCCCTGATTCTTGATCATTGACGGATGCCGGAACTCTGGATTCTTTCTCTCATTTGAGTGAAGCATGATCCTCCAAGTATAGCTCTTTCGATTCCTCTTTGGGAGACCCGAATAGTGTTCTCATCTTGTTTTCGTAAGGCCCAGGTCTCTGAGGGTATGTTAATGCAGGAAGAACAGTGGAATTAAAGAGATGTGCCTGGAGCTGGAGGTTCTTCATCCTCTTAGCTATTTCTTCAATGCTCTTAAAGGCGTTCCAAGCCACTCTCTTCCTCCTGTGCAACTCAGGTGCCAGGTCATTCATCATATTGACTTTTCGACCTAGGTACACATAACTGTTGCATTCAGAGATGTTCATTCCATTGTGAATGGAACGTCAGGAATCAGACCATTTCTCATAAACATTGTCTTCGTGAGATTAATCTGTATTCCGACCTTTCCCATACTCATGGTCGAAGTCAGCCAGCATTTGTGCTGCTTCGCTAATGTTTGGTGTTATTAGAACGATGTCATCAGCAAAGTGGAGGTGGTGTAGTTGCCGACCATCTGTCTTCACTCCCATTCCTTTCCATTCGAGTTGTTGCATGACGTTCTTGAGGATGGCATTGAAGAGTTTCAGTGAAATGGTATCACCCTTCCAGACTCCTCTCTTGACATGGATGATCACTTCCTTGTAGAATGGTGAGATCCTGGTAGTGAATCCGTAATACACCTCAAGGAGGATTCTGATGTATTGAGTTTGAACGCCCTGTTTGGCTAGGGCTTTGATGACCGCTTCAGTCTCAACAGAATCAAAGGCAATCTTTAAATCAATGAACATTAGACAGAGTGGCATCTTGAACTCCCGAGAAACCTCAATGAGCTTGGTTATCATGTGGATATGGTCGATTGTGCTGAATTCTTTTTGGAACCCGGCTTGCTTGCATGGTTGTCCTTCATCTAGTGTTCTGCCAATCCTATTCAGGATAACTTGAGTGAACAGCTTGTAGATGACAGACAACAGGCAGATCGGGCGATATTTGCCAATGTCGTGAAACCAGTCCTGCTGGTTTTCCATTGGAACGGAAACTTGCATTCAGACAGGTAGCATGTGAAGAGCCAAGCCAGTGTATTGATGAGAACTGACGGCAGGTTCTTCAGGTGTTCAGGTCTGACCTGTCTGGGCTTGGTGCTGTTCACTTCTTTACCTTTAAAATAGTGTGTCAAATTTCGGAAGGGAGAACGTTGGGAACAACATATCCATCCTGCGGAATTTTGTATGTGGGAAGGTGGACATGGCTCTCGAAGATATCTGAGTAGAAGTTATGGATTATCTTCTCCATTGCTCTTCTGGAAGATGTAATAGATCATGAGGACGTCGGAGGGCAGTTATCTTGGTGTTGTAGTTGGCGAAGGACAGACGGGTGTTGCAAATGCTTTCCCTGGCTTCTGCCACATTGGCCAGCACTGCTGCTCTTCTCTCTTTGAGGTCTTCCTTTATTGCTTCTTTGCACTGCTTTGCAAGCTCGTATGTTTGCTTGCGGTTACCTGAGGTTGCACCAAGCCATGTAGGCGAATGAGCTCAAGAGTTTAAAAAAAAACCCAGAAACATGCAAGCAATAATGGTATACTCATTATAGCAGCCCTAAAATATTGATACAGGATGTGTAATTCTTTTTTAGGGAAGGCAGTAGTGGAAATCCTGTAGGCTAGACTGCTCAGCAGTGTCTCTGCCCACTAGATATCCAGTAGCAAACTCCCCTGTCCCCTTGCTAATTGTGGCAAGCAAAAATGCCCCCAAATGGTACCAAACATCAGCTAGGGGGGTTATTGAGGGGGTAGAGAATCACCCCAGTTGAGAACCACTGTTTTTAAGACCATTAAAACAATACCTCTGTTTTCCAGTTTCTTTATTTGCTGGGCCTGCGGTGTTCACCCCTGGTGATACTCAAAGGTGAATCCTAGCTCCTGTTGTTGATCATTTCTGGTGGTGCTCGGGGGACTGTGATAGAGGCTGAACCTCAGGCTCCTACATGCAAAGCCTGAGTCCCAGCCCACTGAGCAATCTCTCTGGTCCCTCTGCTTTCCACTTTCATTACCTATTGATGGGGATGGGGAACCGTTAGGGCCACATCCGACTATGCTCAGGGCTTACTCCTGGCTCTGTGTTCAAGGATCACTCCTGGCAATGCTCTGGGGACTATATGTGATGCCAGAAATCCATTCAGGGTCAGCTGTATGCAAGTCAAGCACTTTACTTGCTATCTGATTTCTCTATCCACCACTTTCATTTACTTCGAATTTTTTCTATACCTTAATTTCTGATTCAAATCTTAGAACTTCTGCTAATTTATAAGACAGCTTTTGCTTCTCTTCCCATGGCCATCCTTTGAAAAATACCTATTGTTTTCCTGATGTTTGGGTTCTACCTAGCTATAGTCCCTATGTTTTACTGAAAGGGGGAGAAAGGGAGAAGTTGAAGACAAATTTCTTCTTGCTTCCACCTGAGATTTGGGTCTTAAATTCAAGCATGACTGCAAGAACTGAGAAGCAAACGATTTGGAAGGAGCAAGAGGGTCAGCCAAAAATCACCAACTACACCGAGATCTGAGATTGCTCAAAGAGCTGCTCCTGTGGCGGGGAAGGGAGGGTAGGGAGGGATGGGAGTGGGGGGGAGGGACATTGGGAACTTGGTGGGAAATGTGCACTGGTGGAGGGATGGGTGTTGAAACATTATAGGACTAAAACCTGATCATGAACAGCTTTGTAAATGTGTACCTCACAGTGATTCAATAAGAGAGAGAGAGAGAGAGAGAGAGAGAGAGAGAGAGAGAGAGAGAGAGGAGGCCCAGGAAGGTCAAATATTTTTGCCTGGAGTCACTGAGGACTGAGTGCAGAACCCCAGTTTAGAGGAAAAAAATTGTAATGCTCTCCTTGAAATTTAATATGAGTCAGTTTTCTGTTTTTGTTTTGTTTTGTGGCCACATCCGGCAGCCCCACAGTGCTTATCCTGGCTCTGTGCTCAAGGATAACTCCTGGCAGACTTGGACGACCATATGAGGCCCCAGGGATAAAACCTGGGGTGGCTGCATGCAAAGCAAGTGATCTATCTGCTGTACCATCATTCCAGTCATAATCCCTCATCCACTCTGCTCTGGAAATAAAAATTTCCTCAATCACCAGTCTGCCAAAGTGGAGGCCACCAATTATCCTAACCAGAAGTAGGAAAACCAACAGCTCATAGGAGGTTTATTGTATTATATGGGAACTTATAACAACTTGAACCAAAAAGTTCCTGAAGTATGATGGAACACTTTAAAAGCTGAAAACAAAAATACTTTATGATACAGCAATACCATGCCTGAGAATCTTCCCAAAGAAATACAAAGATACTAATTCAAAAGGATTACATTCATAGAAGTATTATTCACAATAGCCAAAAATGCGATAAACCTACATGTCCATTCACAGGTGACTCAATAAATATGTGGTCAATATAATCAATGGGTTACTTAGCCATGAAGAATAAATGAATCTTGGCCTGGAGCGATAGGACAGCAGGGAGGGAGTTTGCCTTGCACATGGACAACCTGGCTTTGATTCCCACCATCTCATACAGCTCCCTGAGCACCGCCAGGAATAATTCCCAAGTGCTGAGCCAGGAGTAACCCCTGAGCATCACTGGGTGTGACCCAAAGAGCAAAATAAAGTAAAGTTTTTTAAAAAAGTAATGAATTCTTTCCTTTTATGACAATATGGATGGGGCTTGAGCTAATTATGCTAAGTAAATGTCAGAAAGAGAAAGACAAGGACCAAATGGTTGAACTCAAATGTGGAATGTAAGTAACTGAAGCGAGTAAATTGACAGAACACAACAAGCATAACGAAAGTATGGCAGTAATCACAGGGTAGGGGGACAGGGTGAGATGAATGAGTGGAGGGATTAAATTTGATAAGGAGCATGATGCTAGAACTTTGTGGGGGTGTGTTATGAGGCTTATACCCATGTAAAGGTGTGAGGTTATAATCCAGAAATTATATGTATTATAAATTAATGTTTACTGATAAAATTTATTTTAAATTACTTAGTATTCTGGACTCAATGGGACTGGGAACGGAGATCCTCTGCCCATTTCCCCCAGTCTCCTGCGACCCAGGGATCATGCCCATAAGCCACCTCCTACCAGCACCAAATAATCTCCTCACTGGGCACCATCCAGATCACATGGCTTTTTTCCCCCAAAAGGGAGTAATATAATACTCACTATAGCCATGCCACCGGACTCCGCACCAGGCTGTTTCACTCGGGGCACCCCGGAGGGGGGATGGGTGAGAGCCCTCCCCACCCCAAGGGACCCAGCCCCAGCAGCTGAAAACCTCCAGAACCCATCCACTGCCATGCTCAAGGTCACTTTCCACATGCTCGGACCGAGCCTCATATACAAGTTGAACATATTCCTGGACCGTGTGGCTGTGGTCATGCGACATATTATAAGACACTTCCTACCCATTCTCCATAAATACCACATCACATTTGATGGGGTTCAGACAGTAGGCAACAAATCATAAAGGGAAATACATATGTATATATACATACATACTTATTTTCAGATATATATACAAAAGTTCACATCACTCAACCTTTAACAACATGTTAGTGATATCCTAAAGAATATCTTACTGGCCCATGCCAAAATAGAACAATCTTCACACTGTTTCCTCTATGGATACTTTTTGTAGCATTTTCAGTGGTTTTTCATAAGAGACAATACAAAATATATTATTTCAGTTGTGCTTTGGGACAGGGCTTGGGGCTTGGGATAGAAACATCCCAAATTTGGTGGTGGAATTGGTGTGTGAATAATAAATGTAATCAAATATTGTGAACTACCTTATAAAATAAAAAATTTTTAAATTATATAGCATTGCCAACTAATGGTATACTGATAAAATTTATTTTAAAATTTTAAAAGAGGATTCAGAACAATAGTACAGCATGTAGAGAGTCTGCCTTGCATGCAGCTGACCCAGGTTTAATCTCCTGTATCTCCTATGATTCCCTGAGCACCACCAGGAGTAACCCCCGAGCACTGCCAGGTGTGGCCCAAACCCCCCCCCCCCAACACACACACACAATTTAAAAAAAAAACTCCCCAAAGGAATGGAAAAGGCTTACTTGTCAATGTATTTGCCGAATCCAACATCCAGCATATTTGAGAGACAAGTGGTTTCGGTGGGTTTTATTTCATAGCCGACAATCTCACTGATCTGCAAGGAAAAGAAGAAACCAAGCTAGTGGGCCCAAGACAGTTCCATTGGGTAAATTTTCTACATGATGGAAATGTTCTAGAATAGCCACCAAACACATGTGACTGTTGAGCCTTGGAAACATGGCCAGAGTAAATGAGGAAGTGAATTTAAATTTAAATTCAAGGAAGTAACTGCATCTATCCAGAGACTACCTGGAAAGTTCAGGTGTATGGGTTCTGGCATTGACCTAGGGCTCGCACTGCATTCTATCTGGTTACTGTTCTTCCCCACACAGCACAGAGCAGGTTGGGATGAAGTTTAGTTTGTTTGAGATTCCCAGGGGATAGAGGTAAATCCTGGTCAATGACATAAGTTACAATAAGTGTCTCCTGAAAAATAACCAAGATATGAGTGTGTGGGACAGGCAGACAACCTTCTGTGATCTGAGGATGCAGTGGAAGGGATCCGGCTTCCCTCTCCCCTAGTATCTTCTGACTTGTAAACATTAGCATTTTGTCATGCCCATTCCTTAATCCCAAACTTAACTTATAAGTGAAAACATGCCTGAGAAATGTCTTAAATAAGATCCCTGAAGGCTTTGAACATTTTTTTGTTGGGGAGGGGAACTTAGAGGTCTCAGCAGTTTTGAGGTTGTGCGTGAAAAGAGAAGGAGGTGCTAAAATGAAAAGCTTTACTGAACGCCCACTCCATACTTTCCTCCATCCAGCCCCAGCAGGAACAAAAAACCTCAGTACAGGAAGGGACATGCTGTCACTTTTTATTTAGCCTTAAGTTCTTGTGGTCTGTTTTATTTATTTTTTTTTTGTTTTGTTTTTTGGTTTGTTTTTTTTTTATTTGGAACTGTATTTTTTCTTTTTATAAATTTATTTATTGAATCATTGTGAGAGCAGTTACAAAGCTTTTGGGTTTAAGTCTAGGTCATACAATGATGAAACACCTGTCCCTTCACCAGTGCCCATTTTCCACCACCAAAAACCACACTATAAACCCCCCATCCCACACCCTCCCCCCACCTGAGGGCAGATGATTTCCACATTACTCTCTCTACTTTGATTGCATTCAATATTTTGACACCAGACCCACCATTATTTATTTGGGATTTTACACCAAAACTCAGATCTGCTGAAAAGGCAACCGTAGACAATTTGTTTTCTATTGTTGGTTATGAATAACATATGATGTCACGTAGCCACAGTAGTGGCCGCGTGATTTTGGAATTCTGAAATTTTAACAATTAAATCTGAAGGGATTTCTGCTAAACCTGCTGAGTTCTGAGATTTGTTCTTGAGTCTCTGGGATTACGGCCATTAAGCAGCTTGATCAGAAGCCAGAGAGGCCATTTGTGGGCAGCGACTCGGGGTCTCATTGGAGCAAGGAGGAAAAGGCCGGCTCCACCCCCATCCCATGAGGTCCCGCATGTCTCATCACTGTGAGCCCAAATCTGACTGTCCATTGGCCTCTACAGGATGGCGGCCACCGAGCTGCCAAGGGGGAACAGGCAGAAGGACAGCACCCTTTACCCCTTGGGGTGGTGACCTGGTTTTTGAAGGTTTCCTTAAATACTAAAGGAGTGAAAGAAGAAATCAGATTCAATGGTTTCCAATCTGGATTCTGAGGACAATTGGCGGGCCTGAAGGGCTTGCTTACTCTGTAGTGAACGCTGTTTTAAGGGCCTTAAGCATTTATTTTATTCTCCCAATATGATGAGAAAGTACTAGAGGATTCCTCTTCTTTTTCTTGGACACGTAGGGAGACAAACGAAAAAACTGACATCTTGTCCAAGACTGTCGCCGTAAAAAATGGCAGAACTGGAACTTGGATCCAATTCTGACTACCAGGTTTTTCTCGGCCATACTTGAGTATCTTTCTCTGGTTTTGTCTGCTCAATTGTGCAGGGCAGGAAGTGGCTATTTCCAGGCCGTACAATTCGGACGGCAGGGCTGCACAGAAGCGGAGTTCCCTAGAGTGTTCAGTGTATATTAACTGCTCCGGGTGTTCCTAGGTTCTCGTGTATTCTCAGATGCCCTACAGAATTTGCTTAGAACAACATACTCTCTCTCTGGGACTGAATGACATGGTATTAAAGAACTTTTCCCATGGGAAGGATTCAATACACAGCTTTAATTTGTAAATGTTCTTTGTTCATTTTAGATATTAACAGGGAACCCAATTTTCTAATCCTAAGAAGCCTGGAGTTATTCTGTATGATATATCCTCATTTGGTCCCTGTGGCTATTAAATATCTGAACTATGATCACTCCACAAATTCAGGTGTGCTCTAAGGAAGCCATGTTTCAGTGACTTCATATGAGAAATGCCATGTGCTCTCTCATGAACATTTTAATTGCTTTTTGAATTGATAATGTTTTGATTAAACAAAATACGCTTACTTCACCTGTCCATGCTTTAAGACTGAAAACCTTCAAATCACTATATGTAATATTTGGGGGTGGGGCAGTATTGTCCTAGAGAGTCAGCTTTGACACACGTCAGTGTGATTTCATCCTAAGGTCAAATGTTACGCTGTTTCAGCGTTTGTGAAAACTCAGCGACATTCCTTTATTGAAATCAGCCAAGTCTGTGCCCTAAACACTGGGACTAGCTTTTCCTGCATTAAGTTCTAGGAAGTGGCCAGTCACTCCATGACATCAGAAGATCCATTTATAACCTTTACAGCTGTAGGTGATTTAACCTGTAGAGTCCTGCAGATTCTGTGATCACCAGAATCTGGACAAATGAGAATTGGACAATAGGACAGAGGATGGGGTGTCTCTGTGTTATTTGTGCTCTGACATATCATGCAGGCAGGAGCTCACCCTTGTGGGGGTAGCCATTAGTGTACTGCTGGCCCTTGTCCTTTCAGAGTTTCCTTTCTCTGGTTAGCCTATTAATCTTCTACTTTAGTGCTCATTACTCAAAATCCACCTTTTCCCCAGCCTTTCCCATGGCTTACTGACCCCTACAGTTAACTGCCTCCACTCCTCTGATATCTTTTACTCCCGTTTCAACCTCATGGTCAAGTCAGAGAACTAGATTTCAAATCCCTCCGCCACCACTCGCTAGTCATGTGACAGTTGACTTTCTCTAAGTCTCGCCTTTATAGCCATGAAACAGATATCATACCAGTCCCTACATTACAGATTTGTTGAGAAGGTGAAATGAGAGAAACCACATTAATGACAGCACAGAGTACACTGTGTGTAGTTTGTGCTCTGTTATGTTTTAGTTGTTGTTGTTGTTGTTATTTTAGGGAGACCCCCCAAACACACCAATCTGTATATGTAAGTGGTCTCTAGAGGAGAACTATGAAAGTCTTAGCATGGACAGGATCTTTTAAATACACTCTTGTAAGAACACCAATGACAGAGAAGGAAGTAGGTAGAAGGGAGGATGTCTCAAGACCCGCGGAATGTTGCGTATATGCCTTTGAACGGGCATCTTAGGGACAGACCGAGCAAGACCAGAGGCCTCAGAAAGAAATCTCAAAGGCTTATACATCCGCTATTTCTCATCTCAGGACTATAAAAATGCTCCCAGTCACTGTGCCTGAGCTCCATTCACTGTAAGGTAATGTGTGTCCTTTGGAACTGGGTCCTTCTAGGGATAATTCTGATTATTTCTGTGCATGGTTCAAATGGGTTCTTGCAGGCCCCATTTGAGAGGACTGTGACACAGAAAGCCTTTTTTTTTTTTTTTGCTTTTTGGGTCACACCTGGTGATGCACAGGGGTTACTCCTGGCTCTGCACTCAGAAATTACTTCTGGCGGTGCTCAGGGGACCATATGAGATTCTGGGAATCGAACCTGGGTCGGCCGCGTGCAAGGCAAATGCCCTACCTGCTGTGCTCCAGTCCCCAGAAAGCCATTCTTATCACCACCTACACACGGAACATTTCAGGGCCATTGCTAGACCTTGAGTGGGATGCTTATTATAGAAACAGTGAGTTTTTCTATCCCCCACCCCCTGGCTGGGTGTTCACACCACTCTTAACACCCTCACAATTTGGTTCTTTATAAAAATGCCAACTATTTTAAGGAGAATATTTATTGTTCTTATTTATAGACTCAAGAAGTTGAAAGAGAAGCATAAACTTGTATCTTACCTAAGTTGTTGGAGAATAATACTTCATACCACAACAAGAATCATCCAGCATTAGGAGATGGTTAGCATAAGGAATCTTCCAGAACAGGGGTTGGAGTGATAGCACAGCGGGTAGGGCATTTGCCTTTCACTCGGCTGACCTGGGTTTGATTCCTCCATCCCTCTCGAAGAGCCCAGCAAGCTACGGAGAGTATCCCACCCCCATGGCAAGCTCCCAGTGGTCTATTCGATATGCCAAAAACAGTCACAACAATTCTCACAATGAAGATGTTACTGGTGCCCGCTGGAGCAAATTGATGAACAATGGGAGGACAATGCTACTGACAGTGCTTCCAGAACTGATGCGAATGTCTTTGTACATCCCAGGTCAAGGAACAAACTAAGACCTCCTACCCTTTAGCTTAATGCCTTTCTCACCCTTTAGGACCCTGTTTAGCCATTTATCTAGGAAAGCATACAGGAGAAACGTAAAGCTCCTAATTGGGACAATACTCAACCATCAATGCTCAAAGGAGGACCCAAAGACAAGGGTCCAGGTGGGAGAGGCAGCCATCTTGTCCCACGCTCTCCCAGCTTCCTTCTTTGCTGCCCTTGGCCTCAAATAGATTCTCCTCTCAAAATAAGCTTAACCCAGTATCGTGTCCTGCCTTCCAAAGGACAAGCTGGCCAGGTGAGGCGCGAGGGAGGGGGTGGACACACAAACCTGTTGCCAGTGCCGCTCTTTCATTCCGGGGTTGCAGGAAATGTTGAGGATAGGGAGGTGCTGCTTGAACTTTTCTATCTTAAATTTCACGTTCTCTGCTAAACGCCTGGGTGCAGGCATATCGGTTAAGGTCTTGGTCAACTTATAGATGGTCCTCCACATGTTCCCAATTTCCTCAGCGATTTCCTCAGCATTGAGCAGGAAGAGCGGTCCTGAAAGAACAAACACGAGGGGACAGAAGTGTGAGACCCCCCCCCCCTCCCCCGCAAGGGGTTCCAGGCTCTGTGCTGCTTCTATTCCCTGAATTTACACCTGTGCCTGCAATACAGCTGCAGGGTTGAACACAGACTCTGGAACGGGATTTGGGTCTGAGACTAAGGCTGAGCCTGTGAAACCCGAGGTACGCTGCTCAACTCTCTTAAGCCTCAACATCTCACCTGTAACACAGGGTGGGGGTGCGGGGCAATAGTGGGTGCCTTGGAGGGGATTTTGAAAATTAGAAAGTTAAGTTATCTGGCTAGCAATGCTAGGTATATAATGCAAGCAGGGTTATGAAATTAAGTATTGATTTTAGGTGATAATAGGGTATTACATAGTAATCCACGAATTCTGTGAAATATTAACAAGTGGGGTAAGTGGGGAATATGCGTGAATGGGGATATGGGCATTCTGGTGCGTTTTACGTTACTTAAAAATTGCTTATTGAAAAACTACCATGAGCTTAAGAGATAGTACAGTGGGTAGAGGTTTGTCTTGCACATGGCAGACCTGGGTTCAATTCCCAGCACCCCATAATGTACCCTGAGCCCTGCCAGGAGTAATCCCAGAGCACAGAGCCAGGAGTAAGGTCTGAGCACCACCTGCTTACTCTCTCTCCAACTCAGTATTCTATTTTCTGATTGTGGTGGTGGTTATATTAATATAAACATGTTAAAATTAGCAAAACAATATGCCAAAATGTCAGTTTTACTGTCTATAAATTTTAAAAGTTAAAAGTAAAAATAACAACATAGCATCTATTTTCAGTAAAGACTTTTGGTAAAATTATAAATACTTTAACACCATAAAATGTTTGTTTCTCAAACCTAAAATAGAGCATCGTGTTTAAAGGTGACACTCTAGAAAAACTCTCATTAAAATCAGAAATAAGACAGAGGTGCCATTATTATCATTGTTCACTTTGGAAGTGTGCTGATCAAGAGAGAAAATGAACATTAAAAAAGTGTGAAATAATAAGTAAGGAAAATTCTATTTATGAAGCTATGAGTACCTAGAAAAATTAAGAGTACCAGTGAAAATATTATTCAAAACTAAATTATTTAAATAAGGGGGGGTTAGCAACATTCAAAAAACTAGGAATTCAACTACCCAATATTTAAATTCAATTAAAGGGCAAGATGCCCTTTAAAAACCACAAAGAGGGGCTGGACCGATAGCACAGCGGGTAGGGCGTTTGCCTTGCACGCAGCCAACATACCGACACAGGTTCAATTCCCAGCATCCCATATGGTCCCCCGAGCACCGCCAGGAGCAATTCCTGAGTGTATGAGCCAGGAGTAACCCCTGAGCATCGCCGGGTATGACCCAAAAAGCAAAAAAAAAAAAAAAAAAACCCACAAAGAAAGATACTGAAGGATAGCATAGAGGGTAAAGTGCTTGCCTTGCACACAGCTGACCCCATTTCAATCCAGGGCACCACATATGGTTCCCCAAGAATTGTCAGGAGAGATCCCTGAGCACAGATCCGAAAGTAAACTCTGAGCACAGCCGCTATGCAAAACATGTTTAAGCTTTCAAATTTTTCCAAGTGTGTTGAGGGTTAGGAAGAATGGGACTCTTATAAATAGCTTGAAGAACAACAAGTCATAAATTTTCTGAAAGGCAATAGCCATAACAAAAATCTTAATAACTTTATGTATATCTTATTAATAAATATCCTTTAATTCAATCACTTAACTTTTAGTAATTCTGAGAAAATGATCATAATATCTTAGTTTGTATTTTTAAAATTGGCAATAATGAAGTTGGAGCAATAATACAATGGGTGGGGTGTTTGCCTTGCACACAGCTGATCAAGTTCTATCTCCAGCACCCCATATGGTCCCTTGAGCCCACCAAGGAGTGACCTTTAATAACAGAGCCAAGGGTATGCCCTGAGTGCTGCCATTGGATATGCCCACAAAAAAGACAAAATAAATATTGCCAATAATCATGTTCATCATTATTTTGTTTCCTGAAGCACTGGAAGCAATGGGTCAAGCCTCATCATCTCTTATTTTATCTTCTGCTCTTAGACATCTTTCCCCAGTAATTATAACTTTAAATTATAACCTACACATTATTTCTCTCCCCACACACCCACAATCTCTATATAAATTCTAACTCCAAATATATAAACTACAGGCTGTTATTGCTGGTTAATATTTCCATTCTGGTATTTTCAGAAAACTCAACTTTAATGCATTCAAATCGACAGAATTTCCCCCTAACAAAATGTCCAGTTGTTTTATTCCATGATGGTAAAAGCTACATGATTACCCGAACTCTATACAGTCTACATTCTTCCCTGTCCTTCAGTACCTACTGCCCCATGTTAAATTGATTCTTATTAAGATTTACTGACTCAGCCCACTCAAACCTCTGGAATCTAGAGTAAAAGGGGCTCATTTAGAGATATCTTTCCTACTGTGACCTTTCTCAGAGCAGTAGAATTGTAGAACTGCCATCTTAATTGCCTACTATCTGCCTCACCCAATCCATGCCCTTGGCAGCTGCCTTTTCTGTATTACGTTGGAAATGGGATGGGCTTTTTCATCTATCCCCATTTTACATCATTATGAAATCCAGATCTAATTAAAGTGCTGTGGTCAGGTGAGAAAACCCAGGCAGGATCTGAAGCCCACTCCTTATTTCAAAGGGGTGGGCCGATTGCCCTATCCCTTCCTGTGCCCACAGTGAGGCGGGGGCATACCGTTCATCCACTCCTCAGACTTAGTGCTGAACTCATAGGCCGTCACCCAGAGTTGCTCATAAGGCACTTTGTTGATCATCAAAGTTCGCAGAAGAGGGAAGGTACTCTTCTCCTTCTCCAACAGCTCCTCTTCCTTATTGATTAGCTGCAGGGCAAAGGGGGAGGATGTTTAATGGGTAAACTGCTCTCTAACCCCCTAAAGTTAGCATGGCAAGTTCCTCAGCGCTTGGAAAACCAAGTTGAGGAAGATGCCTATTCACCTGGAGAACAAGAGAGGGAAAGAGAGCATGGGCACATGTGAGGAGGGCGCCCTTTGACCTCTAAAAACCATGGCAGTTGAGATTTGGTTCTGTAGGATGATGTTCAATCTTATCATCTTTGTTCCCACTGTATCAAGCACATAGCTCCCCACTTTCAATTTTTATCGGTACATGAGCTATTCACATGATGTCACTTTTTTACATAGATTTGGCTCAGTTAAAGAACTGACCAGTTACCTTCAGGGCAAGTTATTTAGTTACTCTAGCTAAAATTTTTTTTAATTTATAAATTTATTTTAAATAGAGGTAAATGGAAATAGTAATAGTACCTACCCCAAATATTTTTTGATTAGCTAAAGTAACATATTATATGTGAACTCCTCTTCACATTGTCAAACAAGTAATTAATGCATTACAGGTGAGAAATTATTCTGTTACAATTTCTTCTGTGTGTGTATTCAATAACCAAAAAAAAATCTAATAAGAATGTAGCAGCATGAAAATAGGTGATTAAAATAACTGATAATCAACACTGTCCTTCTGAAATGTGATGTTGGAGCAAAAAATAGTGAGGACCAAAACAAGAGAGAGTAGTAGAGTTGTTCATCCCGATCCCAAGACTCCAAACCTCATATTCCTTTAGCGCCTGATCCAGGTTCTTTGACAGCTCGTTGAGCTTTTCCACATTGTTCTTCATTTCCTCTGCCGTCATCACTTCACGTTTCCTAAAACCATCCAATTCCTTGCTATAGCCTTCAAGTCTTGACTCAAATTCTAAGCACCTGAAAGCAAGGACAGCCCAATCACCTCTGGACTTGGCATTTTGTACACTTCTAAAGTATCAGCTCTATTCATCAGGATGTTGGGAGAATTGATCTTTTTGTTTGTTTTGTTTGCTTGTTTTTAACTTTAAGGTAAAGGTAAAGGCCCTCCCATTGATCATCGATTTGCTCGAGCGGGCCCAGTAACGTCTCCATTGGAGACTTGGTTGTTCCTGCATTTGGCGTATCGAATACATCACGGGTGGCTTGCCAGGCTCTGCCGTGCAGGCGAGATACTCTCGGTAGCTTGCCGGGCTCTCCGAGAGGGGCGGAGGAATCGAACTCGGGTCAGCCATGTTGGCTGCATGCAAGGCAAATGCCCTACCTCACCCGGCCTGGACACGGACAGGATTGACAGATTGATAGCTCTTTCTCGATTCCGTGGGTGGTGGTGCATGGCCGTTCTTAGTTGGTGGAGTGATTTGTCTGGTTAATTCCGATAACGAACGAGACTCTGGCAAGCTAACTAGTTATGCGACACCCGAGCGATCGGCGTCCCCCAACTTCTTAGAGGGACAAGTGGCATTCAGCCACCCGAGATTGAGCAATAACAGGTCTGTGATGCCCTTACATGTCTGGGGCTGCATGCGCGCTACACTGACTGGCTCAGCGTTTTTAACTTTAAAAGATTCTTATTGAATCACTGTGAGATTACAGTTAAAAAGTCTTTCAGAATTGGGTTTCAGTCATACAATATTCCAACATCCATTCCTCCACCAGTGCACATTTCCCGCCACAAATGTCCCAGTTTCCCTCCCACTCTGCCACGGTAGCTTGCCTCTACAGCAGGCACTTTTCTTCTCTCTCTCTCTCTCTCTCTCTCTCTCTCTCTCTCTCTCTCTCTCCTTTTCCTTTTAGGCACTGTGGTCTGCAATACTCTTACTGAAAGGGGATCATGCATATCACTTTCTCTCCTTTCAGCACTCAGTTTGTGTCCAGTCTATGTCCAACTGTAATTGTCATAGTGGTCCCTTCTCTGTCCTAACTGCACCACTTCCCCTCAGCCTTGGTGGCATGCTTCCAACCGTGAACCAGTCCTCCTGCCCCCCCCCTTTTTTTACTGTCTTTGGGTATTATTTATATATTGTGGGGGGTTTTATCCATATCCCACAAATGAGTGCAATTTTATGTTTGTCCGTCTCCTTCTGACTGATCTCAGAAACTGAAACTTCATCTCTCTATTTTCTATCCACTACTTATAATCCCACTCCCCCGAGATGTCTCTGCTGGGATCCTATTTGTAGGCAAACATTTTCAGACTTTTTCTGTGAAAGTGTATGTGTGCATAAAAGATGGTATATATCCCAAATTAATAGATAAATTCACTGACAGATAAAATTACACAGAGATAAAGGTTTTTAACCACATCTGGAAAGGCTCGGGGTTTACTCCATGTTCAGGGGTCACGCCTGATGGAGCTGATGGTCCCTACCATATAGGTAGGTACCAGGAATTGAACCCAGATTCACCACATGCAAGGTGAGCACCATATTCATTATACTATTTCTTCAGCTCCAAAATAAGATATTTTTGTTAGTGATCAAGATCATTGAGGTTTCTCGGGAGTTCAAGATTCCGCTCTGTCTAACGTTTGTTGATTTAAAGAAGGTCTTTGATTCTGTTGAGACAGAAGCGGTCATTGAAGCCCTAGCCAATCAGGGCATTCAGACTCAATACATCAGGATCCTTCCTGAGCTGTATTACAGATTCATTACCAGGATCTCACCATTCTACAAAGAAGTGATCATCCATGTCAAGAGAGTGGTTCAGCAGGGTGATACCATTTCACCGAAACTCTTCAGTGCCACCCTTGAGAACATCATGCGACAACTCGAATGGGAAGGAATGGGAGTGAAGACAGACGGTCGGCAACTACACCACCACCGCTTCGCTGATGACATTGTTCTAATAACAGCAAACATTAGCCAAGTGGCACAAATGCTGGTCAACTTCGACTATGAGTGTGGAAAGGTCGGACTACAGCTGAATCTCATGAAGACAATGTTTATAAGAAACAGTTTTGTTCCTGATGTTCCATTCGCTCTCAACGGAATGACCATCTCTGAATGCAACAGTTATGTGTACCTAGGTCGAGAAGTCAACATGACAAATGACCTGGCACCTGAGTTGCTCAGGAGCAAGAGAGCAGCTTGGAACGCCTTCAAGAGCATTGAAGAAATAGCTAAGAGGACAAAGAACCTCTGGCTCCAGGCACTTCTCTTTAATTCCACTGTTCTCCTGCATTAACATATGCCTCAGAGACCTGGACCCTACAAAAACAGGATGAGAACACTATTCGGGTCTCCCAAAGAGGAATCGAAAGAGCTATGCTTGGAGTATCACGCTTCAGTCAAATGAGAGAAAGAATTCAGAGTTCCGACCTCCATCAAAGGTCAAGAATCAGGGACACTGTCTCATTTGCCAAAGCGTCAAAAATCATTTGGGCTGGACACGTAATGAGATTTGGAGAAGACCGCTAGACTAGAGCTGTTACCTACTGGATTCCACGGGACATCAAAAGACTGCATGGCTGCCCACCTACGAGATGGTCAGACTTCTTCCTCAAGACCCTGAAAGTTTGAGGCTCTTCATGTTCCTGGAATGAACAGGCACCATTGGGCTACACTAGCATGCGACAGGGACAAATGGAGACGTTAGTGGCACCCGCTCGAGCAAATCGATGATTAACGGGAAGTCAAGTGATCAAGTGATCCAAGTGTTAGTGATAAATGCTCTGAAGAATACAGAACAAGACAGAGTAACTGGCAAATAGAAATGGATGGTTTCTTTTGCTTGACTGATCAGGGAAGACATTTCCTAATATCTATTTTTTCAGACAAAACAGGTGTGAGATTTATTTCTCTCTTTTCATAATGAGGTACAATACAGTAGGTGAATAGGTCTGGAGTTGGACAAATTTGGTTCATCCCTTCCTCATCATATAGTAGGTAGGGCAGCTTGGTCAGTTGCTTAACCTTTCCATGCCCCAGATCCATAATATGCCAATGGTAAATGTACCTGCTTTAGTATTGAAAAGCTAACAGAGGCCGGAGAAATTGTATAGGCGTTAAGGAGGAGGCCTTGCATGTAGCTTACTCAAATTCAATCCCCAGAACCACAGGGGTCCTCTAGAAACACTGGCTGTGTTCCTGAAGGTCCCTGAGTACCACGGGCCACTTACAGGGCCACAGCCTCAGTCCTCATGCTGGATGCTAGAACTCATCCACTTACGATGAAAGAAAGAACCTGCAAAATTCATTCTCCCTCTCTCCCTCTTTCTCCCTCCCTCCCTCCTTCCCTTCCAGGCTCTTTCTCTCTCTCCCTAAACCTCCCTCCCTCCTTCCCACTCTCTCTTTCTCTCTCTCCCTATGCCTCCCTCCCTCCCTCCCTCCCCCTCTCTCTCAGTTCCACCCCTCTCTCCCCCTCCTCCCCTTCATTCTCTCAACTTGTGAGGCAAGTCTCTCTCACTGAGCTACATCCTCAGCTCTAATATATGTTATACAGCCCAGCATCATTTCGAACACAACCTTTCTCTGTACCTTCTAATTAGGTCCATCTCTGCTTGATCCCTCTTGCCGAGAAGCAGGTTTTGACTGCTCTCAAACACGTCTTCAATCTGGTCTGGCCAGAGGAACAGAGTGCTGTTCAGCTTGATATCCTCTTCTGTAAGACACATACGAAGTGGCTCCGTGACCGAGGCACCAACACAGAGGGAATTAATTCAGCATCGTAAGAGGTCAACAGAAACAAGGAGCAGGTGGCAATGAAGAGCCTAGCATTTACCCAGCACTTACTGAGAGCCAAGCTAGAAGGGAAATAAATGCTATCATGCCCCTTTTCACAGTTGGGAAACAAAGAACTTAAGTCAAGGTCACATTGCTAGAAGGCAGGAGAACATAATACAAACCCAGGACCACTCAACAACAAAGACTATATTCAAACTGCTGTGCTTCAGTTCCATCCCACGCAACATTTGGACGTAGCAGAAACCTGAGCTGCAGGTCTGGTTGCCCTCTAACCTATTTCACGAAACTCTGTCTCAGTTTCCCTTTTGATAAAATGATGGTAAAGTACAATCGGTGAGAGACGTCCTGTCCATCTCACAGCACTGAGGAAGTAAATTCCCAGCTTCCCTCTTGACCCTTGGCAATTTAAGAGGCAAAGATCACAGTGAGAGGGTCCAGTGTTCATATGGTTAAGAGCATAGCTCATAAGTGTGCAAACGGTTGATTAGGGACCACTTTTCACCCTACCCACACACTTCCCTCCTTCAGCCCTCTCCCAACCCACTGTGAGTACCAGACAATTCACAGTTCTTTCCAGAGAGAAAAAGGCTCAGAAGCTCAGGTTATGGAGAGTCTCTTGACTTTTCCTTTAGAACTCGGTCCTTACTCAATACTGACTTGACCCAAAGGGGCTTCAGGACATTTCTTTCTTTTTAAAATGTCCCAGGCCAAAAACAAAACAAAGAGTATATAAATTTATTTTGAAATGAAAAAAAGAAAGAGAACATAAAATGAACAATATACTTACAACAAATTTTGGCAACTACTTAATATTTTAAAAGCAAACCAAAATACTTTAAGGGCTGTTTCATATTTTAAAACATCTCTTTACTATCTGGCTTATAATAAATTGAGTTCTTGAATTAAAAAAATGTGCCAGGCCAAGTAAAGTGCTCTGATCTCTTCAATATTAAGAGTACAGATGAATGAAATCTAGCTATTTATAAAGAGGAATCTGTATTAGGAAGTCACTTTTCCAGGAACATCAGATACAACACATCAAGACAGGCCACAAAGAGCTAGTCAAGTTTTTACATGTTATTCATTTTGTCAAACAAGATTTTCTTTGACTTAAATTCTTGTGGGTAAGAGTGTGGAACTATTGCTGCTAGTATACAGGATACCCTTGATCAGAAGTTCTCCTGATGTTGATATTTAGCAGTAGAATTGCTAATTCTCTCCCCTCCACTCCACTGATTCCTTACCATATATGTGTGTATTGTATGTATGTATATATATATATACACACATATATATATTCCCATACATACGTAATACGTATACATGTACATCTATGACACATACATGTATGGCATTGAACTTACGGGGCAAATCTGCATAGTCCATCAGGAACTCTAGCCGTTCAACTGCATCCCTGAGTTGCCTCCTGAGTCTAAACACAGTGACGTCACTGGATCTCTTTAAGAATGCAATGAGATGTACCAGCTCCTCGGTGTTGGTTGGAATCTCACTCACTTTGTCTGCAATTGTGCTGTACTGATTACAAATGCTACAGAGAAAAATATCACCACCATCAGCGTTGTCATCACTGAATATACACCACCAGCAGCATTGTTTAATGTACTTTTCTTTTAAGACCTCTTATGCTACATGATTTTTATTTAGAAACTAGGAACTTTTTTCTGATTTTACTTCAGTTGCAAGCCCTTAATGGCTGATATTCACAGGCACACAACACTTTGGGAATAATGATAGTAGTGATGGTGATAATAGCTGATATATTTTATATGACATGTACTTAGATGTATGATTATTTAACCTTCACAACAATCCTGAGAGGTAGGGACTCTTTTTTTAATCTATATCTATAATGAGAAAAGTAAAGTTAAGCAACATTTTCCAAAACAACATGGTGCCTAGAGCAAAAACAAGATCTGAGCTGGTTAAACTGAACCCAAAGCTCATATTCTTGTTAAAATCTTTATTTATAGAGGTCAAAGCAATAGTACAATGGGTAGGGCATTTGTCTTGCATGAGGTGAACCTGAGTTTGATCCCCAGCTCCCAATATGGGCCCTGGAACACAGCGAAGAATAATCCCTGACCACAGGGCCAGGAGTAAATGTTGAGCATTACCTGGTATGGTCAAAACACAAAAAAAGAAACAAAATAAAAACCTTTGGGGCCTCAGACAAACTGCTTACTATCTTAACTATCTCCCTGACTCTCTCCAAAGCTCATATTCTTCCTGGGTTGTTTTGTTCTTCCTGGTTAGCTTTTACGCTGGGGGTGGGGGTGGAGGAGAGTTGACCTGCACTCAGTAGTGCTCAGGAACTACTCCTGGATCTGTGCTCAAGAATCATTTCTGGTGGAGCAGGAGTAACATGGTTGTCAAACCCAGGCCAGTTGCACACAAGGAAGCGTCTTAAGCCCCGGACTATCTCTCTGGCCTCAAAGCTCATATATGCACCTTACTTATATAGATTGGGTAAGAGTCATACTTAGAATAAAACAAGAAGAAAACTATCACTTTTTCTTATACATGTTGATTCAAAGAGACACTCAAGTAGCAGTTTGTTGGGATCCTGAGTCTGCAGCTCCCATTTCCTTTTCTGATGGACCAAACCCAAATCCCCCAACATCTTTCGCCATTCACATGTTTTGGGTGGGACTGAGACCCCTCAGAGATGGGAATGTCACTCAGATCTGCCAAACTCTTGGTTATGGTGTTTTGTTTTGGATTGGTCAACCACATTAGTCTGATGCACAAAGTACAGTGAAATAAAAAAGAAAAGGACTCCTTCCCCCCTCTAGATGGAAACCTTGGGAGGCTGGAAGCTTGGAACTGCTGGGGTCTGGTGATCTAAGGAGAGCCTGTCTGAGCACAGAGACAATAAGAAGAAAGGTAAGGGGGAGGTTACCTCCTAACTTCAGGGTTAAGATCTTGAAACACAAACTCTTGAACTTTCCAACAAAGGACCCCCAAATTCTCTGTTCTACTTTAATCAGTCCTTTCCAACTCAAAATGCCTAAACTAATAATATACAGCTAGTTACAGTAAATACTCACTCAAATGAAGTTTGAAGACTGGAGTTCCGGATTGAGACAACAGAAGCCAGAAAAGGCTAAAACTGTAGGCACACTGTGTGTGTGTGTGTGTGTGTGTGTGTGTGTGTGTGTGTGTGTGTGCTCTAGATGGCCCAACGTGGGCTGTGAACCCAGACTGCCACAACCCCAAAGCAGCATCTCTCAGAAGTTGCCAAAAAAGTTAGAGAAGCACCAGAAGATGTTTCCACCTGCCTACTCCAAGCCCCATGTAACCATCTCCCTACCACTCAACCAGCGTACACCTGAGTTTCCTGTCATTCTTTACTTGGCACCAGAAACAATACCAACAACATGAGTCCTGTCTGATCCTTGCTAAAAGGAGCAGGTTTGGGCCACTTTTCCATCCTGTTCCAAATAGCAGTGCTATTTCCCCCGCATGCAATAATGTACCTGGTATTGGTGTCCCGGTTGATGTCTACTTGGAATTGTATCAAACGGTCTTTAAGATTCTGGGCTCGCTCACAGAGCTCATAATTCAGAATCATGGCATCAAGGCAGAACATGGCCAATGGCACAGTAATGTGCATAGATGCAATTTGATTTCTTCGCATTTTTATGCTTTTTATTCTCTGTAGAAAGGAATATATTCAGTAGCTTAATTTGCCTTTTGCTTCTATGGGTTTGCTCTCATCCTCACATTCCCATCTACTCCAATGTTGAATACATTTTATATATGTATATATACATACATACACATAATGTACATATATATAAATTAACAAAGACAATATTGCCTATTCATTAGATTGCAGCACAAGTTATCAAGATATGGAAATATCAAGTAGTATCACCTACCGTTACAAAATCCTCAATTTCGTGATGTTCTTTCAGGAATTCAGTGATGTTTTGCTCTGCCATATTATTCAGTAAATCATCATACTGTTTGTACACATTTAAGTATCTTCCGTATTAAAGAAAATAAAATAAGCATACAAAAATATCACCAAATCAGATCAATCATAATAGCAAATGCAGATATATCACAAAATATACATACCAATCCAAGAGAAATAAAAGTGGCACAAGGTACTGTGAATAGGGAATTTTAGAGTCTGAATTCCAAGTATCCAAGTATTGTGATTATCTAGCTGCGTGAAATTGGACAAGATATTTTTTCTTTCCAAAAGTCAGTGTCTTTAAGTGGTAATGAGAGCACCTTATAAGATTGAACCTGTATATATTAAATAAAAGTAAGTTTCCCTCTGTTGGGCTGGAGCGATAGAACAGCGGTAGGGCATTTGCCTTGCACGCAGCCAACATGGCCGACCCGAGTTCGATTCCTCCGCCCCTCTCAGAGAGCCTGGCAAGCTACTGAGAGTATCTCGCCCGCACGGCAGAGCCTGGCAAGCTCCCCGTGACGTATTCAATATGCCAAACACAGTAACAACAAAGTCTCCAATGGAGACGTTACTGGGTCCGCTCGAGCAAATTGATGATCAACGGGAGGGCCTTTACCTTTACCTTTCCCTCTGTTATCAGATCAAGCAAAAAAAAATGGCTGAGACTATTTCCCCCAAGATGAAGAATGGATTTAGGATGTTCTGGCTCAGATTTAAATTAAAACAAAGATGATATATAGTAGGTAAAATTAACTTTGTGGGAACCATGGGTATAATTCCAGATCCTCTGATCCTCCATCTTCCAGTAGGCAGGGGTCACACCCACCAGCTGACACCCCTGCCCAGTCCCCCCCTCCCCCCCCCCCCCCCCGCGCCGTATAATCCCATCAACGGCCAAGACCCAGAACAGCACAGTCTCCTGCTCCGGCGCCTGGCTGTCCTCACCAGGGCCCCTTGGAGGAGGGCAGGTTGAGTTTCCCTCCCCACCCCAAGTGGAGCTCCAGCAGCTGAAGACCTCCAGAACCAGCCACAACCATGCTGAGACCACTCTCCACAAGCATGAAGGTACTGGCAGAGGAACAAAGGCATGTGGGTCCCAGGGCTGAAATCTCCAAGCCTGCTCGGATCGGGGCTGAGCACCCTCCACCCAGACCCTCCATCTTCCAGTAGGCAGGGGTCACACCCACCAACTGACCAACTGACACCCCCCCCCCCCCCACCGCACCGTGTAATCCCATCAATGGCCAAGATCCAGAAGTGCGTGACATCTTATCTCATTCTTACTTTGGACAACCTGCCAGGCTACCGAATGTAACCTGCCCACATGGCAGAGTCTGGCAAACTCCCCGTGGTGTACCCAATATGCCAAATACCAGTAACAATGATGGGTCTCATTCTCCTAACCCTGAAAGGGCCTTGAATATGGCACTTTAAAATCTCAGGGCTAGGATGAAGGAGACGTTACTGGTGCCTGCTCGAGGCAATCGACGAACAACAGGATGATCGTGATCGTGATCATGATGGGTATAATTCCATAAGACTCTTGGATTGTCAGTCTATAAAGACAAATCAGAGTTCATGAATGGGGAGAGCAGAGACTTCAAATAGAAGTTTTCAAATCAAAATCATGAGAGTAGAGCATCCAAACAGGAGCCCAAGATTCTCAAACTACAAACTGAGAATTGGTAGTTCTCAGCCAAAGATGATTTTACCCACAAGGGACATAATGGCAGTGACTGGGGACACCTGGGGTTATAACACCAGGGAAAGGCCCTACTGATAGAGAGAGGTAGAAGTAGCCCGGGCTAGGTAGCCGTTTAGAGATGCTGTAAACATTCAACCAGGCATCAGGCACTCCTCCCACCTCTCTCAATACAGAATGCTGAGAGCTCAACTATTGAGAGCCCCAGTTGAGAAACTCTGGATTGGTGTGGCCAAATATGTCATAGGACACTGCTATCCATGGCATTTTTTCCCCTGAGTCTTGAGCCCCACTTGGCTGTGTTCAGGGCTCACTCCTGGGTGTGCACTCAGAGATCACTCCTGGTGGTGTTTGGGGAACCACAGTGGTGTCAGAGATGGAACCAGAGAAAAGCAAGCCCCTCACCCACCGTAGCACTGTAGCACTGTCCTCCCATTGTTCATAAATTCACTCAAGTGGGCACCAGTAACGTCTCCATTGTGAGACTTCTTGTTACTGTTTTTGGCATATAGAATACACCATGGGGAGCTGCCAAGCTTTGCCGTGCTCTCAGTAGCTTGCTGGGCTCTCCGAGAGGGGCAGAGGAATCCAACACTGGTCGGCCTTGTGCAAGGCAAACGCCCTACCCGCTGTGCTATCGCTCCAGCCCTCTCACAGTATCCATGGCAATTTGGGGGGTTCACCTTGGAGGTGCCCAGGTTTATTCCTGGCTCAGTGTTCAAGGGTCACTCCTGGCACGGCTTGGAGAACCATATGGGATGCCAGGGACTGAACCCAGGTGAACGGCATGCAAGGCAAATACCTACCCACTATAGGTTCAACCCCAGTATACTTATGGCATATTTTAATGACAGTCCCTCCACTCTAAAGAATCCCAGTTTGGAGGTACTGAGATTATATGGTTAGCTGGAGTCAGTGGTTACTCACCCAAGTGACTACCAGCTCTTCTGCAGTGTGCAACTGAAGAAGCAATCAGCACTTAGGTCCTCAGTCCTTTTCTTTAACCACTAGGTCTAAAATACTCTAAACACAGAAGACTGCTTCCAGACTCAGTTGCTAGCAAAAGCAGGCCCAGGCCAATAGAAAGCTATTTTATAAGAATATCTGGAGTTTTCACTGCAGAAATATCAGCATTTCACTAACAGGTGCTGGCCCAGACCCTGCTGAAGATGCAGCATAGTACATGGTATACAGGACCCAAGATATAGTATAATAGGTTAGGCACTTGCCTTGCATGTGGTAGACCCTTGTTGGATCACTGGCACCTCATAATCCCCTGAGCACTGCCATGAGCTAACCCTAAGCACAGGGCTGGGAATAGCACCCAGGAACCAGAACAGCAGAGTGTGACCCCCAAACCAAAAAGAGTAAGTGGAACATGCATTGTTATTTTAATAAAACCCAGAGACTTCTCAGTACCAGAACCCATTCGCTCCATGAGTTTCAGCTAAAGGAGGTGAACACGTGATCAAATTTGAATTCTGACTTTTCTTTTTCTTTACTATGGTAAGTAACATTGGAAAAATGAGTTTTGTTTTTTCTTATCTGAAAATTGGGGATAGTTACATCAATGTTAAGTTTTGACCCTCTTTATTACATATCACACAGGTGTGTGAGACCAGGTTTTGCTGAATTGATGAAAGTTAAGAACTCATAAACCATACCAAAAATTCCAAGATATAACTAAATCAACTTACTTGTTTGGACCAACTTGATTTTTCTGAAAGACCTCAAAAGTCTGTTTCACAAAATCAGAAACCAGACTTTCTTCAGGGTTAACAGTCCTAAGATTCAGATTGCATCCTTTCAACTCAGGGAACAGGATTGCTTCCACCTGAAGAATAGAAACCACTTTGGGAGTTATTCTAAGACATCCTCAAGACAAAAGATTAGGCACCAAAATGTTAACTTTCTTGCCAAGGGCTGAAAGCTCAGCAGGTTGGAGTACCTATAATGCATCCCTGAGACCCTAGCACCACCAGGTCTCCTGGGTACCACTAGGAGTAACCCCTGAACACTCAACCAGGAGTTTTAGCCCTGCCAAAATTGACCCCCAAATAAACAAAACTCCTGTTATGGAGTCATTTGCAGGAACACCAGATGCATTTATTTTACTTTAATTAGATAGTTTAGTTTCGTTTTGGACTTACCTTGGGGTTCCCTCTACCTCTCTTTCCCTCCCCCTCTAAGTTGGATGACTCATTTTTCAGATCCCGCTGCTGCTTCCAAGTCAAGTTCTTAGATGGGCCCCCAGACCCCCAATGGATGTCAGGCTCCCTACTTAAAGCTCACAGTCTGAACTTCTTGGATTAGGGCATCACAACTGGTCTATTCAGGTCATGCAACAGACGACATGCAGGCAAGATCAGTGAGTTGTTTCTTGAGGAGAAGAGTATTCAATCAAAAGGAGAAGTAAACTTCTTCTGTTGTACTGGTGCATGTTTTCCCCTGGGCACTGCAGCCTATAAGTAACCGTGAGTTGAGGATTCGCAAATAACAGTTCTCTTTCAGGCCATATATTGTTTTCTGCTTAGCCCCGGCTCTCTGATTCCCGGATATTTGGGTTCATCACTCTTGATCTTTACACCAGCCCATGACTTTGATGCTGGCACTTTGCACGCACTCTGAGAGAGTGCCCCCACCAGGGAGAGAACAGTCAAGCAGTCCCCTTTAGTCATTGCATCAATATCTACTTCTGATCATGAAAGTACGCAGACAGGGCTGCTAATGCTGACGAACTAAGCCTTGGGGATTGAAGAGATAATACATGGATTTTGGGGGGCTGGGGACACAGTACAATGGGTGGGGGGACATTCGCCTTGCACACTGGCAAGCCAGATTCAATCCCTGACACCACATCAACTTCTAAGTGTGGTTCCTGTGCACAGAGCCAGGGTTAAGCTCTGAGAACAGTTGGGTGTGACCCCCAAAACAAAAATAAGCAATCAAATTTGCTTTGTATTTTTAGTTTTGAAAAATCTTGTTCTTAGTCTACCCCGTTTCATTTTATTTATGCCTCTCCTGCACCCCTGTTAATTTCAGTCACTATTATAGTCTTCATGTTTCTCTGGTTTCCTTCCTTTCCTCCTTCTTCTCTCCTTCCCCGCTTCCATCCCTCCCTCCTTCCCTCTTTCCTTCCCTCTCTCCCTTCCCTCCCTCCCTTCCTTCCTTCCTTCCTTCCTTCCTTCCTTCCTTCCTTCCTTCCTCTCTCCCTCCTTTTCTTCTTCCCTTTTCCCTCCCTCCCTTTCCTTCCTTCCTCTCCCTTCCTTCCTTCCTTCCTTCCTTCCTTCCTTCCTTCCTTCCTTCCTTCCTTCCTCTCTCCCGCCTTTTCTTCTTCCCTTCTCCCTCCCCTTCCTTCCTTCCTTCCTTCCTTCCTTCCTTCCTTCCTCCCTCCTTTTCTTCTTCCCTTTTCCCTCCCTCCCTTTCCTTCCTTCCTCCCCCTTCCTTCCTTCCTTCCTTCCTTCCTTCCTTCCTTCCTTCCTTCCTTCCTTCCTTCCTTCCTTCCATATTTCCTTTCTGCTCTTTTAGCCCGCCCTCACTTCCCTTCTCCTCCCTCCTTCCCTCCTTCCCTCCTTCCCTCCTTCCCTCCTTCCCTCCTTCCTTCCTTCCTTCCTTCCTTCCTGCCTTCCTGCCTTCCTGCCTTCCTGCCTTCCTGCCTTTCTACTTTCCTTCCTTCCTTTCTGAGCCACACCCAGCAATGCTCAGTGCTCAGGGATCATTCCTGTTAGAGCCTGGAGCGGCCATACAGGGTGCTGGAGATTGAACCCAGGTTAGCCACTTGCAAGGTAAGTGCCCCTACCTCACCCAAGTGACTACTCTTGATAGTACTCTGTATTATTTCTCCAGCCCCTATTACCCATGTTTAACCTAAAGTAAGTGGGACTGGTGAGAGATAGAAGTGTCTGTTCCTATTAAAATTGCTTAATATGTTCTGCCTGAGGAACTGTTCACTTCAGCTTTCACAACCCAATTCTAAGTGAGTCGGAGGGTCCGGTCTGTGGCATGTCTATGTGGAGAGTTCTGAGCCTGGGCTGCTTTTACTGACAGCCTGAAAAGTCACTGGCATGCTCCTGGGTCCAGCTTTCACACATTACAAGCTGTCACCTGTGACCAGTCTTCTGAGCACTATGAGCCACCAAAACTCCTGCCCAGTCCTGCTGGGCTTTTTTCAGTAGCAGCCACAGGAATCCTGGGCTGTCCCGTCCCAGCTGCGTGCAAACAACATGGATCAACAGCAGTGAAGGAGGATTCTAATGCTATGCACTTGATCTGTCCCCGAGTCGAAATTACAGGGTCTTCTCTTTCACTTCCTTCCTTGGGATATTGGATGTAGGAGAGCCTCCTACTGTGTCCCCCACTCCCACCCCCATCACATACCGTTTTCTTGTTAGCTAGGCTTAATTGGGTTCAAAACCCCCAAATTTAGAGTTCTCTGGTGAAATCAACTGGAGTTTCTGGCTTCACATGCTTCCTTACAACCACCAATTCTAATCATGTGCTCTTTATGTACAGGATTATAAAGAGATGAGAGTATGTAAGAGCGTCCAACATCCAGATGCAAGGAAGTGGGGGAGGGGTAGTAAGAGGAGGGGCGGGGGAAAAATTGGTGTCTAAACACAGAGCCAGGAGTAAGCCCTGAGCACAGCTAAGTGTGGCCCCCAAACAAAAACAATAATACAAATGGGTAAATACGATACCTTGGGGATCCCCGTGGATTGCTTAATAATTTCCAAGAAAGAGTTATGTATTAACTGCCAGCAAGTATCAAAAGAAGGATTAAAGACAATATTTGGTTCTTTGACTTCAAGTTTGATCATGATTAGCTGGGGCATAAAGAATTTCATCTCTTCATAGGGTTCTTCAAAATCATTCCCACCCTTCAAGAGAAAACAATATAACATTATCAGAAAATGGGGTCTTCCAAAATCCAGAGAGTGAATCTTTTTGTGTGTGTGTGTCTGTGTGTGTGTGTGTGTGTGTGTGACACACAGTGATGTTCAGGGGTTACTCTTGGCTCTGCACTCAGGAATTATTCCTGGCAGTGCTTGAGGGACCATATGGGATGCTAGGAATTGAACCCGGTCAGCCACGTGCAATGCAAACACCCTACCCACTGTACTATTGCTCTGGCCCAAGAGAGTAAATCTTAATCCATTCCTAATACAGCAGGACACCAGAAAAGGCTGGATAAAACTATTCATCCTCTAACTGGTCACCCTTTAACTCTTCAACAAAACTTAGATTTGGTATTTTTACTTTGCTTAGATAGTCCTGTCTCTTTTCCTTTTCTTTTTTTTTTTTTCATTTCAAATGAGATGACATTCCACTATTATGGGTGTGTGCCATTATAAGTTAATGTCCATTTATACAAAATTAAACTATTCAGACCACTAAAAATCCAAATCTATCTTTATATGATCAACAATTTGATCTTATAGTTTTATATTTAGTTCATTTGCCTCTGTCTTCTCTATGTACCACAAATAAACAAAATCACGTTTGATTTTGTTTGATTTCATTCCAATTTTGTATAATACCCTCTATATCAGTGGTGTTTGACCTTTTTTCTTCCAAGACTAGTGAAAATAGGAGAATTAATCCACAATCCAATAAAGCAGAAACAAAAGCATTATTTGTAATAAGAATATTTATATACTAATTTTAGTAACATTGCCCTGCAAGCTACCAAGAGTATCCCGCCTGCGTGGCAAAGCCTGGCAAGCTCCCCATGATGTATTCTACATACCAAAAATAGTAACAACAAGTGTCACAATGGAGACATTACTGGTGCCTGCTCGAGTAAATTGATGAACAATGGGTGGACAGTGCTACAGTCCTACAGTATAACAAAAACCAGATTTCACATGTTAAGAAACAATTTTTTTTGTGGACCAGTAGGAAATTTCTATAGGTAGACATTGGTCAGCAGATGGGCAACTGAAAACTCCTGCCTTAAATCCAAGTAACTGAAAATGGCAGGATCTCATCTTTTATTGCTTAGCAGCAATCACCGTGTTTATTCAGTTATCAGCTCATGGGCACTTAGGTTGTTTCTAGCTTGTGGCTATTGCAGATAATGTTCAATGAACATGATGTATTATTTTAAGCGCTTTCCATCCTTCAAAATCCAACTCGAAATCCTTTCTTTCTGGGAAGTAACCACAAGCCTTAATAATGTATCATCTCTTCCACTTATGTACTTCTATATTTCTAATTCTCAAGTTATTTTCTTTCTTTCCTTCCTTTTTTCTTTTTTCTTTTCTTTCTTTCTTTGGGGTATGTTTGTACAACTTATCACTGAGGGAAGTATCTGTGTATAAATTGCCTTCAAAATATTTTTAAACTATCATTTAATACATAGTAGGTACTCAAAAATTTGTAGACTGTCCCCCAAAACATATTATCTGTGCACCTCAAATGCAATTGTTAATTTATGTAATAGTAAAATTTAGACATTCAAGATGACAACCTACCCATAACAGAAATATTGATGAGGAGATATTTTTAGTTTTATTTTTCTGGTTTTTGGACCATACCCAGCTGTGCTCAGAGATCAGTCTTGGCAGGCCTAGGAAGATCATATGTGGTGATAGGGATCAAACCTGGATTAGCCTCATGCAAGGAAAGTACCTTACTTGCTGTACTATCTCTCCAGACCAAATGTGGAGAAATTTCTAATTCTCAAAACAATCTACTAATAAAACTAGATTTTCATAAACTTTAGTGTCTAAGTAAATTAGGACAGCTATAAGACACTTGTTGAAGTAACTTATTCTAGATACTTTTAGATCTGTTTGACTCTTGATGAGCATTTATTTTTTACCTTTATATGATTTATTAACTATGTAGCATGTATCCATCAATTTCCTCTTCTTCAGATAAAAGTTTGTTTCCTTCTTCAGATAAAATTTGTGTGGAAGTTTAGATGGATATTTATTTGGTATCTTTAGCAAAGTTCCAATGACATCTGTATACTGAACTACTTTAGAGAGCTAACACTGCTATTTGATTTTAGCATCCTTTGAACATATTTTTTTAGTAAAAAGGTCAATTGCTTATCTTTATTCAAAAATATAGCTAGAATTTCAGTATTGGACAGATAGCACAGTGGCTAAGGTGCTTGCCTTGCACTCAGATCTGAGTTTAATCCCCAGAATCCATCTGGTCCCCAAGCTCACCAGAAGTCATTCCTGGGTGCAGAACCAGGAGCAAGCCATGAGCATTGCTGGGTGTGGGAAAAGAAGGTGTGGGGTGTGTGGAGGTGGAGAGAAAGAAAGACAGAAAGGAAGGAAAGAAGGAATGAAGGGAGGGAGGGAGGGCGGGAGAGAGGGAGGAAGGAATTAGGATTAAGCCTTTTGTAACTCGGTAATTTAAATTCTTTATGCTTTATTATGGTGAAATGTGCACATAAGTATAACATCCAAACAAATCTTGATTCCAGGAAAGTCATGTTGATCTGAAAATGGGGACTTAGTATTTTTATGTTTTTGTTGTTGTAATTTTGTTTTAGGGTCATACCTGGCAATGCTCAGGGATTATTCCTGCCTCTGTACTCAGGGATCACTCCTGAAGGTGCTCAGGAAACTATATGTGGTTCTGTGGGGGTCAAACTGGGATTAGCCTCATTCAAGGTACTATCTCTCTGGCTCTGTTATCAGTTTTTATTTTGACTTCATTACAGCATTCTAATAAGGGAAGTTGTTAATTAGGCCACCAAAGTGTTTAAAGGATTACCCTTTCAAGGCAAAGGTCAAATATCAATATTTGCAATGAATACCCACAGCGTCCCTCTCGGAGAGCCCAGCAAGCTACCGAGAGCTATTCAGCCTGCGTGGCAGAGCCTGGCAAGCTTCCATGGCATATTCGATATGCTAAAAACAGTAACAACAAGTCTCACGATGGAGACGAGATGTTACTGGTGCCCGCTCGAGCAAACTGATGACCAATGGGAGGACAGTGCTACAGTGATACCCCCAGCATTCCTAGATATTAAGCAAAGAGAGATAACAGATATTTTTCAAATCCTCCTTATAACAAACATAGAAGATGAAAAAGTAGTCAACCTTCCCACTATGTGAGGCAGGTATTTTCTTCAATCTTCCCTTCAATTGTATTTACTTTATGTATTAATCTTAAAATAGAGGTATCATACATAGTTTATGGTAGCATTGGTGGTTATTTTATACTTGCAGAGCTACTGCACCAGTCCTTCCAGCAGTGTTTCAAGGTCCCTCCATTAGTATCCCTTGGTTGGGTTGATCCCTTCTACCTCACTCACCCGTCACTTCCCTGCTCTATTGATCCTGTCTCAAGGTTTATTTGCATTTGGGATTGTCTAATCCCTTTCTTTGCTCTTTAATACTAATCATCTGAGCAAGACCATCTGGTCCCTTTGATTTTCTTAACTATTTTCTACTTTTATAGTTTGTTTTGGAAGGATTTCACACCCTAGCTTATGGGAGGATCATGAGGGACCATATGGGGTGCTGGGGATCAAACCCAGGTCAGTTGCATGCGAGACAAAGCACCTGAACCTCTGTACAATTTCTCTGGCCTACTTTAATGGGTTTTTACCAATTTAGTAGATGTCTAGTATCTCAGGTGAAGAATTCCATAAGAGAATCCTGATTCTCTGGGTTAGCTTCCTTCTAAACGGGCCTACTTGCCAGGGCCTACAAACCTTATGAATCATGAAAAAAGAGACAAGGTCCTCAAGAGACTTAATGACCATCTCTCTAAGCTGGAGTGCCATGAAGGATGCAACAGAAGCAAAATATTCTTCAATGCCCCGGGAGGGCTCATACTCGCTCCTGGGAGCAAAATGGACCCAATGGTGCTTCTGTGAAGTAAAAATCTGGGTACATGCGGGGATCCATCTGTAAAGACACAAAAGCATCAAAGTAAGAACCTTTCCTAAGCTCTGAAAAATCCCATTAGCCATCTTCCTGCCCTTGATGAAAAGGCAAATGGCTCATTTTCCACCAAGCAGCTTTGCAAATTCATCATTTTAGATCCCAGGTCGGGCTGGAGCGATAGCACAGCAGTAGGGTGTTTGCCTTGCACACAGCCAGTCCGGCCCAACCAGGTTCGATTCCTCCATCCCTCTTGGAGAGCCCAGCAAGCTACTGAGAGTATCTTGCCTGCTCGGCAAAGCCTGGCAAGGTACCCGTGATGAGAGACTTAATGACCATCTCTCTAAGCTGGAGTGCCATGAAGGATGCAACAGAAGCAAAATATTCTTCAATGCCCCAGGAGGGCTCAATATGCCAAACACAGCAACAAGTCTCAAAATGGAGACAATACTGGGCCCGCTCGAGCAAGTCGATGAACAACGGGAGGACAGATCCCAGGCCACCTCATCTGTTAACACTACTTTCCTGGGAGAAAAAAGCAGGAAGACTTAATTAAATGAAGACTCTATCCTTCCATCACCAGTATCCAGAAGGTGTCGGTGGCATGTCCTGTTGAAAGTGTGTTTGGACTGTTGATAATAAACAGGAGTTTGGAGGGGTATAAGCTATTGTTATTGGGTTGCAGAGGTATAAAGAACTGGAATGTTCTACCTTCTCTCCCTGGCCAAGGCTTATCCTCTGATTCAGACTTCATGAGAGAAAAAGGAGAAAGGGAAGAAAACTAAGAAGAAGATAGTCCATATAGCAGTGGCTGTTTAGAAGATAATAGAGAAATGTGAATACTCATAGATGATACGGATGCCTCATTGTTTCTTTCTTTTTACTTGCTCCAAGTTCTAATTCCCAGTGAAAATCACTGGTCTTGTCATCCAGTCACATCTCTTTTCTGATGGTTAGTAGAAAACCACTACTAGTAATAGTCAAAGTTGTAGAGATTTACTGAGCAACTACTTTGTGTCAGCTATTACATACATTATGTATTTTTTTTATCTGGTAATAGGGGCTGGAGCCATAGCACAGTGGGTAAGGTGTTTGCTTTGCAAGCGGCCAACATGGCCGACCTGAGTTCGATTCCTCAGCCCAGCAAGCTACTGAGAGTATCTCGCCCGCACAGCAAAGCCTGGCAAGCTACCCGTGATGTATTCGATATGCCAAACACAGTAACAAGTGTCACAATGGAGACGTTACTGGGCCTGCTCAAGCAAATTGACGAACAGTGGAGGACAGTGACAGTGATCTGGTAATAGAAACATTAGAATTTTCATGTTTTTTTTGATATTAAAAAAATCTTGCAGGCATTTGCGAATAAATTGTCTAAGTGACTGAAACCCTCTTATCTTGGAAATTTGTAGTGGTTTATCTGGAGCACCTGAAAAGGAGTTATTCAAATATAGTGTCTTGTGGGGTCCGAGCGATAGTGCAGTGGGGAGGACATTTGCCTTGCATGCAGCTCACCCAGATCCCATATGGTCCCCCAGGAACTTCCAGGAGTGATTCCTGAGTGCAGAGCCAGGAGTAACCCCTGAGCATCACCAGGTGTGACCCAAAAACAAAAAATAAAATAAAATAAAATAAACGTCAATGACTAAAAAAAATACATAGTCTTATAATCTAGGGCCTGGAGCGATAGCACAGCGGGTAGGGCGTTCGCCTTACAAGCGGCCAACATGGCCGACCCGAGTTCGATTCCTCCGCCCCTCTCGGAGAGCCCGGCAAGCTACCGAGAGTATTCGATATGCCAGACACAGTAACAACAAAGTCTCCAATGGAGACGTTACTGGGCCCGCTCGAGCAAATCAACGATCAACGGGAGGGCCTTTACTTACTTACTTACTTACTTATAATCTAGGTAGTAGTGTCTTATAAAGGGTTTCAGAGAAAGGGAGTGGAAGTTTCAGAAACTCCTGTAATAATGAGTTTCTGAAAGAATCTGAGAGACTGCTGGGGAGTGGAAATGGGGGGGGGGGGGGTCAGGAGGAGTTTGGAGAAAGTCATCAATGATGCAATCCCTGGGCTAGAAACCAGTTTTCCCTTCATGGACTCTTTAGTCTTTAGGAGACTGTGGCCAGCTACTGACTTGTTGAGAAGAATCTTATGCGCTTCCAGACAGTGTTTCTCAATCACTTCTTGATATTCATGAGGCTGCAGAGGCAACTTTCCTGCCAGTAATTCTGCTGTGCGAACAAATCTGAGATCTTTAAACCTGCCAAGAGAGAGAGAAATGTCCTAAGCCGAGAAGCTGAAGCTCCTTGCTAACAAACTCTACAGGACTGCTGGAGCAATAGCACAGCGGATAAAGCATTTGCCTTGCATGCAGCCGACCCAGGTTCGAATCCCAGCATCCCATATGGTTCCCTGAGCACCGCCAGGAGTGATTCCTGAGTGCAAAGCCAGAAGTAACACCTGAGCATCGCCGGGTGTGACCCAAAAAGAAAAAAAAAGAAAAAAAACAAACTACAGGTCTGCTTCAAGGGCACCTGATATCAATGGCAGAAAACAAATGGATAAAAACTAATTCTATGGGGGAGGGGGGCGCGGGGGGCGGGGCAGAACTGGTGTCTGATGAGAGTGGGTAGTCCAAAAGGACTCTTGCGAAATAGGAGATGAAAGGGTCAATTTAGTAGTCATTTCCAGAACCTTCCTATGTGCCGTGCTCCGAGTAACCCATCTGGGAAAAGCAACCTTGGTACCAACCTGTTATTTTACTAGGTGGGATTTGGGAGAGCAAGTGAACTAATCAAAGTTCTTTACAAGAGTGAGACCCAGGGGCCCAGGATTCTACCCAAAGTGGCCTCTGGACATCTTGGAGGTCTGCTTGGGTCTAAAGCCCCCCCAAATCAAAGTGTATAGACCCACCTCTTCCCCACCTCAGCCCCAAACCAGATCGTCAGTCCCGTGACTCCTTTGCGGATGAAGAAAGACCAGTCAGGGAAGAGATGATGTTTCCCCAATACCAGGGAATCTGGGATAAATTTAAGTCAGATGGTTTGATTTCTCTGCTGGCACCCCGCCAGTGACTTCCCATTTGGGAATAAAACTCAGTACATGTGGACCTACCAGGCTTGAAGCAGCCTCGTCTTCCCACTTGCTCCCTGTGCTCCCCATACCTCTCTGAGTGCTCCCATCACCCTCCCCACCACTCAGCTCCAAGCACACATATCTCTCCTTGCTGCCCCAACACATTGAGGTTGAGTACTTTGCAGACTTTTTCCACTGCCAGCAAATTTTGTTCCCCCAATGTCTCTGGACCCTGTCTCTTATTTGTTTGTTTGTTTTGGGGTCACATCTGGTGGAGCTCAGGGCTTACTCCTGGCTCTGAACTCAGAGGATCATTACTGGCGGTGTTCAGGGGACCATGATTAGACTGATATGATCAGCTATGTGCAAGGCAAGTGTCCTACCCACTGTACTATCTCTCTGGCCCTCAGGCTCTCATCTTTCACTCAGATGTCATCTTCATAGTAAAGGCTACCTGAGGAAGTCATGCATGTTTGTGCAGCCTCTGCCCTGTCCCAGGGGTCCAGAGCAAGTGAGGGCTCTGCTGCTTACAGGGTTCACTTAATCACTTAACTTCCCGTTAGTCATCGATTTGCTCAAGCGGGCGCCAGTAACGTCTCCATTTGTCCCTGTCGCGTGCTAGTGTAGCCCAATGGCATCTGTTTGCTCCGGGAACATGAAGGGCCTCAAACCGATCGTTCATGATCTTGACGAAGAAGTCTGACCATCTGGTAGGTGGGCGGCCACGCGGTCTTTTGACATCCCGTGGAATCCAATCAGTAACAGCTCTAGTCCAACGGTCGTCTTTAAATCTCATTACGTGACCAGCCCATCTGATTTTCGACACCTTGGCAAATGAGACAGCGTCCCTGATCCTTGATCGTCGACGGATGTCAGAACTCCGGATTCGTTCTCTCATTTGAGTGAAACGTGATATTCCAAGCATAGCTCTTTCTATTCTTCTTTGGGAGACCTGAATAGCGTTCTCATCTTGTTTGCGTAGGGCCCAGGTCTCTGAGGCATATGTTAATGCAGGAAGAACAGTGGAATCAAAGAGATGTGCCCGGAGCTGGAGGTTCTTCGTCCTCTTAGCTATTTCTTCGACGTTCTTGAAGGCGTTCCAAGCCGCTCTCTTCCTCCTGCGCAGCTCGGGTGCCAGGTCATTTGTCATGTTGACCTCTCGACCTAGGTAGACATAGCTGTTGCATTCGGAGATGGTCCTTCCATTGAGAGCGAATGGGGCGTCAGGAACAAGGCTATTTCTCATAAACATTGTCTTCGTAAGATTCAGCTGTAGTCCTACCTTTCCACACTCACGGTCAAAGTCGGCCAGCATTTGTGCCGCTTGGCTGATGTTTGGTGTTATTAAAACAATGTCATCAGCAAAGCGGAGGTGGTGTAATTGCCGACCATCTATCTTCACTCCCATTCCTTCCCATTCCAGTCGTCGCATGACGTTCTCGAGGGTGGCACTGAAGAGTTTCGGTGAAATGGTATCACCCTGCCGCACCCCTCTCTTGACATCAACGATCACTTCTTTGTAGAACGGTGAGATCCTGGTAGTGAATCCGCAATAGAGCTCACGGAGGATCCTGATGTATTGGGCTTGAATGCCCTGATTGGCTAGGGCTTCAATGACCGCTTCCGTCTCAACAGAATCAAAGGCCTTCTTTAAATCAATGAACGTTAAGCAGAGCGGCATCTTGAACTCCTGAGAAACCTCAATGAGCTTGGTTATCGTGTGGATATGGTCGATGGTGCTGAATCCTTTGCGGAACCCTGCTTGCTCACATGGTTGTCCTTCATCTAATGTTCTGCCAATCCTATTCAGGATGACTCGAGTGAACAACTTGTAGATGACAGACAATAGGCAGATCGGGCGATAGTTGCCAATGTCATGGATGTCTCCCTTCTTGAACAGTAGTACGGTCCTGCTGGTTTTCCACTGGGACGGAACCTTGCATTCAGACAGGTAGCGAGTGAAGAGCCGAGCCAGTGTATTGATGAGTACTGACGGCAGGTTCTTCAGGTGTTCAGGTCTGACCTTGTCTGGGCCGGGTGCTGTTTGTTTCTTTACCAACGAAATGGCGTGTCGGATTTCGGAGGGGAGAACGTTGGGAACAACATACCCATCCTGTGGAATTTGGTATGTTGGCAAGTGGACATGGCTATCGAAGAGATTTGAGTAGAAGTCATGGATAATCTTCTCCATTGCCGTTCTGGAGGATGTGATGGATCCATCAGGACGTCGGAGGGCAGTCATCTTGCTCTTATAGTTGGCGAAGGACAGGCGGGCCTTACGAATACTTTTCCCGGCTTCTGCCGCATCTACCAGTACTTCTGCTCTTCTCTCTTTGAGGTCTTCCTTGATCGCATCTCTGCACTGCTTTGCAAGCTCGGACGTTAGCTTGCGGTTGCCTGAGGCATGCGCCAAACCACGCTGGCGAATTAGCTCGAGAGTTTTCGAAGATAGGCGACTTTTTGTGGCTATCTCTCTCTTGGCGTTCCTCGCACATTCATGGAGGTGCTGAACCAGTCGATCGTATTCCTCGTCAATGTTGTCAACAATGGCATCTTCCCATGTTGCCGCAATAGTACTAAAGAGTTCCCAGTTGGTGGTCATTCTGGGAGTTCTCTTTTTGAACTTTGCAGCCCTTTCTCCCCGCTCTGTGAAGTAGAATTTTGCACGAAGGAGACGGTGGTCCGATCCCGTTCGAAATTTTGGGACAACAGCGACATCAGTCAGGCAATATGATGTGGTCTATTTCGTTGTGGAATCGTCCACCGGGAGACTCCCATGTCCGTCATTTAGATTCTGCCTTCTGGAACTGTGAGTTACCATGGATGGTCTTGGTCGACATGATGAACTCTGACAGTCTCTCACCCTGTTCGTTCCATTCTAGGCCATGGGTCCCGATGTGAAGTTCTTCAGCTGATCTTCTCGGTCCTATCTTGGCATTAAAATCACCCACAATGATCTTGTAGAAGGTGTGGTCTTCTTTATAGAACTTCTCTAGCTCCATGTAGAACTTCTCGATTTCTCTTTCATCATAATGAGATGTTGGTGCGTAGACAACAAAGATAGAAACTGCAGGCAGTGAGCCACATCTATTCAAATGTAAACGTCCGATTCGGGTTGTTAGGCATTCGAATGAATCAATGCTCTTGGCCAAGTTTGTGTTGACAAGGACACCGACGCCTCCAACACCTCTTTTATCGCATGTTCCGAGGAACAATTCTTCTCCAGTGTCGAAAACGGCATGGTGAGATTCGTGCCTTCTTGTCTCGGTCAGACCAATGATGTCGTACTTGATCATTCGCGCTTGTACCATCAGGTCCTCGATGGATGCATCTGATGCTAGCGTACGTGCATTGAAAGTACAGACGATCATTTTACAGGGTTAGGTGGGAGGATTTTCAGATTCAAACCAAAGGAGCTGAAAAACTTGAGACCTTGTATCCAACCTCACCCAAACCGCATTCCTTATCACGACTGGGTTAATTCTTCTTTCCATCGCACCCACCACCCTCTAACGTGCCCGCCCGCGATTTGCTATCATTACCCCTTCCGCTGAAAGCCTGGCTCACCGCTATCTCTGGGGCACCAGAACAAAGCCAAGCACATTGCAGGAACTGGCAACTGTGTGGGAAGTGTGTGAGGAAATGAATGAAAAACAAATGTCTTAGCAGTCTGGATCCCAAGGAAGTGAAGCACCTTCAACCCAAACACATATTTATCTTATCTCTTGTACTGTTTAAAATATGATACATTAGCTTTACTGTCAAAACTAAGATAAATTAGCAAGTGAAAAAAATGTGACATTTCTTGTGGTGAGCCAGAAAGACACCTTGAGCACTGCCAGGGGTCTCTCCTTAGCATTGGTGCACGAGTGACCTCTGAATACTGCAGGGTGCAGTTCCCAAGCCAACAACAACAGCAACAAGTGCAGATTTATATTCTTCAAGTAGAAGTAGTATGAACTGCACAGTTTTGTGAATATCCTTAAACTGATCAATGGGCTTTGTTTTTATTTTTATTTATCTATCAGTGTATATTTTGAAGTGCCATGATTTGATTTGCACGTTTTTATTGTTTTTTTTTAATTTGTATTAGTGAGACATCATGAGGTACAGTTGCAGACTTACAAATTTTTGTGCTTGGGTTTCATTATACAATGATCAAATACCCATCCCTCCACCAGTGCCCATTTCCCACCACCACGGATCCCAGTATCCCTCCCACCCCCCATCCCCCCATCCCACCCTGCCTCTGTGGCAGGGCATTCCCTTTTGTTCTCTCTCTCCTCTTGGGTGTTGTGGTCTGCAAAAGAGGCATCGAGTGGCACGTTTTTAAAGGGGTGAATTTTATGATTTGTGAATTCTATTTCAATTTAGAAAAATAGCAAACGATGCACCTCCTCCAGATTCCTGGAGTTGTTCCCTGGAGGATCAAACTGAGGCCACTGCTCATTGTCCTGTGCTGGCACTGAGTGACTTAAAAAAGTAAGGCCCCAACCTCCAACTCCTCGCAGGTGAAGTGAGAAAAATACCTAAGCCAAGAGTTATAATTCAGTGTTACACATGTCAGAAAGGAGGTAATAATGGCTGGCTAACAAAGACCGGGTACTTAAGCAGGGTCTGTTTGAAATACTTTGCATGAACTAAGTTATTGATTTTTCTCATCAATCCTATGGAGTCGAAACTCATTATTCCTCATTTCAAAGCACAGAGAGATGATAGGACAATGTAGTCATATGATTTATGAAGCAGCAGAGTGAAAATTTGGACCAGGGCAGGCTGTGCCCTTCCTGAGATTCTGCAGCAGTGCTGGGACACAGCTCTGATGGAGGGGTGGGGGGCGGGGGGGGGTGCAGGGCACCTACTTTTCCCTGCTTGACAAGTTCTCACATACAGGCCCCATGCACTTTACAGGCCTGGAGCTTCTGTCATTACTCTTTCGAGCAAGATTACTCTCTGTGTGCAGTATGTTGTATGTGGAAGCAATAAAGAAAGTGAATGGGGCCAGAGTGATAGTACAGCAGGTCGGGTGATTGTCTTGCATGTGGCCCACTCTGGGTCAATCCCCAGCCCCTCATATTGTACTCTGAGCCTGCCAGGAGCGATCCTTGAGTGCAGTGTCAGGTGTAAGCCCTGAGCATCCCTGGATATAGCCTACAAACAAACCAAAATACAAACAGAACAGAAAAAAAAGGAAATACGAAGAGAAGGCAGTAAAGAAAACTGGAAGGCAAGTTTTCTTACTCTGCAAACCACAGCTCTCTCAGTTTGAGCATCATGGGGTTCACGGTGTGCAAGTGCTCCTCATTCCATTTCTTCACATTCTTGTAAACATCGTGCCAGGGCACAGGGGCCCGGATCACCCGTTGAGGAAATGAGCGTGGGATACTCTTGATGAAGAGTCTTTCTCTTTCCATTGGGTCCATGAGAATGTAATCAACTGTAACCAAGAGGGCAAATGCTTTGTTATTAGGAAGAAACTTTAGACATCCTTGACTTTTAACACTTAGAACGTAAACAATCTCTGCCCCATTTTCACTCAGAAATACCCTCTCTCTCTCCAACGGGTCATTGGGATCCCTCAAGGATAACTTACTTGGTAGAAGTTCCATTTTGTGGTGTGTTTTCTTCCTAAATATATCTCAGAGGTAAAGGATTCTGAAGTTCTCTGAGGTACCTCCTTCAGCTAAGCCTATGCTGAGGTATCAGGACACTGAAGGAGGAGCCAGTGGCTCAGTACTCACTCCCCAGGAGGAAGGGGTCTGGGGCTTCCTAGCAAACCTCTAGAGAACCACCCCGGGAACAGGACCAACTTCCTCCCCACAGGCTACATGCCAGTTCCACAGGTGACTCAATGTTCATCTAGGATCCCACATCCATATCACAATCATTATTGTTGTTAATTAGCATTATTACACAGTTGTGGACTCAGTCACCAAGACCTTCTCAACAGAATTCTCTGTCATTTTCATAATGTCCAAAGTCAAAATGCAGCTGTAGGTGCTAGTAGGACCAGATTTTTCACTTAGAAAGACACCGCTTTCCTCAGAGAAGCTATAAAGATGGCCAACAAGCATATGGGAAAATGTTTATCATCGCTGATGATGGGAATTACATATCAAAATGACAGTGCAGTGAACTATCACCTCAGACTAATGAGAATGGTCTGTATAAAAAAAAAAAACTCTGGATAACATTAAGTGATTTTGGGGAATCCAGTGAAAAAAGAACTAACTGGTGAGATAGCTGACCGGTTCAGCTCTTCGGAAAATGATTTAGAGACTTCTAAAAAAGTTTAAAAAAAAAACTTCAATATGACTTTACATATCCACTCCTGGTCATCTCCCCTAAGAACACAAAAACAATCTGAAAGAACATATGAACACTTATGTTCATCTCAGCATTATTTACAATAACCAAGATCTGGAAGCATCCCAAGCACCAGCCATAGATGAGCAGACGAAAATATTGTGGCATATATACATGACGGAATAGGGCCCAACTATGAGCACTGTAGCACTGTCCTTCCATTGTTCACTGATTTTCTCGAGCAGGCACACCAGTAACATCTCACAACAAATTGTGAGACCTGTTGTTACTGTTTTTGGCATATTGAATACATCATGGGTAGCTTGCAGACTTTGCTGTGCAGGCAAGAAAAGATAAAAGATTGCAGTGTGCTGCAATTCGGATAGATTTGGATGAAGTCAGGCGATGCGGAGTGAGTCAGAAAGAAAAGGCCAAATAGCAGATGATCTAGCCCATACACAGAGCACAGAGATGGGATAAAATGGAGGGATCTTGGCACCTTGGCACTGTGTAGCAGTGCAGCAAGGATAAAACAATAATATATTGGTACTAGTGTAAAAAAATTAAAAAATAGTAAATCAAGTTTGCATGGGCCCTTTCTCTTCACAGTGTTGTTAGGGGGTGAAAAGCATCTGTGGCACCTGGGAGTCAGTTGGAAGTGAAGAATCTTAGGGTTCCTCCCTAATCAGGGTCTTACACGTGCAAGGCAAAGTGTTCTACCACTGATCCACATCCCTGGTTCCAGCTGTGTTTTAATAAGATCCTTGGATAACATATCAAAATGACATTGAACATGACAGTGAATGGTTGCACATTAAAGTGTGTGAGAAGTACAGACAGTGGCCTGAGGGCACTCCCTGGAGTTCCAGCTTGCATGCCCACCCAGCCCCCCTCTTTCCTCATTGGGCCCAGGTCTGTGGACTAGCATCAGGACCGGTTGGGGGTGTGGCCTCCACGTAGGAGGCGTGGCCTTCCCTGCAGTTCTATTTCCCACTCCCAGTACTCTCGACTCACATCCCAAGCTGTATCACCTACTTTTTTGGAAAAAAGTCCTGGCTGCCTCAAACTCAATACGACAATAATCCAACTGGCCTACTCCAATTCCAACAAAAGACCAGTATGAAAGGAGCTGTTCAAGCCCAATACAAAAGAGCACATCCTCCAACACTTTACTAGATGCCTATCATAAGCCACAGATTAATGTCTGAAAGGAAGGACATATTCTAGAAGGGGAGAAGGGTGAGCACCATCGACCGATCTTATTCAGAATCCTATCCCACAATAAGAGGGAACACTGCTAGTTAACTTCAAGGTTTTACCTCTAGACAACCACAACAGCATGAAGAAACAGTGCAAATCTCCACTATGAGGAGAGGACAAAGAAAAGCGTCACAAACCCTCAACAGGGGTTACCCACAAACACGATCTCTCCGATAAAGAATTCCAAGATGAAATGCTGAAGATGGTCAAGGAGCTACTCAAAGAATCAATGGAGCAGACATCCAGAAAATTAAAGGAAGAAATGAAAGAAACAGTGGAATGGCTAGTCAAGAAAACACAGGCAGAAATGAAAGCAGAAATAAGAAAGCTACAAAAAGAAGTGTCCCAAATAAAGGATTCAGTAGACAAAATTAAAAACTCAGTGGGTGACCTCAGCAGTAGAATGTCTACAGCTGAAGACAGAATTAGTGATCTTGAAGATGTGCAACAGAAATCGTACAGGCAACAACAAACAATGGGAAAAGACCTTAAAATAGCTCTAAGGCGAATCAGAGAACTAGGGGATGACTCCAAGAGGAACAACATTAGAATCATTGGAGTACCAGAAGCCACAGTGAAAGAAATCTTTGCTGAAAGGTTCCCAAAGTTAAAGAATGCAGACATCCAGATCCAAGGAGCCAGAAGGGTACCAGCTAAAAGAAACCCTAATAAAAATACTCCAAGGCATATCTAGTCAGAATGATGGATGCCATGGATAGAGACACAATACTGAAAGTAGCAAGGTCAAAGAAGGAAATCACATACAAAGGAGCGCCCCTTAGATTTACAGCAGACCCTCCAAGCCCGAAGACAATGGTGGGATATAGTGAAAAATCTCGATGAAATGAGTGCCTCACCAAGAATACTCTATCCACCTAAACTTTCACTCAAATTCGATGAAACGATACACCATTTTATAGATAAAAAAACAACTCAGGAATTTCATAGACTCAAAACCAAACCCAAAAGAAGGACTAAAAGATCTCCTGTAATTCAAGAAGGAAAACACCCATAAGCACAAAACCCCATGAAAATAATCTCTCTCAATGTCAATGGTCTAAATGCACCAATCAAGAGACACAGAGTGGCAAAATGGATCCAGAAACTGAAACCAACATTCTGCTGCATACAAGGAACTCATCTGAACAGTCAGAGCAAACACAGACTCAAAGTTAAAGGATGGAAAACAATCCTGCAAGCAAACAACTACCTCAAAAAAGCTGGGGTGGCCATACTAGTATCCGACAACAAAGATTTCAGATTGAAAAAGATTAGAAGGGACAGCGAAGGCTATTTTCTATTTATCAAAGGATATGTACAACAGGAAGAAATCACACTCTGAAATGTATATGCACCTAAATGAGGCACCAGCTAAATACTTAAAAAAAAACTAATATATTTTAAGAGGACATTGCTAGCAATACAATAGTAGTCGGAGACTTCAACATCACCTTATCACCTCTGGATAGATCAACAAGAACAAAACTCCGCAAGACACACTGGCTTTGAAGAAAGAAATAGAAGAGAGAAGGCGAACAGACCTACAGAGGGCTTTACACCCCCAAATGAAAGAATACACACTGTTTTCCAGTGCACATGGATCATTTTCTAAAATAGACCATGTACTGGGTCACAAAACATAACCTCAATAGAATCAGGAATATAGAAATTGTATCAACTATCTTTTCAGACCACGATATGCTTAAGATAGAAGCAAATCACACACAGACACAGAGAACCAAATCAAGCAACTGGAAATTAAACAACTCAATGTTGAATAATGAGTGGGTCAGAAAGGAAGTCAAGGGAGAAATCAAAAGATACCTGGAAACAAATGAGAATGAAGAAACGAGTTACCAGAACCTATGGGATGCAGCTAAAGCTGTGTTAAAAGGGAAAATTTATAGCCTTGCAAGCATTCCTCAGGAAGGAAGAAAGGGGCTACACAGATAACTTGACTTCACAGCTCAAGATCTTAGAAAAATACCAACAAAAGGAACCCAATCCCAGAAGAAGGAAAGAAATAATAAAACTTAGAGCAGAAATTAACAACATGGAAACCCAAAAAACAATCCGAAGTTCAATGAAACCAAGAGCTGGTTGAGAAAATAAACAAGATTGATAAACTACTAGCAAGACTCACAAAGAAAGAGAAAGAGAAAACTCTAATAAACTGAATCAGAAATGAAAAAGAGGACATCACAACAGAAACCAATGAAATTCAAAAGATCATCAGAGACTACTTTGAGAGTCTGTATGCCATGAAACAAGAGAACCTAGAAGAAATGGATAAATTCCTGGATTTCCACAACCTCCAAAGACTGAGCCAAGAAGACTTGGAATATAAGAGACCCATTCATATTAAGGAAATCAAAACCGTGATTAAAAGTCTTCCCAAAAACAAAAGTCCAGGCCCAGATGGATTCACTAGCGAATTCTTCCAAACATTTAAAAAAGACCTGTTGCCAGTTCTGCCCAAGCTTTTCCAGGAAACTGAAAAAACATAAACTCTCCCAAACAGCTTCTATGAGGCACATATCTCCCTAATATCAAAAGCAAACAAAGACATCACTAACAAAGAAAATTACAGGCCAACATCTCTGATGAACATGAATGCGAAGATCTTCAACAAAATATTAGCAAATAGAATCCAACAATTCATCAAAAAGATCATACACCATGATCAAGCGGGATTCACTCCGGGGATGCAAGGATAATTTAACATTTGGAAATCAATCTACATAATCCATCATATCAACAAAAGTAGAGATAAAAACCATAAAGATAAAAACCATCATATCAATAGATGCAGAGAAAGCATTTGACAAGATCCAACACCCGTTTATGATGAAAACTCACCAAAATAGGCTTAGAAGGAACTTTCCTCAAGATAGTCAAAGCCATCTACGACAAACCTATGGCAAGCATTATCCTAAATGGGGAAAAACTAAGGGCCTTCCCTCCAAGATCAGGGATAAGACAAAGATGTTCACTCTCGCCACTTCTGTTCAATATAGTACTGGAGCACTTGCAACAGCAGTTAGGCAAGAAAAAGATATTAAGGGAATCCAGATAGAAAAGGGAGAAACCAAGCTCTCATTATTCGCAGATGATATAATACTATATCTAAAGAATCCTAAAGCCGCTTCCAAGAGACTCCTAGAAACAATAGACTTGTACAGTAAAGTTGAAGGCTATAAAATGAATACCTTAAAATCCATGGCCTTCCTAGATGCAAATAATTAGAAGGAAGAGACATTAAAAAAAGCAATCTTGTTCACAATCTTGGATCAGAAAATCAAGTACCTAGGAATCATCCTGACTAAGGACCTCTACAAAGAAAATTGCAAAACGCTCCTCCACGAAATAAAATAGGAAATGGAAATATATCCCCTGCTCATGGATAGGAAGAATTAACATTGTCAAAATGGCAATACTCCCCAAGGCACTCTACAGATTCAATGTGATCCTATAAGGATACCCATGAAATTCTTCAAAAAAATGGATCAAGCACTTCTAAAATGCATTTGGAACAACAAACACTCATGAATAGCTAAAGCAATTCTTGGGGAAAAGATGATGGAAGACATCACCCTCCCCAACCTCAAACTCTACTATAAAGCAGTAACAATTAAAACAGCATGGTACTGGAACAAAGGCAGAGTGGCAGACCAATGGACCAGGGTGGAATATCCCTACACACAACCCCAAATGTATGAACATCTAATCTTTGCTAAGGGAGCAAGAAATGTGAAGTGGAGCAAGAAAAACCTCTTTAGCAAATGGTGCTGGCATAACTGGACAACCACATGCAAAAAATTGGGCTTAGACCTCGACTTAACACCATGCACCAAAGTCAGATCAAAATGGATTAAAGACCTCAACATCAGACCAGAGTTCATAAGGTACATTGAAGACAAGGTCAGCAAAACCCTCCACAATATTGAGGTTAACGATTTCTTCAAAGATGACATGCCACTGACCAACCAAGTAGAAACAGAGATAAACAAATGGAACTATATTAAACTAAGAAGCTACTGCACTGCAAAAGATGCTGTGACCAAAATACAAAGACAATCTACAGAATGGAAAAGGATATTCACTCAATACCCATCCGATAAGGGGTTGATATCAAGGATATACAAAGCACTGGTTGAACTCCACAAGAAGAAAACATCAAACCCCATAAAAATGGGGTGATGAAATGAACAGAAACTTTCTCAAAGAAGAAATCTGAATGGCTAAAAGGCACATGAGAAAATGCTCTACATCATTAATCATCAGGGAGATTCAGATCAAAACAACAACGTGGTATCATCTCACCACACCACAAAGACTGGCCCACATCCAAAAGAACAAAAGCAACCGGTGTTGGCGTGGATGTGGCAAGAAAGGGAGTGCCCGAGAACAGATGATTGGTTAAAGAAACTTTGGTACATCTAACAATGGAATACTATGCAGCAGTTAGAAAGGATGAAGTCATGAAATTTGCAAACAAGTGGTTCTACATGGAAAGTACCATGCTAAGTGAAATGAGTCAGAAAAAGAGGGACAGACATAGAAGACTGCACTCATCTGGGGAATATAAAGTAACAGAATGGGAGACAAACACCCAATAATAGTTGAGATAAGTACTAAGAGGTTTGCTCCACGGCTTGGAACCCAGTAGCACATGCTGGGGGAAAATGAAGCTCAGATAGAGAAGGAAACACCAAGTAAAGGGTGTTTGGAGGACTTGCTCAGGATGCGAGACACGTGCTAAAAGTAGGCTATAGACCAAATATGATGGCCACTCAATACTTCTATTTCAAATCACAACACACTAAAGGAAAGAGAAAGCAAAAGGGAATGCCCCGACACAGAGGCAGGTGAGGGGTGTTGGGGGTAGGAGGGCTATTGGGTTCATTGGTGGTGGAGAATGGGCACTGGTGGAGGGATGGGTACTTGATCACCGTATAACTGAAACCCAAACACAAAAATATGTAAGTCTACAACTGTACCTCATGGTGTTTCACTGATAACACAAACACTGTCCTCCCGTTGCGGGCCCAGTAATGTTTCCATTTTTTTTTGGCGGGGGGACTTGTTGTTACTGTGTTTGGCATATTGAATACATCACGAATAGCTTGCCAGGCTTTGCCGCTCAGGCAAGATACTCTCGGTAGCTTGCCGGGCTCTCCGAGAGGGGTGGAGGATTCGAACCCAGGCTGGCTGCATGCAAGGCAAATGCCCTACTACTGTACTATTAAAAAATAAATAAATAAATAAATAAATAAAGCTTTTTGAAAGCCAAAAAATGAAGTGTGGGAAGTGTTTGTTTAGACATGGATGGAATGGGTTCTGGGTGAGAGAGAGGCTGGGAGTAGATGGGAAACTAAAGGTTAAATGACATTTTGAACATTCTCAGAGGGACCATGGGCTTAGAGGAAAACAAGTGCCCTCCATCTAGAAATCTGTGGTCCCACTGACACTCATTCTTACCAATGCTCTTCATGAGGCTAAAGTAGTAGCCATGTTCCTTCTCTACTGTGAGGACCAGCATCAGAGGTTCCAGCGCAGGATTTGCCAGCAGTGCATTAGAAATCAGCTTCAAAATTCGCACCATCACTTGATCTTCCTCTGAAGCAATCATGTCTTTTGAGATTCCGTGGGTCAAATAGTAATAGTATCTCTTCCATAAACAAAACACACACAAGAAGTAAACATGGTTAGCTAAGTGTGACCATCCATTCACACCAAAGAGCCCTATTCCCCCGAAGCCCCACTGGTTTCCCCCTGGAATCATGTTTCCTGGATCTACCACTTCACACCTACTTAAATAAGACAGCAGGTAATGAGGGCTGGAGCACTAGCATAGTGGGTAGGGTGTTTGCCTTGCATGCAGCCAGGTTCAATCCCCAGCATCCCATATAGTCCCCAGAGCACCACTAGGAGTAATTCCATGCAGAGCCAGGAGTAACCCCTGTGCATTGCCGGGTGTGACCCAAAAAGCTAAAAAAGAAAAAAAAAAGACAGCAGGCAAAGCCTCCGCGTTGACACTAAAGGAGTCAACCAATGCCTGAAAGTTGTAAGTGTGGCAGCAGGAAGTGGGTATCAGATGCCAGGCAGAGAGAAACAGCAGAATGAGTGCTGGGCCAGGGACAAAGGAAACACAGTCTGAGAAGAGGGAAGACCATGGGCCAGGCAAGTAGCCCAAAGAGTTGGACGAGTTCAATCCTCAGCACATGATTCCATGATTCCCCAAGCACCATCTGGGCTCCTTGACATGAGTGGCCTCCCCCTGAACACACACACAAAGAGAAAAAAACAAAAGCAATAGAGAAATGACAAGCCTACGAAGGACACCCTGAGCACCACTGCGTGTGGCTTCAAAACAACAACAACAAAATAATCATAAAAAGTATCAGAATTTGAGAGAGAGAGAGAGAAAGCAACAAGAGCATACCTCTAAGTCTAAATCAGATGGGATTGCTTCTTTACTTTCTATTTCCATCTCCTTCTTTAACATGATATTAATCTGTTCCTCTGGACTCATGGGTCTGCTTCCTGGGAGGGTTGCCGACGTCTTCTTCATGGACAAGGATGTGTTGCTGCCAGACGCTTTGATCCTGAAATACAGACAGAGCATGTAGATCTATGCAGAGGGGCTATGGTGTCAAGTCTGCTCTTTCCAATGAGTGTGACAAAAGCGCTTCTCCTCTGACCCCCTAAAGGCACACATGAGTACTTAATTTTTTAATTAATTAATTTTATTTTTTTGTATTTTTGGGTCACAGATGGCAATACTCAGGGGTTGTTCCTGGTTCTGAGCACAGGAATTTCTCCTGGCAGTGTTTGGGAGGACTATATGGGACGCCAGGGATCAAATCTGGATTTGCCACATGCAAGGAAAACGCGCTACCTGCTGTGCTATCACTCCCCTCAAAAGGTGAGTACTTTAACAGTGACCTCAGATCATGGAACATTCATAGATATTTTAGCATTTTTTTTGGCTTGGTTACTTTATATTTATTTAGAGTAAAAAAGAATTGGATTGAGGGGTATTGGTAGAAGCATGTGTGTGTGTATACACACACACACTGTTATTGGATATCCAGGAATGTTTTGAAGCCAAGAGAGAATGCATGGCTCAAACACCACCAGAGCCTTCTTCAGTCTGGTCTGATGTCCTGTAATCCCCTGCAATTCCCTGCACCCACAAAGGTACCTTACCCAGTTAGATCCTCTCTGCCTTTGTGGGAAATTTTCCTTTTCTTCTTGCTGGGTTCTGCTGAGTTTCTAGATGATAAAACTGTGGAGAAGAAAGAAAGACATCAGTGATGAATTGTGGCACTGGGCCACCCTCTGCCCATGGAACATGATTTTAAAGAGAATCCACTAGCACAGGAAGGGTGAACTTAGCATGGTGAGATAAGGCAGGAACTGTGGTCTCTGGTCCATCACCTGCACCACTAATTACCCACAGAACCCTATTGGTGAAAGTGATTTCATCAACCTAGGTCTTTGCTTACCCAACTGTGAAATGGGGGTGAGATAACCTTCCATTTTTCTGTATTTGTCAGGAATAATTGTTCGATTCATGCTCCAATCCTGTATGCTCTCTTGTGTAAACGTGAGTATTACTGTCTAATGTTTTTTCTTTGTGACCTTGGACCCTGGACTCAATGGGACCGGGAACACAGATCCTCTGCCTGCTTCCTCCAGTCTCAGGGGTCACACCCATAAGCCACACCCTGCCAGATAATCACCAGATAATCTCCTCATGGACCACCCTCTAGAACTCAGGACTGCTCCTCCCAGACAGGAGTATAAAAGGAGGCCCCCAAGACCATGCCACTAAAATCTGCGCCAGGCTGTTTCCACTCAGGGAGCCCCAGAGGGGGGTGGGCTAGAGCCCTCCCTGCCCCAAGGGACCCAGCCCCAGCAGCCAACTTCCACTACCCAACTGCCGCCATGCTCCAGGCCACTTTCCAGACCACAAGGCCGCATGGGACACTTCCTACCCATTGTCCATAATTAACACACCATGTTTGATGGAGTTCAGACAGTAAGCAATATATATATATATATATATATATATATATATATATATACACACACACACACACATACACATATATGCCTCTCGGAGTGCCCGGCAATCTACCAAGAGTATCCGGCCCGCATGGGCAGGGCCTGGCAAGCTACCCGTGTCGTATTCAATATGCCAAAACTAGTAACTATAACGGGTCTCATTCCCCTGACGCTGAAAGAGCCTCCAATCATTGGGAAAGACAAGTAAGGAGAGGCTGCTAAAATCTCAGGGCTGGGACAAATAGAGACATTACTGGCTCCTGCTCACGTAAATTGACGAACAACGGAATGACAGTGATACAGTGATACAGTGAATGTTTTTCTTAAAATATAGTTAGATTTTTTAATGTGATAAATTTATTTTATGGATGTTTATTTTCATTTTTTGGTTTTGGGGCACACTTGGTGGTGCTTGGATGGTTGACTTGATTCTTGACTTGCTTCTTTTTTTTTCTTTTTAATTTTTTAAAAAATTTTTTAATGAATCACCATGATATACAGTTACAGACTTGCAAACTTTTGTGATTACATTTCAGTCATAAAATGATCAAGTTCCCATCCCTCCACCAGTGCACATTTTCCACCACCAATATTCCCAGTATCTAATGCCACCCCCACCCCACCTCACCCCCTCCCAACTGCCTCCGTGGCAGGCACATTCCCTTTTACTCTCTCTCTCTCTCCTTTTGGGTGTTATGGTTTGTAATGCAGGTAGTAAGTGGCCAATATGTTTGGTCTATTTGACTTGGTTCTTCTTTTTTTTTTTTTTGGCTTTTTGGGTCCCACCCAGCAATGCACAGGGGTTACTTCTGGCTCATGCACTCAGAATCACTCCTGGCAGTGCTTGGGGGACCATAGAGGATGCTGGAAATCGAACCCAGGTCGGCCGCGTGCAAGGCAAATGCCCTACCCGCTGTGCTATCACTCCAGCCCCCGACTTGCTTCTTGAGTGTTGCTCTGGGCAGTGCTTCGGGGGTTGCAAAAAGTTATTAAAACAAAAGAAAAAGGAAAACTCTCAGCACAAATCCACAGACTGAAATATCACACTCAAAAAATATTAGCATACAAAAAGTCAATAAACCCAATAATCAAGGGGTAGCACTGCAGCACTGACCTCCAGTTGTTCATCATCGATTTGCTCCAACAGGCACCAGTAACATCTCCATTGTGAGACTTTGTGAGACTTGTTGTTACTGTTTTTGGCATATCAAATATGCCACGGGGAGCTTGCCAGGCTCTGCAGTGTAGGCGGGATACTCTCAGTAGCTGGCTGGGCTCTCCAAGAGGGCCGGAGGAATCCAACCCGGATCAACCGTGTGCAAGGCAAACACCCTACTTGCTCTGCTATCACTCCAGCCCAATCAAGGGGTAGATGAACAAAACTGAAATAATATGGCAGTACCAACACTGTGCCAAAGTAAATTGCTCCAAGTGAGATGCAAAGGTTATGCCCAGGAGAATGGCATAGGGAATTGGCAAGGGTGGCACCCATGTACATAGAATCAATTAGAAAATTGGAAAATGAAAAAGATATCATTAAAACAAAACCATTTGTAGATATGTCTTTGAATTATAAAATGTATTTGAAGAATTTACCCAGATAGAACAGAGAGAAATATATATATGGGTTGGAGAGATAGTACAGTGGGTAGGGCATTCGCCTTGCTCGTGGCTGACTATGGTTCGATCCCTGATCCCCAGCATTCCTTATGGTTCTCCCAAGTCAACCAGGAGTAATTTCTGAGCACAGAACCAGGAGTGAAGCCTGAGAACTGCTGGGTGTGGCCCCCCAACAAATAAACAAATATATACGTATACAGAAAAGTAAGTTCAAGATTAAGAGGCTCTAATATATAACAATAATTACTGAAAGAATCCTCCCCTTAAGCAGGTATGTGTACACTGGTGAGATTAAATATATATAAAATATATAAATACATATATATATATATATATATATATATATATTAGTCATCAGCTTCCAGAGGGCTCCCATGAGCTCTGCCTCCTATTATCACACTCTTGTGCAATCCTCTTTAACTGCCTGGACCTAGTGACTTTCCCCAACAAAGAAAATATATATAAAGAAAATGTGGCAAAAATGAAAGACAGTTACTTTTGAAATAAAACACCATAAAGACTAGCTTCCATCTTGCTGGCATGATATGACGTGTCCTTTGGAGAGGCTCATGTGGCAAGACACTGAGGACCAGAGGTCATGACTGCAAAACACTACTTTTTAATAAGAATGCAATTTATAATAGGTTAGTGACATGATCCAGGTGTTTAAGTAGCACATGTTTGACATATAAGTAGAAATAACTTTCCAACTGATCAGCAGGAAATTTTTTCTGTCTGCACAAATCCCTGAACTGGTGACGGAAAACCATTCCCTTAGATGACCATGGTCCTGGCTGACCCTAAAGTCGCAGACTTGTGAGAGTACCTCAGTCAAACCACAGTGTTAAGACATGCCTGAATTACTGGTCCATAGAAACGATACCATCATAAAAGGTGATTGTTGTAAGCCATAGCTTCTGGGTGTAAATTGTTAATCAGAGTTAAAAATCTGTAAGTAGGGGCCAGAGCAAGAGTACAGTAGGGTGCTTGCCTTGCACACAGCAGATGCAGTTTCAATCCCTGGCATCCCATAACAGTCTCCCAAGACCCCGCAAAGAGTGAACTCTGAGTACAAAGCCAGGAGTAGCACTGTAGTAGCACGTCGTCCCTTTGTTCATCCATTTGCTCGAGCGGGCACCAGTAAGGTCTCCATTGAGAGACTTGTTGTTACTGTTTTTGCCATATCAAATATGCCACGGGGAGCTTGCCAAGCTCTGCCGTGCGGGCGGGATGCTCTCAGTAGCTTGCTGGGCTCTCTGAGAGGGATGAAGGAATCGAACCTCTGCCAGCCACGTGTAAGGCAAGTGCCCTACCTGCTGTGCAATAGTTCCAGCCCAAAGCCAGGAGTAAGTCCTAAGTAAGTCACACACTGCTGAGTGCGATCCCCAAACAAACAAAACTCCATGTGACTCAGTTGTTCAAAGTATACATGATGTCTCCCAGCCCCAACCCCCAAAAGGTGTCCACCTATACTGTCTGTGGGATCCCCAGGGTCCTAACGAGTTCGACCCCAAGTGCTGTACACCCAAGTGTGTGCTTCTCCAGTAAACACGGCAGTCAAATGTGCAATTGTAGTAGAGCACCACAACCAAGTGTGAGCACCACAACAAATACGTGACCCCCCCAGATATGGCCACCGCCAAAGGGATGGGAGGGGGAGGAGAAAACCCCCAGAGGACAAAGAGCATTCCTTGAGCCATGCTAAAGGGAAGAGAGATGGGGAGTGGCAGATGCAGTGGTAGTGGCCACAATCATTCCCATTTCACAGATGAGACACCAGCAGAGCTGTGATGAGTGGTGAAGATGAGAAGCCAGAACCAGAAATCCCCTCCGCCAGCCCCACGCTGAGCAGTGAGCCTGTCTGCACGATGCTGGCAAGTACCTTTTTGCAGATCCTGTCTGTCTCTTTCCCTGCGGACACTGATGGTCCCCGGCTGGGCGACCTTCACCAGGCTCTTGAGCTTCAGGTCCTGGGCTTTCAGGGAGTAGTTGTTGGCGATAGAGTCGCTGGGCCCGCGGTGGTGCTGCTGCTCTTTGAACGGTGCAGCCTGGGTCCATGACGTGCGCTGCATCAGGGGTGGGTAGCAGCTGTGCCTTATGACCGTCTAGATAGGAGGGGAGAGAGATGATGAGGGCCGCGCTTGCAGAGGCCAGACCACTGCCCTGAGAGTTGCAGATTAACCAGGCCTCCCGCAGTGCCCCGGTCTTCTGCCCGCTTTGTGCAAATACTTTCCGAATTGAGCACTGTGAACATGACTTCTGGTTTTCAATGAACACTCAGGTGCAGGGCTGGTATAGGACCTGGATTGGCTTTTTTTGTGGGGCTGGGGGGCGCGGTCTCACCCAGCGATGCACAGGGGTTACTCCTGGCTTTGCACTCAGGAATTACTCCTGGCAGTGCTCGGGAGACCCCATGGGACGCTGGGAATCTAACCCAGGTCTGCTGCGTGCAAGGCTCTACCCGCTCCAGCTCTGGATGGCATTATTCTTTACAGACAAGCCTACCAGGGAGATGCACTCGCTCTTATTTTATCATTGCCAAGTATGGGCATTCTGAGTCTCAATGACACCGCAGGTCAGACACGGGACCTGGCCATCTTCCCACATTGGTTTAGCCTCTTCCCTCAGAAATGACCAAAAAGACTTGTCAGAGTTGACTGTTTGGGGGACAGAGAGACAACACAGCAAGTAAGGCACCTGCCTCACGTCCCATCCGGATCCAGTCCAGGCACCCCACGGGGTCCCCTAAGCATCACCAGGAGCTATTTCTGAGCAGAGAGCCAGGAGGAAGCCCTGGGCATGGCACAGATGCATATGGTCCAAACGCAAAACACAGACCAAAAAAAATAGCACAGCAGTAGGGCGTTTGCCTTGCACGCAGCCAACATGGCCGACCCGAGTTTGATTCCTCCGCCCCTCTCAGAGAGCCCGGCAAGCTACCGAGAGTATCTCGCCCGCACGGCAGAGCCTGGCAAGCTCCCCGTGACGTATTCGATATGCCAGACACAGTAACAACAAAGTCTCCAATGGAGGCGTTACTGGGCCCGCTCGAGCAAATCGACGATCAACGGGAGGGCCTTTTATATATATATAGATAGTACTATTTGGCGCCCCCACTGGTACTGTCCCAGAACAGCAGCCGAGTTAACAGACCTGATAGAGTTCAGACGGTTGCTCATTAGTAGAAGCCGGCAGAGGCGGTAGCTCTGGCCGCCCCTGGGAGCGGCTCATGTGATGAATTGAGTCATTCTTGGAGATCTACAAGAAAATGGGAACAATGAAAAATGTTTAGACTTCTAGGTTGGTAAGGAGTAAAATGGCCCTCAGGAGAAGCATCGAATTCTTTCCACAAAACTCCCTTTCCACTCCCTCCCTTTGTGTCGGGTTCCTGTTTTAAATTTCATTCTCCATTATCTCCTTCCAGGCTGCCCCCGCCCCAGTAAATTCAGACTTTGGGACCCAGTAAGAGACCCAATTCTGAGCATAATTCTTGGCTACCCTATGCCAGGTTGAGATGCAATGGGTTGATTTTTTTTTCTTTTTGGGTCACACCCAGCAATGCTCAGCAGTTACTCCTGGCTCTGCACTCAGGAATTACTCCTGGCAGTGCTCAGGGGACCATATGGGATGCTGGGAATTGAACTCGGGTCAGCCGCGTGCAAGGCAAACACCCTACCCGCTGTGCTATCACTCCTGCCCCCAGGTTTTGATTTAAAATTGAAGCCAGCAAAGTGAAAGTGAGCAAGCAAGCAAGCGAGACAGAGACAGAGACAGAAAGAGAGAAAGAGAGTGAGACAGAGACAGAGAGAGATGGAGAGTGAGAAATGCTGAGTCCAGGGCATCTAAGAACAGAACAGAATCACTTCTGATGGCTTTCTTCAGTGGATGGCAAAAATCTAGTATGTCAGGGTCAGATGGCGAAAATCTGGTACATCAGGGTCACTTGCCTTGCAAGCAGCCTACCCTGGTATCCCATATGGCCCCCCAAGCACCACCCCAAGAGATTCCTGAATGCAAAGCCAGGAGAAACCCCTGAGCACTGCCGGTGTGACCCAAAAGATCCACTCCTCAAATTTGGGACACAGGAGACCCACTAACCAATTTTTACTAAAAATAGTAATACTCAAACTCCACCTTAAACAAGACCTACTCAAACAAAACTGGTTGTGTTGATTTAAACTACTGGGTATCTCTGCTTTTAATCTCAATTTCAAGAATCAGAGAATTGGCCAATCATCTCTAAGAGGCCTGCCCCCACCCCTTTCACGACTCAAATTAAAACCAGATCTGCACCGATGAGGTGAACAAAATGGAAAAACACTCAGCCTCAAGTTGAAAGGAATCTAACCGTCAAATCAGGTATTACAACACACAGAATAGTTTTGGGCCACGGTGGTTCCATGGATATGGAGTCATTCATGATTTCTTTTCAGGATCCCAGATGAAAAACATGAACTGACTGAAAAGCCTGGGCTGTCTGTCTCTGGTTGTTTGGGGCATGCCAGTGGGCTTTGTGATCAGAGGAGAGCTTTCCTGGCCTAGATTTTAAATCGGTTTCAAATAAAAATCCTCCTTAAAAGAACAACAAGCAACTACTGCACATTTTGGGCATTCTGAGGAGGGAGGAACGGAAGTGGCTGAAGCAAAGGTGCCTGGTGCTGGAGCTTACACACCCAAAGAGGCTGCCAACAGGAGTCAGGAGACGCCACTTTGCTGCTGCTGTCAGGAAATCTCATTATCAGAACTGATGCCAACAGGGAAGTGACACTTCCTCCCAAAAGAAATGTACCGCAGCCTTGTGGGTATCTTCAGGCCCATGTTGTACACTGGCCAACTCCAGCCCCTGGCCCTAGGCCATGGCTTGTGGCAGGGCCCTAGCTGGCCAAACAGAGGACTTCAAGAAAGAGGTATTTTAGTGGGGGTGGAGAGTGAGTGGAGGGTGGAGGGTGGGGGTTCTCTTGGTGGTCCCTAGGATTGAACCAGATTTACCTACATACAAGTTCTGTGCCTTAACTTCTGTATTCTCTTTCCAGCCCATGAACACAGTTTCCTTCAGCAGTATCTTTTCTAGGCAAAGAATCTCAGAGTTCTGTGTGTCAAATGAGACTAGGAACTTCCTATTTTACATTCATCCCATCAGGCACCTTTCTAGTAGATTGAAAGAGACATTCTTTTACTTATGTATTTATTTTTGGCTTTTTGGGTCACACCTGGCAATGCTCAGGGATTACTACTGGCCCTGTACTCAGAAATCACTCCTGGAAGTGGTTGGGGGACCATATGGGATGCTGGGGATCGAACCCGGGGCCAGCCATATGCAAGGCAAATGCCCTCCCCGCAGTACTATTGCTCCAGCCCCTCAAAGATACATTCTTAATAGTCATCATTCCCTTGTGTGAGAAACAGCCTTCACTAGAATAAAGTCAATATAGAAGAAAGCAGAGCCACCAGGAAGAGATTCCCCATGATATGAACTGATCAGCTAGAACCATTCTGGATTTCTCAATGACTTGCACCCAGAGGTGTCCTTTATGGTTGAGTTCCACTGAATTATATTTGTATCCCTCTATGATGAAAGAGCCAGAGGATAGGTATGGAGATAGAGGATAGAACCAGATGACAGAGGCAGCTGAGTCATCATACACAGGGATAAGCCACTCTTAGGCTAATGAATATCTTGACAGCAAACCAACACTGAGCATTTTTCAGAGCCCTGTGGAGAAGCAGATCCTCTGAAGAACAAATTAAATGTTGGGCATGCTTATTATTTGTATTGAAAATAATGTTGTCACTGTCCTCCCGTTGTTCATCGATTTGATCGAGCGGGCCCAGTAACGTCTCCATTGGAGACTTTGTTGTTACTGTGTTTGGCATATCGAATACGTCACGGGTAGCTTGCCAGGCTCTGCCGTGCGGGCGAGATACTCTCAGTAGCTTGCTGGGCTCTCCAAGAGGGGCGGAAGAATCGAACTCGGGTTGGCCATGTTGGCTGCGTGCAAGGCAAACGCCCTACCGCTGTGCTATCGCTCCAGCCCACTGAAAATAATAATGCCCAAAGTTAGAGAGAGAATAAAAAGGATTGTACCTGCCACAGAGGTAGGGAGTGGGGTAGGGGTGGAGGGTGAGACATTGGGAACATTGGTGGTGGAAAATGTGCACTGGTGAAGGGATGGGTGCTCGAGTACTGTGTGACTGAAACATAAACATGCAAGTTTGTAACTGTAATTCACAGTGATCCAATAAAACTTCTTAAAAAAATGTTGGGCTACTTCATAGGCGTAATCTAAGACTTTAGATGCCAGGCTATAAATACCATGATAGCAGAAAACAGCTCCATTCATGGGGGAGGAACATGTGGGACAGAGGTTTGCCAGATCTAGAAATCAATTCCAGAACACAAGAGAATTATTTCACCATCCATGTGGGGCCTCCGGGGGGAAAGAGATAGATATTTTTAAAGAATTATGCAAAATGCTGTGTTAAAAATATTATTGTCTAAGTATTCTTCCTGGTAAATTGAAGTTTACATTTCAGGTGGTAGGCTCAAGTCATTACCAACAAATTCACTTTAATTTCATAAATTCATGACTTAAGATACTCCTCTGGCAACATCCATGTTGGTGCTTCTTGGCTTTTATGGTACTAAGATTCTGGCACCTGAATTGGGTATAAGTAATACCTGTAGGCAGCTTGTTTCTGACTACATCTGGTGGTTGTGTGGGTTTCATGGACACTGATCACAAATGCCCACCAGACAATTGCTACAAATTTACAGGATTCTCAGTTAAAAAATACACATTCCAGGATCCCACTCCAAACCTTTTAGGTTAGAAACTTTGGGGAGTCAGGCCAACTTTCCGCCTTTTTCAGATGCTTCCTAGCATACTCTTGTTTTGTTTTGGGGCCACAGCCAGCAGTGCTCAGGGGTACTCCTATTTCTGTTAGGGGGTCATTCTTGGCAGTGCTTGGGGAGACGATGCAGTCCTGGGGATCAAACCCGGGCTTCCTGTGTGCAAAGCTCATACTCTAGTTCCTGGAGCTATTTCTCTGGCCCTTCTCCAGCCTCCAGCTCCTTGAGATTTTTTTTTCTTTTTTGGGTCACACCCAGCGATGCTCAAGGGTTACTCCTACTGGGCTCTGCACTTAGGAATTACTCCTGGTGGTGCTGGGGGACCATACAGGATGCCAGGGATCGAACCTGGGTCAGTCATGTGTAAGGCAAACACCCTACCCGCCGTACTATCTCTCCAGTCCCCCATTGAGAGATCTTTCTACCTCCTCCCAGCATATTTGTTGTTTTCTCACTTGGACCATCGGCATAAGTGCTCAAGGGGGATTCCTGGTTCTGTGCTCAAAACTGACACCTGGCAGTGCTTGGAGGACCATATATGATGCCAGGGCTAGAAATCTATATTAGTCACTTGCCTGACCTCCTGAACTATTCATCTGCCCCTGCCCCCTGCATATTCTTATGTTCCACCAGTATTGGAAACTGCCTGATGGAATCTGTGGTTTACTGGCCTCGGAAGGGAAGGGGAAGGAATTATAGGTTTTTCTTTCTGAGATATCCACAGCAAAACCCAGACAGCTTGAAAGCCTAATTGAGCGATTTCAAAGGACACAACATAAAAAAAAATGTGCTTAAAATGCTTGTTTAGTAAAGGGAATACAGTGTGGCCATTGGTCTAGGAAACACTCTTCATTCACTTCCAAATCCCCTTACATGTTAAAAACACAGATAAGAAAAAGAAATATCCTATAAAATCCACACTTACCTCTTGATAGACGCAATTTGTGTTACTCATGTTTTGCACTCACAGTGGGCTTATTAAAAAGTGAATAGAGAGCTCTCAGTTTCTTCCTCTCCTACCAGTCGCACTGAAATTCATACGTCCTTTGAGCATAATGAGAATGACACAGAAAGGAGAACTTTCCAGACGTTCTGAGAGCTTTGTTCACAGTGTTGCCTCACTGAGGTCATAAACTCCAGTCCCCTGAGGAGTTCCTGGTGGAAGAAGAGAAAAGGGGAAGTGAGGCAATAAAGAGCATTTGGGTTTCTACTCAGCCTTTTGCTTGGGCATCTTCCCCTGAGTCAGGCCAATCTTTCTTCCTCTGAGCGGCTCCTGTTGGAACTTTTTCAGGAACACACCGATTCCATTGCAGAGGAAAAAGTCAAGCAGGGCCACGTAAAGAGAATGGAGAGAACAATACCCCTGACTTCCAGATCTCCTTTCTCCTCCTCCCTAGAGCTGTTTAAACACTGGAGGAGCTAATACTCACGCCCTGGTGATGGTAACCAGGCTTCAGCATTTGTCACCAAGGAAGGAGGGGCCACTGCACTTATAAGACTGGGCTTGACTGCTCAGGGCCCCAGACTCTCCCTTGGCTGGAGGAGCAGCTGGCCAGCAGGGAGTATGGTGACAGAAGAAAAGATGGCAGAGCTGAGTGGCAACAGGGATGGAGCCTTACACCAGCATGGTGGTTAAGTTCTTGCACTCCATGATCGGACAAGTGAGGGTCCTACTCTTCCCATTGAGTAAAATGGCTCGAGAAAGTTGCTTAATCTCTCCAAATACTCCCTTTGTAAAATGCCAATCATGTGAACACACACTTCACAGAGCAGGTTTGAAGGTTTGATGAGACATGTAAAGTCACCTCTGAGTTTTAACGTGAAGTCACATCCTGGAAAGTCTCTCAATCCTGGGCAAATGGGGGCGGTGTGGCTACTTGACCTAGAAGACCCACAAATGTAGCTCAAATCATTCTTCTAGACAGAGAAACACAGTCACATAAACACAAATTACATTTTTAGCTGCCTCCCAAATACTTAAAACACACGTTACAAAGGCGGGTTTAAAGGTTGCTTATAACCAAGTTAGAGTTATTGGACTCCTTTGGTGATATATTTGCATATCTGTCTGTTCTTCTGATTCCCCCTTCTCTAACTTACCTGACATTCCTACTTTATGGAGGAGGAAATCAAGATAGATTCATAACTTACCCAGGCCAATATGAAGTGGCATGGAATGCAATTTGAGCCCTCTCCTCTGACTCCAAGACCCAGAGCTTATTTTTCTTATAAAGTACCTAAGTAGAAAGCAAATATTTCTATAGTCCGACCATGAACATTACATATTACCAGTGAACATTGCATAGTACTTCTATTTCTCTTCTTCATTACCTCCTACTAAAAGATTCTCCATTCTTGCAAAATAACTGTGATTCTTTTCCATGCATTTGTATTCTCTATCACAAGGTACAGGCACAATTTCAAATAGTGTTTGGAATCAACGAGCCAGTAGTAGAGTTTGAGACTTTGGTTAAAGGGACTTAATATGATATTAATGAACCTATGATCCAGTGGATGAGCAGAAGACATGTCTCCAGTTAAAATTTAGTGTTCTTTCATTTCACCTTTATTCAAAAACAACTGTAACAATAGCTTCTATTTGCCAAGTTATGTTAATGCTTGTCATAATAATGTAATGTGTATAATGCATCAACTCTCCAAATCTGAGCGATTCAGAAACCAAATATTATCCCAAAAATGTTTTTATGTTTTTTTTTAATTGTTTGTTTTAGGCCACACCTAGTAGAAAACTCAGGGCTTTCTACTGGATCTGTGATTAGAGGTCACCCCTGGTGGGGCTTAGGGGACTATACGGGGTACTGAGGAATCAAACCTGGATCTGGTGCATACAAGATAAATGTCCAGCCCACTGTACTATTGCTCCAGCCCCTATTATTACAAGTTTTTTTTGGGTTTTTTTTTTTTGCTCTTTGGGTCACACTCAGCGATGCTCAGGGGTTATTCCTGGCTCTGCACTCAGGAATTATTCCTGGCGGTGCTTGGGGGACCATATGGGATGCCAGGGATTGAACCCAGGTTGGCCGCATGCAAGGCAAATGCCCTACCCGCTGTGTTATCACTCCGGCCCCGTCACAAGTTTTATGTTTGAGAAAGGTGACCGCAGAGAGGTTAATTAATCTGTGTATAGTCACTCAGTTAAAGTCAGTGGCAAGCCAGAAGGATTGGTCCATGGTTGGAAGCCTTCCTCATGCTGGAGGAGAAGGCAGTTGGGATAATTGAAGGGACCACTATGACATAGATAGTTGGAAATGATCTCTCTGGATAAGAAGTGCTTGCTGAAAGTAAGGAAAGGAACAAACATGATAAACTCTCAGTATTCGTATCACAAAAAAATAATGCCCAAAAGGAGAGAGAGACAGAGACAGAGACAGAGAGACAGACACATAGACAGACACACAGACAGGCAGAGAGACAGAGGCAGAGAGACAGAGAGACAGGAAAGGAAAGTGTCTGCCATGGAGACAGGCTGTAGGGAGGGGTGGCGGGAGGGAAACTGGGGACACTGGTGGTGGGAAATGTACATTATTGGAAGAATGGGTGTTGGAACAAAAGCCATTTAGTATGACGAAAACTTGATCACGAACAGCTTTGTAACTATGTATCTCACGTGATTCAATCAAACATAAATACATAAATAAATAAAGTGGTAAAGTTGGATATTGAACTTAACCCTGACTTGAACCAAAAGTTTACTTGTGGCAGGATGACTAAGAATAATTAAACACAATGAAAATACCAGCCCTCTCGCTCCCCCAGCTCACCTTACATGCACCAGAATTGTTTGACTTAATTTTTTGTTGGGGGCTGGAGCAATAGCACAGCGGGTAGGGTGTTTGCCTTGGAAGTGGCCAACATGGCCGATCCGAGTTTGATTCCTCTGCCCCTCTCAGAGAGCCCGGCAAGCTATTGAGAGTATCTCGCCCGCACAGCAAAGCCTGGCAAGCTACCGGTGATGTATTAGATATGCCAAACATAGTAACAACAAGTCTCATGATGGAGACGTTACTGGGCCTGCTCGAGCAAATTGATGAACAACGGGAGGACAGTGACAGTGACAGTGAATCTTTTGTTGGATAATTCCCAAATAAGAACCTATAATTTAAGGCCCTCTATCCTTCAAAACTAAGTCCAACACAAAGTTGACAGGTAAAATACAGGATGCCACCATTCAATTAAAACTTTAGGTAAGCAACAAAGAATTGTTTAAAGATAATTATGTCCCAGTCAATAATTAGAACACACATACACTAAAGAGTTGAATTTTGGTCATGAAAATTTTTTGCTGCATCTGACACTATGGCAAGAAGAGGTAAGTTAGGTTCTGGCTTTGTGGTATTAACAGATTAGATTCTTAAAATTGTCATCTAAATTTTTATATATTTCTTATTCAGAGTCCAGTGATCTTGGCAGATACTGGAAATAGTTGCTGACCTAGACTAAGTAACTCTGAAAAGATGTAGAAGAGGTCCGTGTGATTTATTTCATTGCCTCAACGGTAATTGAGAGACAAATCCTGACACTATGTAAAGAAGCTAAAACCCTGAGCAGAGAACAGAAAATGTGGTGGAGGAGACAGACAACACTGGAGGAAAAGCAAACCTTATAAAAAATCCAAGTTTGGGGAAAATTTGTATGTTTCCCAGAGGTACCCCTAGATGGCGCACTTGAGCAAAAATCTCAGCAATGGTCCCAATTCAGTGTTCCTAACCATCCCGCTGAGAAAATGAAGGATGCCATGGTTTGTTCTAAGGAAACAGTATTTTCCTGGGTGGAGGACACACTATACTGCAGCTGAACAACACGCGAAAATAGGGCTGTTTAAATTTAAGATTCCAGGAATTATCTGCCTATGACCTCACGTCTCCACATTAGCGTCTATTAGCTGCTGTGGATTTAAAGCAGAATAGTTTTATTCTATTTACTTATTTTATTTATTTTATTATAGTATTCTAGGGGCCTGGAGCGATAGCACAGCGGTAGGGCGTTTGCCTTGTACGCAGCCAACATGGCCAACCCGAGTTCGATTCCTCCGCCCCTCTCAGAGAGCCCGGCAAGCTACCGAGAGTATCTCGCCCGCACGGCAGAGCCTGGCAAGCTCCCTGTGACGTATTCGATATGCCAGACACAGTAACAACAAGGTCTCCAATGGAGACGTTACTGGGCCCGCTCGAGCAAATCAATGATCAACGGGAGGGCCTTTACCTTATTCTAGTATTCTAATTTACTCTATTCTATTATTCTTAAATAGCTTCTGGTTATTGTTGTTGCTGTTATCACTACATCCCCAAGCTTATTCTCTAGACACCAGACAGATGGTTTCTAAAACATTAATTATTTCCATGAAATATTGTGAGTCCCTATTATGTTCCAGATAAATGTTAAGTTCCTTATAGCCACGGTTTCTCCAGTCCTCACGATCTCTGATTGCTTTTCTCTTCCCCAAGGACCTGTTTTCCAGCTTGCTAAGAGCTCGGGTGACAGAGAAGAGGCAGGTTAATACTCATCCTGTCATGGAAAGTGCCTGATAACCAGGCAGACCAGAGCAATGCTTATTTCTCTTCTGCTCTCCAATTTAACTGAAGCCAAGCTCAGAAGTAGCTCAAGGTCATACCTGAAACCTTAACCCAGGACTGTTCAACCCTATTTTTCCAGATAGTATTCTTAACCAGAAGGACTGTGATTCCCAGGGGGACATATAACAGTAGGGGCATTTTTGGTTGTCACAACTCCTGGGGAGAAGAGTACCATAGATGCTACTTGATTAGTAACTTCTCCCTTGACCCCAGAGTCATGATCACGATCATGATCATCCTGTTGTTTGTAGCTGGCCAGAGATGCTTCTGAACATTCTACAAGCACAGCGGTAGGGCGTTCGCCTTACAAGCAGCCAACATGGCCGACCCGAGTTCGATTCCTCCATCCCTCTCGGAGAGC